CCTTGGCATATGTGGTCCCCCTAGGGAGGATTCACATCGGACCTCTCCAGATGTTCCTCCTGTCTGACTGGGTTCCGTCATCCAGGAGGCCTGGATCCCGCTTACCCAGTCGGTCAGGGAGTTCTCTTGCTGGTGGACCATTCAGGAGAACGTTTTCCACGGGGTACCTCTGACCAAGCCTATCCCCTCTATGATCCTGTTCATGGACGCGTTCATGACAGGAATGTGAGCTTACCTCGATGGGGGAGTGGTCTGGCGAATAACTCTCGGAGCACATCAGTGTACTCGAGATGACACTGTTCATTTGGCTCTGCAGTCCTTTAGGGGTATCCTGCAGTCCAAAGTGTGGCTACCGACAACAGTTGTCGCGTATCTGGAGAGACAGGGGCCACCAGGTCTCATGTCCTGTGTGCCCTCTCCATCCACATCCATCTTCTCTGCCAGGACATGCAGTTGACCATAGCGGTCAAGCATCTTTCTGGCAGGCTGAGTGTGTTGGTGGCCACTCTCCAGGCGCCACCAGCCGGTGTTGACGGAATGGCAGCTGTGTCCCTTGATTTTCAAGGGGAATTGTCAGGCGTGGGACAGACCTATTATAGACCTGTTTGCCACTTCCCTGAACAACCAGCTGCTAACCTTCGTCTCCCCGGTCCCAGACCGTAAGGCGTGGGCTGTGGACGCCCTTTCTCTGGAATAGGAAGGGACGTATGCATATGCATTCCCTCCCTTCAACCTGGTGGGCAGGGTTCTACAGAAGTTCTGGGAGCATCACTGCTCCTTACTTCTGAGAGCCCCTCTGTGGCCGAGGCAAGCTTGGTTTCAGGAGCTCTTGTCGTTTCTGGTGGAGGAGCCCTTGGCTCTCCCCACCAGACCGAATCTCCTTCGCCAGCCTTGGCCCAGAACGACACACTCTTGACCAGAGATCCTCCACCTTCACGCGCTGAGGCTATCTCTGGAAGCCACGCCAAGGCAGGCTTTTCTCAATAGGTGTCCGATTGCATTGAGCAATCAATCAGGGCTTCCTCTTCTGCCGTCTACCAGTCACGTTGGATGATCTTCTGTGATTGGTGTGTCGGCAAGGAAGCTTATTCATTCGAAGCCTCTGCATTTGATTGCGGAATTCCTAATCTCTCTGTTTAGGTACCGCTATCTGCCACCTGGCACTATTGCTGGCTATCGTACAGCTATTGCCAGAGTTCTTGCTTGTTATGGCAGGAAGGAGATCGGTTAGTCCTCCTCTCTTTCTGCCCTAATCAGAGGCTTTGCTATGAATAGAGTTGTTTTTAGCGAAGAATCAGGTTCCGGGGTTCTCGCACGATCCCATCAGGATCCTGGCTGTGACTAGCTCGGAGGAGCGAGATAGGTTGCTTTGTCCTTGTCGGGCTCTTAGGTTTTATCTTGATAAAACCAGGGGGGGCGGGGCTCTCGATCCCGTCTGTTTTGCCCATTAAACAGGGGCAACGAGATATCTCCTCCCAGTCGGTTTCCAGGTGGGTTTGCCAGGTGATTTAGTATGCTTACGAGCATTTTGATGATCTGGCTCGGGCGAGAGTGAAAGCGCGGTCTCACGAGGTCAGGGCCCTTGCTTCATCCTGGGCCCTTCTCTCAATGAGTCCTCCTTTCAGGAGGTCATGTCTGCAGTATTCTGGCAGGGCAGGGATACCTTAACAGATTTTTATCTGTGATCCCTAGCTTCCCACTCAGAAGGCCTGTATCATTGGGACCTTTGGTGGTGGCATAGTCAGTGGCTGGGCCTCCTCGTTAGCCCCGGGCCATGTCTTTCCGTACGGCGGCATGTGGGTACACCTGCTCTTTTACAGAGAGGTCCCTTCCTTCACTTTAGCACTCTGTTCTCCCTCCCTACTACTTTGGTTGTGCTGAAGGGGCTGCCTGGCTTCTAGTCACCACTACGGTAAGACGAATTCGCATACTAAAGTTATGGTAATTATTACTGAAATGAAATTGAGGTTTTTTAATGTAAAACCAATTTTCATGATGTAATACTTACCATAACTTTATGGAGTCCCACCCTATCCTCCCCTCTTCCTTATCTGCCTGGCTGCCCCTCTGTGGGGTTTACGCCATAAAGGTTATTAGAGGAAGGGAGATCACTCTGCGTTCCTGTCGTGATGGCTCATGGATCGTAGGGAGGGCGGGATTGTTTTTCTTTTGAATCTTTTGTTGTTGGGATACAAAGATGGGTGTAGGTACTGTATTTGCATACTAAAGTTATGGTAAGTATTACATCATGAAAATTGGTTTTACATTAAAAAACCTCAAAATCAGCACACACATTGAAATACAACATGGTAGGATGACTGATCCTGATGGGGATTATCTAATGCTATAGTAATTATCCTGCCAGTATAAATCAGACTTGGTCTCAACGTGTCAACCCTATAGTCTGATTGGTCGATTTAGTGTCACAGACAGCCATTGACCTAATTAATGGCGACACATCGCCCTGGCAACAATAAACAATGAGGCAGTGAATCAGCCTTGATTTCCTAGCCAGGTGTAGGGTTAGAGAGATGCTATCAGTAGTGAATTATGTAAGAACAGCCCCTAAAGGGATTACCATGTCAGTCGTCAATGTCTCTAATTGCCAACTTTTTATATTTTTTATAGTAAAAATGGCAGCTTTATTGGTTTATCAACAACTGTGATACATGGAAGGGATTTAAAAATAGACATAAATGTTCAAGCAACACAACTGGTTTAAAACATCAAGATTTAGTATACATCTCTGTACATTCACTGTAGGGATCTGATGGAAAGTGTCACCAAGTAAGGATACATACCTTTTATAATTAAAACTGATACAGTAATAGCTGTAACATGTCATGTAGGCAAATAGGGGACACGAGTAATGACCTTCAGCCAATAATGTCATATAGGGATACAGGGGACTGATGATGACCTTCTGTCAATAATGTCATATAGGGGTCCAGGGGACTGATGATGACCTTCAGTTAATAATGTCATATAGGGATACAGGGGACTGGTGATAACCTTCAGCCAATAATGTCATATAGGGATACAGGGGACTGATGATGACCTTCTGTCAATAATGTCATATAGGGGTCCAGGGGACTGATGATGACCTTCAGTTAATAATGTCATATAGGGATACAGGGGACTGGTGATAACCTTCAGCCAATAATGTCATATAGGGATACATGGGACTGGTGATAACCTTCTGTCAATAATGTCATATAGGGGTCCAGGGGACTGATGATGACCTTCAGTTAATAATGTCATATAGGGGTCCAGGGGACTGATGATGACCTTCAGTCAATAATATCATATAGGGGTCCAGGGGACTGATGACAACTTTCAGTCAATAATGTCATATAGGGATACAGGGGACTGATGATGACCTTCAGTCAATAATGTCATATAGGGATACAGGGGACTGATGATGACCTTTAGTCAATAATGTCATATAGGGGTCCAGGGGACTGATGATGACCTTCAGTCAATAATGTTATCTGGTCCAGACAGGAGATTGAGAGATATTTTTTTCACAGATTCCATCTGGTCCAGACAAGAGATTGAGAGAATTTTACCTCTCACATTCCTTTGGTTCAGACAGGATGTTGAGAGACAGTTTTTCACAGATTCCTTCTAGTCAAGACAGGAGATTGAGAGATATTTTTTTCACAGATTTCTTCTGGTCCAGACAGGAGATTGAGAGATTCACAGATTCCTTCTGGTCCAGACAGGAGATTGAGAGACTTTTATTTCAGATACCTTCTAGTCCAGACAAGAGATTGAGAGAATTTTACCTCTCACATTCCTTGTGTTCAGACAGGATGTTGAGAGACATTTTTTCACAGATACCTTCTGGTCCAGACAAGAAATTGAGAGAATTTTACTTCACACATTCACAGATTCCTTGTGTTCTGACAGTGTTGGTAGATTTTGATTTGCAGCTTCTATAGTGTGGTCAAGGAGCATTTACAATTAGATTTTGTCTTTAACAAATTACTTTGTATTTTAACAGATTCATCGATGTCAAAACCATTCCTTCATGACCAGCCTTTAGGAGTCTACCCATTTACCTCACTGCCTCCCACTAAAAACACCACAGTACATCAAGTTTCTCCTCCAGGTATTTATAGATACAAAATTTTTTTTTTTTTGTTAAAAATTCTTTTATTATGTCTTACTATCTGCACAGTCAAGTTAGAGGATATATAGAAGTCAGGGTGTCCATTAATTCTCACCAAATTCATCTGATTTTGTTTTGGATCAGTAGATTAATAATCTTTTAGATTTCAGCCGTAGTAACATTGAATAATACTTCTAAAAATTGTTTAAAATAATCAGAAAATGGCGAAATTTTATAAATGAAAAAAAAACATTAACAGCAAAATCATGTTATACCATTTTTGCAACATTTGTAGCCTGTTTAAATATGCCAAGGTATTGAGCAGTATATATATTGTCTGTTAGGGTTGACAGTATGAGGACAAGGACTGAGTTTTCAGTTGCACAAAACTGCTATCTGCAACCTGTACGTTATAAAACCTTCTTCAGATTTTGTATAGACAGCACTATTAACCACTTAAACTTTATAAAAATTCAATCTTCACTGTACTAGTCAAATGACACCTCAGGATAATCCCACATATACAGAGGAAATCCCAAAATGGCTGTGGCAAAAAATAATCACATGTCTACCAAAGTTTTAAGTCATATCGCTTACACTTGTTAAAGGATAAATGGGATGTTTGATAATTATACCATTTTTTAAGTCAGACTCTATTCAGAAGTTTGTCCAGAGATCTGATATAACTGATTTCACTTGATGCACAATTTCAATGACAAGATGGGCTGTTTTTTAGCATGCAGGCCAGGTATTCAAAGAAAAGGAGAGCTGATAATGTCACCTCAGTGTCTGCGCATGGTGTCAGCATCTGTAATTGGGGCGTCCCTGTCCCATCTTGAAATGTTGATGTTTTTAGCAAGTTTTTTTAAGTAATACTAAATCACAAATGTTAAGTGGCTGTTATCAAATATCTCTAAGCATTAAAATGAATATCAATATGCAGAACCATATTTTTCAAAGTTTTAAGGCCCGAAAATGGTAAATTTCTGTTTTATTTATCAATGTTGGAAGCAAGTCTTACATTTAAGTTTTTAGCTCACCTGGGTCCAAAGGTCTTGTTTAAGAAAAAGGTCTCATTCCCTTGGTATGAGAGGGGCGGGGCCAAATCTTTGAAATAGAGTAAATTCTTTAAAATCCTACTTCTATTGTAGGAATGAATGAATTATGCCCATATTTGGTGTGAAGCTTTCTTTGGTTTAGGGGAATCAATCTTGTATAAGTGTTGGGCTGAGGACCACAGGGATGAAAGGAATGGATTCTAATTGGGAAATAGAGTAAAGTCTTTAAAACCCTACTCCTGTAAGAATGAATGGATATTGCCAAAAATTGGGTCTAAAGCATTCTTGAGGGAAGTGGAATTAATCTTGTATTTATATAAGGTCTCTGCACTCTTGGATGGGAGGACTGGGGCCCAATAGGGAAAATAGTGGAATTCTTTAAAACCCTACTCCTGTAGGAATAAATGGATATTGCCAAAAATTGGGTCTAAAGCATTCTTGAGGGAAGTGGAATTAATCTTGTATTTATATAAGGTCTCTGCCCTCTTGGATGGGAGGACTGGGGCCCAATAGGGAAAATAGTGAAATTCTTTGAAATCCTACTCCTCCTAATTGGATTTTGCCCAAATTTGTTCTGAAGTATTTTTGGATGAAGGTTAATCAGTTCTGTATAAACAGTACTCTTTTGGGTTATCTTTTTACCTTTATTAGGTCATCTGACCCGAAGGGTCCGATGACCTATAGTCATCTTGCTTCGTCCGTTGTCGTCCGCCGTGCGCCGTGCGCCGTCCGTAAACTTTTCATTCAAATGACTTCTTCTCAAATACTAGAAGGTCTAGGGGGCTAATACTTGGCACAGAGGATACTGGCATGGAGCTCTACCAAGTTTGTTCAAATGAATGACCTTGACCCACTTTAAAGGTCACAGGGGTCAAATATGTTAAAATCTTTAAACAACTTCTTCTCATTAACCAAAAGGCTCAGAGTGTAGATATTGGGCCTGTGACATGCTGGGATGAAGGACTACCAAGTTTGTTCAAATGAATGACCTTGACCCACTTTAAAGGTCACAGGGGTCAAATATGTTAAAATCTTTAAACAACTTCTTCTCAATAACCAAAAGGCTCAGATTGCTGATATTGTGCCTGTGGCATGCTGGGATGAAGGGCTATCAAGTTTGTTTAAATGAATGACCTTGAACAACTTTCAAGGTCACAGGGGTCAAATATGTCAAAATCTTTAAATAACTTCTTCTCAAATACTAGAAGGCCTAGGGGGCTAATACTTGGCCCATAGCATGCTGGCATGGAGCCCTACAAAGTTTGTTCAAATGAATGACCTTGGCCCACTTTCAAGGTCACAGGGGTCAAATATGTTAAAATATACAAAGGACTTCATCTCAATAAGCAAAAGTCTATGAGTGCCGATATTGGGTCTGTAGCATGCTGGGAGGAAAGGCTACCAAGTTTATTTAAATGAATGACCTTGAACAACTTTCAAGGTCACAGGGGTCAAATATGTCAAAATCTTTAAATAACTTCTTCTCAAATACTAGAAGGCCTAGGGGGCTAATACTTGGCCCATAGCATGCTGGCATGGAGCCCTACAAAGTTTGTTCAAATGAATGACCATGGCCCACTTTCAAGGTCACAGGGGTCAAATATGTTAAAATATACAAAGGACTTCATCTCAATAAGCAAAAGTCTATGAGTGCCGATATTGGGTCTGTAGCATGCTGGGAGGAAAGGCTACCAAGTTTATTCAAATGAATGACCTCAACCCACTTTCAAGGTCACAGGGGTCAAATATGTTAAAATATACAAACGACTTCTTCTCAACAAGCAAAAGTCCATGAGTGCTGATATTTGGCCTGTAAGATGCTTGGAGGAGAGGCTACCAAGTTTGTTCAAATGAATGACCTCAACCCACTTTCTAGGTTTGGCTTGCTTTTTGTCAGATGACCGTTAAGGCCCATGGGCCTCTTGTATTATATACAAATGAATGGGAATTAGTGTGAGATATGCATACTAAAGTTATGGTTATCATTACTGAAATGAATACTCTATGGTGGAAGTGGTGGGTCCCAATCGGGAAATGTTAGTTCTTCAGTACAAGGACATTTTACTTGTTTGGGCTGAAGCAATTTTAATGTATAAAAAGTCTGACTTCTATTTCACCACAAGGCTGGTACCCAATAGGGAAATTATACCAGAAATTGTTTGTCATATTTGAAATTCTGTATTAAGTGACTTAATAGCTAAATTAACCAGATGAGTGATGCCGGTCCCTTGGGCCTCTTGTTTATTATGTTTTTCAAAGCAGTACTTGATCACAAATGTCAATTAATAGTTGATCATTAAATGGTCGAGCATTGATATGAATAGTTTGCAATATGCTGAAGAATTTTGTTCATATCTATTGGCTCCAACAGGGAAAAATATGTATTCATAATGACATTCTCATCAGATTTTACCCTTAGAGTAGGGGTATAAAGCTAGTATGTTGCTTACAGTTATATAAAATGCAGTAGTTATGTGCATGCATGTGAAATGAAATATGTCTGAGATATACTGCCTAGTGAAAAATTTGTTCTTACTGGTGAAGTCTTTTCATTGTTTTAGCTTTTGCTCTGTATTTGTAAATACTGCTTATAACATGAGTGTAGATACAGTTAGAGGGAAAGAAAAGATTGATGTTATTTTAATGCTCAATTCCAGGGTAAGTGACATCCCCATATACAATTTTATCTTACATTGAAAAAATTATTTATTTCAGAGCCTGCTGGAGCACACACAATGTCAACACACATTTTCTACATAGCTGTTGGGTGTGCTTGTGCTGTCATCCTTCTGATTGCTTTGGCTGTTGCGGTGTACTATCTCAACACACAGAAAAACAACAATCGTGGCTACACAGACAGAATCAAGTATTAGTAAGTTACAACTTTTAAAGGCAGATCTTAATATTGCTTACATTTCCATGGAGATAGGACCAAATTCTTATAATCGTATATACATCTCGCATTCCTTTATTTTAAAATGAGCGGTAGATTTTGAACTGGTTATCAATTTAAATGATGTGTATTTTCCTTATGATATATACAGAGTTATTTACCTTGTGAGGTGTTATAGGAGTTATCTCCCTTATGATGTACTGTTAAGTCAGATAAATCTCTCATCCCTATATAAACCAAACACTAACCCCCTATCCCCCACATCCAAATCCCCCCACCCCTACCCCAACCCCTATTGGCCATGTTTTACAAGTAAAAGTTCAACTCACCAATAAAAGAAATGAAATTGTTACTGAACCAGTTGATATATAAATGTATAATTTTGGAAAATAGATTGTGGCTCCAATACTTCAGATCAAGTGATCAGATGATAAATATAATCACAAATACAGGATATTCCTTTTTGTTTTCTATGTTCTACCTCAAATATTGTAACCATATGGTTTTTTTATAGTGATAATACCAGCAGTTCACAAGCACTCACCAAACAACAGAGTCAGTCATTCTTACGGGTAGAGACACCGGTTGACAGCAGTATAAAGGGTTCAGGTAAGATTCCCTAACTTAATTGTCATTACTGTATACTTATATAAGTAAAATAAAGGAATCTCAACATCCACGAACAGTTCTTCTTTTTATTCCGTTTGGTACATCGTCGACATGTTTTGACTGCTATGCGGCCGTCATCAGGTCGAAACATTACTGTATACTTAGTAATATTCACAGGGGATTTCATATTGCTTGATCCACAGTCAATAAAGTTCGCGTAAAATTAAATGCAAAGTTCACATTACTATAGTGAATGAAAATATCAGAAAATATCTATTTTGCCTGTAAATATGGCCACTAATTAATAGACTTGTGCAAAATTTAATTCTTACTGATATAAACTAGGAAAGGTTTTAACGAAAGCTCGGCTATTCTCATTGCAGTCTATCAAAACTACTCAGGCACCGATTTATAAACCATGCATTGTTAATACTGTACAACAAATTTATCTGTTATTTGGAATTAAATTAGAATACTGAGCAAGCTCTGATGACAGACCATTTGGGAATAACCATGGAGTACATGTTTGAAAAGTTAATTTAATGAAACTGGTTTTACTGATATTAATTTCTCTTTTACCATATCTAGGAATATTTTCAAAGCTGAACTATTTTCAAATCAGGCATGAAAGGATATATTGATAGACAAATAAGTGTTTAGCATGTATACTATTCAAGATGTAGATTGCTTATTAACTTGATTTTTGAACACTCTTCCATCTTTATTTCAGTGAGAAATTGTTCAGTACTTGGACCTTCACCTATACCAGAGTTGTCTCCTCCTGATCCTAAAGAAATTTTAAAAGAGATTGCTATAAGTAGAAAAAGAATATCTTTAGCAGAAATGTTATTAGAAGGTAAGAGTGGAAACTCAGGTAAAGATGTAATATGTAGGGGGGGTTTATTGTGATATCTAATGATAAATTACAGCTACCAAACTGTAAGGTTCTAGAGAATTATTTGTGAGGTTCTAAAGAAATAGATAATTTGTGCATTTCTTATGTCTTATATTTTAGTGATGGCTTTCTCTAATTGTAAAAGTCTCTTTCATTTTTTGTAGGCACATTTGGAAAAATCTACCAAGGGACATTACTCAGTGAGGATGATAATAATTTTGGAGCTGACCAAGAGATTATAGTTAAAACTGTCACAGGTATGTTTTGATGTAAACACATTTATTTTGTACAATACCTAGGAACAAATGATGTAAAAAAAGAGTTGGAAAATACCTGGTACTTGATATTTATGTTCATTACTTTGAGGACAATCTGACATGTTTGATTTAATGAATGTTTAACACTGTCACTATTGTAACAATAAATATTTAATGGGATCTTCCCCTGCATTGATTGGTGAGTCATGTCATCTGACTTTATCGTTTGCATTAACTTATGATTCAGATATATGCAAATTTAATCAAGAGGGATTAGAGGTTTCTCTAATCTATCTTAGTCTGTGATGACTTCTTTTCTACTGCAACAAAAATAGGAAAAAAAATTCCAAAACATTGAATATCAACATTGATTATGTTTTCCATCCATATGTGTACATATTTTGCAGTCACAATGACAATCAGAATGTTATGTTATCGTTTTAGTCATGAGATATTAATCTTATTGGTTCTGTAATATCATATTTGTTATTGTTTTAATTTCTTTACTTGTTACTATAAAGCTACAAAGAAACATGTATTGCTGGCCATGATGACATATTCCCATCACAGTATAAGGACAAAAAACTGATCTTGTACAATAGAAACAAGAGAATATGGAGGTAGGAAAATAGTCATCAAATATTAGATATCTACCTTTTGTGTTACAGACCAGGCAAGGTCCGATCAGGTCCATCTATTTCTTACTGAGGGCTGTATGATGAAAGGTCTAGTTCACCAGAACATTTACCCTGTTATTGGTGCGTGTGTGGAGGACCAGTTATGTCCATATATTATTTATCCAAATACAACAGAGGGCAACCTAAAAAAGTTTTTACAGAAGTGTGGTGTCTCTGACACAGGATCTCACTGTGTAAGTATTCCCATTCCACTATAATTACCATTTATACATCTATTTTTGTCACTGTGTCTCTGAAACAGGATCTCACTCAGTAAGTATGTTTGAACGAAAAATGATATTCTATTAAAAATACCAAAATGTAAAAAAAAAAAATGTTCATGAAACAATAGCAATTGTGTAGCAGGTATGTCATGATACTAATGATAATTCTGTATAATTGTTTGAACACAAAAACAGATAAAAATTCTGACGCAATTGACAAAAGTCATTCAATTTATAAATAGGACAAAAATCAGTACATGGAATGTGGGGTATTCTGGGAACAGTTAATCCAAAGTTAAGCGAGGGAGAAAACAGAATGACAAAATCAGGACCAAACTGTCTTTTTGATGAATAGTGGCCATTTAAATCATGCAATTTTGAGGGAGAGGGGGTTTAACTATATCAACCGTGCCAAATTCATTGAGACTAACACAACATATCACCACACAGAATGATGCCAACTAAAAATACTCCACAAACAACATAGCACCAAGACAGCATCACATTAAATGACATTATCCTACGTAATAAAAAGTAGTGCTGTACAAAACTCAAACACTAGTTATGATATCAATTCACAAAAATAATACTATAAAAGATAAAAAAAACATTGTATGTAGTAACCATAGGGCTATTTGTATTTCAGACATTATCTACACAACAACTGGTGTATCTAGCCATACAGATAGTGAGAGGTATACAATTTCTACACAGACAGAAGATCCTACACAAAGACATAGCTACCAGGAACTGTGTGTAAGTATACAATAAAAAAGGTGATTGTCACAGGAGCTGTGTGTAAGTATACAATAAAAAGTTTATTGTCACAGGAGCTGTGTGTAAGTATACAATAAAAAGGTTATTATCACAGGAACTGTGTGTAAGTATACGATAAAAAGGTTATTGTCACAGGAGCTGTGTGTAAGTATACAATAAAAAGGTTATTGTCACAGGAGCTGTGTGTAAGTATACGATAAAAAGGTTATTGTCACAGGAGCTGTGTGTAAGTATACAATAAAAAGGTTATTATCACAGGAACTGTGTGTAAGTATACGATAAAAAGGTTATTGTCACAGGAGCTGTGTGTAAGTATACAATAAAAAGGTTATTGTCACAGGAGCTGTGTGTAAGTATACGATAAAAAGGTTATTGTCACAGGAGCTGTGTGTAAGTATACAATAAAAAGGTTATTGTCACAGGAGCTGTGTGTAAGTATACAATAAAAAGGTTATTATCACAGGAGCTGTGTGTAAGTATACGATAAAAAGGTTATTGTCACAGGAGCTGTGTGTAAGTATACAATAAAAAGGTTATTGTCACAGGAGCTGTGTGTAAGTATACAATAAAAAGGTTATTATCACAGGAGCTGTGTGTAAGTATACAATAAAAAAGATCACAGTCAGAGGAACTAGGTGTAAAAAGTCACTGGAAAATGGCTGAATGTCTGTAAGTTAGTGATTATATAAACAAAATATTCCAACCCTTGTCTCTGTCCTTAAAATTAAGTAAAAATTACAAACAATTATTGAGTGGGCATCAGTTACAAATGTAGAATATTAATTATGTATTTACAGAATAGACAACGACTTGGTTTTAAAGATAACAGACAACGCTTTATCACGGGACCTGTTCTCTGGAGACTATAATTGTCTCGGTGACAATGAGAATCGACCAATCAAATGGTTATCTCTTGAAGCTCTGTTGGAAAAGCGATTTTCTACAGCTAGTGATGTGGTAAGTGGATATGAATACATTTGTATGAGTCACTCAGATGTCATATTACAAAGTACTTCTAAAAAGGGATCAATATTTTTTGGTGAAATTTATAAGGCATGTTATTCATGTGCAAAGTATATGTCAATATTTTATAAAGACTTTCTTTAACCATGCACATGTTGCTAATTGGTGTCAAAATCCAGAATATATTATTTTAATTACTGTATGTGGGAACTTTACAACTGAAGAACAGGAATTAAAGTTAGGTTATGTAACTCTTTCAGAATTAAATTTCATCAGTTCAATATTCACCATACAATTATGGCAGAAATAACTAAAAATAAACATGGTGGTAAAATCTTGTGGTAGAGTATTTCATCTGTTTATGGTTTAGTATGGTATATCTCACTGTTGTGACCAATTTTATCAGAGATTGAATACATCTGTTACAAAATCGTTATTATCTTAAGATCTGTACACCCTACAAACAATTTCTGGGGTAGTTGTAGTTGTTGGTCTGTCAGTCTGTTACTATGAGATGTTTTTCTCAATAATGTTAGTCTGGTAGCAGTTTTACTTCCTTTATCCAAGGTCAAGACCTCTAGGTTAAAGTCAAATTCATTGTCCACATCATAATTCTTTTTTTTTTCTCTGAAGATAGCTAGGTAATTCAAAATGTAAACTGTATGTAAGAGTGGTAAAATGTCATGTACACCCAAGATCAAGGTCACATTGAGGTTAAAGGCAAAAAATAATTCTGGCAATAACATTTTACTCAGTGAGTGTAGGACACCGAAATGAAATGAACATCAGACATAAAAATGGTGTCTCAGATTCAGTTAAATGCATCAATAATAGTTTTCCCTGTATGCTTTATGTGGTTAGGGCAAGACAGTGTTTCGATAAAGTGTTATATAAATTTATCTTCCATTAAGTTTAATGGTCAAATTTATTATCTGGTGGATTACATCTGAAGGTAGATCAGTGAATACACATGCAGAACGAACTGGCAGTGTGTTGTATCCTCTCTGTCACTCAGCTGATAGAGCCCGCTTCTTTGGCTTAGTTGATGGAGCCTTGGATTATCATGCCAGAGATCTGGATTAAATTCTTGTTGAAGCATATGACAGGTATGTGTTTTCCCTGTTCTGTTAAGGTGTATGCTGTATTATTTTGTAAGACTGAAATATTACATTGCAGTGGTCATTTGGTGTGACTTTGTGGGAGTTGATGACCGTTGGCCAGCAGCCCTATGCCGACATTGATCCATTTGAGATGGCTGCATACCTTCGGGAGGGTTACAGAATAGCCCAGCCAATTAACTGTCCAGACGAACTGTAAGTCTCACTGTAATATATATCCAAAAATAATCTAAAGAGTTCCTTGTGTTTCTGTCTGATCTTCATATAATCTGTCTTCAGTACCAGTGTTTTCTTTGACATTCTTGATTTTGGTAAAGAGATGACAGTGTATGTTTTTGTGTTTCCAGCTTCATAATAATGGGGTCATGATTTCAGTAGTAGACTATAGTATCACTTTGTTGCAGGTTTTCTGTGATGGCTTGCTGCTGGGCTGGAACTCCTGAAGAACGACCAAAATTCTCACAGCTCCTTATATGTTTGCAGGACTTCTACACAGCTCTAGGACAATACATCTGATCAAATTCTCACAACAGCCTCTTAAGGTTCTGTCTCATGGCCAGTTTCTTGTTCTGTATAATAACATTGTGGCAAAGTTACTTCAATATCCGAGTATCATTTAACTTTTGTAGAAGGTATGTCTCTAAACTTGTGGTAGATACTGCAGCTAATGTGTCTCCTTGGAATTAATACATGAAACCATTAATATGTGTTATTTCAGTGTTTGAAATCATATGTTTGCAGGATGTCATTGTTTAAAGTAATTTGTTTGAGGATTAACAACATTTGAATTTATTTGTTTGAGGGTATCAACGTCTTAAAGTTATCATTTGTTTGCGGGTATCAGCATCTTAAAATTATCATTTGGTTGAACCTATCTATGTCTTGAAATTATAACTTGTTTGAGGGGTATCAGTGTTTGAAATAATTTGTTTGAGGGTATCAACATCTTAAAATTATTATCATTTGTTTGAGGGTATCAATGTCTTAAAACTATCATTTGTTTGAGCCTATCGATGTCTTGAAATTATTTGTTTGAGGGATATCAACATTAGAAATCATTTGTTTGTGTATCAGTATTTGATATCATCAGTTTAGTAAGTAACAATGATTAAAATGATTCAATGATACAGCTGGAGAAGGGAAGGAACTGCTGAAGGACGCTTAATAATGACCTTGAAGTGTTAAGAATTTAGATACAGTGCTATTTTATTTACAGGACAATGTTTGAAATAGACTTCAATATAGAGTGTCAGGGCAGATGTTTTCAGAATCAACACATTGAATCTGAATAAAAACTAGATACAAATAAGTTGAATGATTTTGAATGTCAGTATACAAAGTGAGAGAGAAGATAACTCTACTTACAATGTAGGTAGATGAACTTTGATATGAGATATGATATATGTAAAATTTCTTATTTTTTATGATAGTGACTTTGATAATAATTTCCTTTGGTAAAATCTGCTGTGTTGAATTCCTCTTTTTGATGAAATGTTTGGAATATCTATGACACTGCAGAATAACTCTGATCCCTAACATCTGGTAATATGGAGATAGTGTAAAGCCATCTCTGATTTGATAGTTATTCAGTGTTTAGAAATGCTGCTAGACTTCAACTCCTAGAACTTCTTCCTCTCAGTGGGTAATTATCAAATGGCATTATATGTTTTGGTTAACTCCGGCTTACAACATTAGTAGTGTACTCGTATCAGTTACATATTGATTGATGAACAGTTTGGCCAAAGAGAAGGTTTCGGTTATTTTAATTATGTTAATTGTGGCCATAACCCAGATACAAATGAAGTAACAGGTGAAATATTGTGTCATACTAAGACCCAGGTATTTCAAGGTGTTATCATCATCACAGGTGTTATCATTATCCAGGTGTGCTTGAGTAGCATGAGAGGGTTTGTGATTAATGTATACAGGGTAACAGCCACCAAAGTAATTATAGAATTTACAGTGTTAACGACTGGTGATCATTGTAACAGTAGTGTTTGATGAGAAATATTGAATACAGGCTCAGAATTTACAGTTTTAGCTTATTTCAGATCATATCTGACATGTTACATGTAAAAGTCATATATTTTGAGAAATAATTAATACAGGTTCAGAAATTAAAATGTTAATATAATGTGGAATATTTCTGATATAATACTTGTAACAGTAGTACATTCAGGGCACCTGTAGAAGTAATAGGTGTATACATAGCTAGTTTTCAATACCAAGTCTATTGATACTGAAAAAATGTGTAGACGATATTCTACATAATAAGCTCTCTTACCTTAAATACTTTTCTTCAGAAAAAGAGGTTAGGTGCACTTTTTTAAGCCTGTACAAACATTGTTTATTTCACTTTCTATCAATGAAATATTAAACATCTCAACTCTTCTTGCTAAGGCTACTTAATACCCAGGCATTTTCATTCTAATTGTAATGTTTCTACCCAATTTTCATGTCTCAACACATTTCATTTGGGAAATATCACCTGCAAATACTTTGATTTACATCCATGATAAGTTCTATAAGTGCAAAGTGCTCTAAGTAGGTGTAATGCATCTAATATCCATTAGAAAATTCACATTGTAGAGGAATGCTTCTCCATAATGATAAAAACTTACCAGTCTTGGGGTTGTAATTTGGATAATATTAAGTTATTTCATGAGGCATCATATCACATATTTATCTTGAGGTCAAGGGAATAGTCAAGCTTGTAAGAAATCATCTTTCTTCCCAAGTACACTCTCTTCATTTCTTCCCTCAAACATGTAAATAAAGTCAAATATCATCTGATTAATATCCTTTTTCATTCAGATCTTTATGAAAGCTATATTCATTTTTAATAAATTTGAAAAATAGATTTTTTTCAAAGAACGAAAATATCTTTGCATCAAAATTTTCATTTTTACATCATATATAACTATAACATGCAATGAGTTTATTTCTCAGAAATATCTCCCAGAGTTACTACCCCTTGTTTCACTCTTTCAATCTGTCTGGTATAGTGATAAGCTTGACAGCTGACTGAGAATGGTTTTACATAGATACTATTAATTATAGTCTTACTTAGATACCGGTCAATTTTTATGTCTTCCAGAACGGATGAAACACTGCTGAAAATTCATCTTTGAATTAAAACTGGCATGGAGCTTTGAAATGTTTCAGCAGTCAGACAAATCTTCAGAATATTTTATGATCAGCTGTTAGTAATAAATTTGATTGTAAAGGTTGTCTCCCCTTTTCTCCTGGATAGGTACATTTACAATATATGGAATGTCTCCCCATACCTCCAATATAACAATTGTGTTCTCAACGCCTACATATAAGAAGAGATTTGGTTTGAGTCATTAAAATGTTTCGTTTATTGTAGGATATAAATTTGTTGTTACAACACATACCTCATCACTAACCTTTGTATATGTAAGGCTGTGGAAGGCTAACACAGATTTTCCATCAGCTGTCTCAGTTGATTCTATAATATAAACCTGCCTATCTCCCCCATCCAATTATATATATAAAGGTAACGAAAGCATTAATTGGTAATAACTATTGTTAAAAAGACAGAACTTTGTTTCTGATTTGATGGTGGGTTGTTTAGTCTCGTTAATTAAAGTTTGAAATGTATTACAGTGAAGATATGATTTTCTGTAGGTGAATTGGAAAATAAGATTTTAACCATGATAAATCAAATGATTCTGTATTTTTAACACTTGATATGTAGCTTCTACCAATGGTTGAGTAACTCCAGAGATTTTAAAATGATAAAAGTTAGTTTTTGATATTTCTTTTTACAAATATCTTGAAGAATGAACTGTTTTCAGTAAATGTTGCTCTGAATGGTTTGTCATTATCAAAATTTGATCAAGTAAATCAAAATTGAGTATGATAACTAGTATCAGTTATTTCTCCTTTTTAGTTTTTGTCTATCATTTCATCCATTTCAACTCATCTTCCACTTGTTATAATGATTGAAATGTCAGTGTTGAAATTGTGTAGTACAATATAGTGTTATACACAGCACTGATAGTTCTCAGATCTTTTTCAGATTGGTAATGTATATCAAACAGATGTTCTCTTACACTTACTGGTTGTGATATAAGACAACCAATTCAATAAAACTGATAGAAGACATCTAATCTATCCCCACCACCCTTTCCACGTGTATCAGTTCATATCTTGCTATACTGCCTTTTGTCTTCTTATTTTCTTCTCTTCCATGACTCATGCACATAAAGTCTACACATTTCACATCCATTAATTGTACTTCACGTGTACGGTGACTTGTTTACAGGACATCCATTGAATACATCTGTTATTGTATGTTTTAGTATAGATTTTACTGATAATTCAAACATTTTGTTCTCATTGCAACAAGGAGTATTTTCTACTTATCACATAACTGGCATATTGTGTCATGGCATAAATACATACAAGTCAGATGGTTAATACATTTGTATTACTAACATGACATCCTAAATAAGTCAAGTCTTAATGATGTCACATTACTGGGTTGTGAAAAACATACTGTGTTGAAATATTTCCCTGTCTTTTAGGGAATTTAATATGAGAGCTTTCACTTATTTTTCAGAAAAACTGGTTTAAATAATATATAATAAAGATAATCTAACGCTTGTGCTGATGAAACATGAAATTCATGAAACTTCTTCAATAACTTGGTTAGTCATTTTCCTAAAGGTTCGTGACATATAAAATTTTGGAACTTGTTGATTAAATTCCTTATTACATTGACTCATATAAGATCCTCTATAATATGTTGTTTTATATAACATTGTCTATTAGACAGCAAACACTCTGATGATCTTATGACAGTGTCCTGTATTGGTCTACACTCACTTCACCATCAGTCAAACAGGTGCCCTCTTTGATATGTCAGTGCTACTTAATAGTGTAGCTCCTAAGTCTTCTTTCATCTATTACATATGCATGTAATCATACCTTATTTGAAACATTTATACATATTGGTAGAGTGTGTTATCTATTTCAATGAATATTTTTCATGTTGACAATACAATATAAGTGTATACATGTGTACAATCCATTTCTCTAGTTTTTTTCTTTTTTTTTTTTTTTTTTGTGTGAAAAAGTGCCAAATATTTTTATTACAAGGAATGTGCATGCATATTCTTAGTAGAATTTGATTATGTTTTATAAACTTGTAACCAATAAATATCATAAGCATTAAATATTGTATGAACTTTAAGATGATATGTGGATTTAGAAATATTTTCTCATAAATATGTACGTCATATTCACCATTTTGTAAGATTGTACTTCCTAGTAATGATGTAGCATGTCAAATCCGTTTGTTATTTAGACAAATTTTCTAGATTACCAATACTACCTTTTTGCATTTGTTGTCAAGTACGTGTAGTGCTTCGTTTCTTTGAAAATTGCAAAACTTGCCAAATTTATAAATAATATAAGTTGTGATTTTGCAGATTGGATAAATTCATTTTAAAATCGGGAAGTGCAGGACATTGCAAATCAGGATTTCACATGAAATGAGTTTCAATGTTAATGGAAAATTCATTTCATTTGAACATATTGGATGTTTCCATTAATGGTTTGGAAGCAAGATATTTTTACAGACTCTAGGTTTTTGTATATGTATTGGTAATTTATGTTATAACTGTATATAAATTGACAGGAAGGTTGCACAAATTTGAAATGTTCGAATCTAACAAGGTTCATCACATTTAATACAAACACTTTGATGAAAGATTCAGAATATCATTTTGAAAAGACTACTTTTGGTGGATTCAAGTTAAGCTTTTTGATTGCATTGGCCACAAGTGAAACGGTTGTATTTATTTCAATAAATCTCTAATAATCACAAGTTCAAAAATTACTGTTGCTCACAAGTTCAAATGAAGGTATTATGTAAATTCTTTGTCAGATTCATTTTCAATCCAATCATAATTTTAATGTGAATTTTTTATTGTTGATGTATAAGCTTTCTTTTAATCAAAATTGTGTGATCTTTTAGCATAAACAATTTATCAAGAACAAGAACAATATAATTCTGGTAGCATCAAAGTGTCAAGTGCTAATTCGAACCCACCTGTGAAATGAAGACAAGTGTCATCCCATTATCAGTTTACTTTGACAAGTTGCTCATGCTCACAAAAGTAATATTTTTACTACAAACCCACCTAATGCAAATACTACATTTGAACAAAATTCAATGAAATATAATTTGAGATTAAACCAAAAAGTGTGTTATTGGTTTCTTGTGAGATAGGCGAAGTATGGGAGAACAGATCTGGCAAGTGTTGTTTTTGTGGAACTGAAATTTAATTTGCATTATTTTTTTAATGGAAGTGCTTTCAAAGTTTCGGTGTTTACTTGATTTGCCAAAATATATACACATTTAATATATATGTATTATATATCCAGTAATGTAAGGAGGTAGATATATCTCCACATTCAATACAAAACTAGTATTATCATTTTCTATGATCACTCTGTCGTTTTATATAATCTCATATATACATGTATATACGATTACTATAATATAATTCATAAGGCAGAACTTGTGTTTTGTTTTTTTTTTGTGTCAACTAATTTATGACTATGAATACAGAATAAAAAGTATTTGAAACATTACCTTGATTTTGTTGTTCTTTGTATTACAATACTTATTTATTAGCCCACCATCTATTCAAATAGATGGTGGGTTATTCAAATCGCCCTGCGTCCGTGGTCCATCCGTCCGTAAACAATTCTAGTTACCGCTATTTCTGGAAAAGTACTGGATGGATCTTTCTCAAATTTCATATGCAGGTTCCCCTTGGTCCCTAGTTGTGCATTGTACCTTTTTTGGACTGATTCGAATTCAAGATGGCCGACAGGCAGCCATCTTGGATTTTGGAAGTAAAAGTTTGTTACTGCTATTTCTTGGAAAGTACTGGATGGATCTTACTCAAATTCCAGATGCAGTTTCCCCTTGGTCCCTAGTTGTGCATTGTGCCTTTTTTGGACAGATTCGAATTTAAGATGGCGGACAGGTGGCCATCTTGGATTTTGGATGTAAAAGTTTGTTACCGCTATTTCTTGGAAAGTACTGGATGGATCTTTTTCAAATTTCATATGCAGGTTCCCCTTGGTCCCTAGTTGTGCATTGTACCTTTTTTGGACTGATTCGAATTCAAGATGGCCGACAGGCAGCCATCTTGGATTTTGGAAGTAAAAGTTTGTTACTGCTATTTCTTGGAAAGTACTGAATGGATTTTCTCAAATTCCATATGCAGTTTCCCCTTGGTCCCTAGTTGCGCATTGTACCTTTTTTGGACTGATTTGAAATCAAGGTGGCCCACAGGCAGCCATCTTGGATGTCGACAGTAATACAGCACAAGCATATTGTCCATTATCCACCTGTAACTGACTGCTATCTAATAATACTTTGGGATCATTACCGATTTCTTCGGTATATTTTAGCAAAATTGGAGTTTACCCTTTGAACATGCAACGAGCCGTCACAAAGCATGGCACCTTAAAGTAAGAGTTTATATCTTGATGTAGATCCTGTGTGTTTGAGTCTTCATATTTGAATAGAGCTTGATGTTGTCCATGAACAAGTTCATGTGATTCTCCATAAGTTCTGGAGTAATACAAGAAATCTAAAAACTTGATATTAACAGAAAAAAGATAATAAAATGCCCTCAGTAAGAAAAGGCACAATTAGGACACTAACCTGATGTATAGAAAGTTTTGTGGAATTGAGTGGAATGGTTTCGTAGATGTAGCCTGAAAAGTTCAGACTAATTATGTGTTTTTAAACTGTTTAGACAGAAAACTATATCAAATGAAATGTCGTCAATAGCAAAAGGCACAACCTGGCACTAACTTAATATATACAGCAAATTCTGTGAGGTTAAATTGATCAGTTTTGAAGTAATAGTCCAGAAATGCCTTCAGATGGACACAAACGGATAAAAAGTGATATCCACCACTAATACTTCAGAGAACAAAATCCGAAGTGTTTTTATTGTTCCCTAGTTATGACAAGAAAAAAAAACAAGACAATAACTTTTTAATTTAAAAACATTTAATTACATTTAAATAAAACTTTTAATGTTAATTAAATGACCTGACTTTCTCTTCTGTATCTACACAATAGTGGTGTAGCAACAATATCAACATGGAATACATCAAGTTAGACCAACTTGATTCCTTTTATCGCTAATTCATTCATTCTTAACATGTCAGTCTTGTCTTGGAAAACTGCATAATGACCAGGACGTTCCCAGTTAACAATGAACAAACTAGAGAGGGCTCAAAGCCATATTCACAAAAGACACATAGTTTCAGAAAATAAAGCTGTTGTGTTTCGGGGAAAACATTTGGAAAGTCCATAATTTTTAATCCAGGAGACATGTAAACTGATGACTTTTACCCAATGTTTGACTGTTACAGCAGATGAACACATTGAGGATTCTGATCCCAACCATCCATAACAAAACAAATATTACAAATGCCTGTTGTTGTGACTACACAGAGACTGATGATAATGAAGTTGATGATGCATTCAAGTTTTATCCGTGGTCCTAAATCTTTGATCCCTTAAGAATGTCCAAGTCATGAATTGTCTGTTGCTGCCGGAAAAAGAGGGTCATTACGTCATCCTGATGCTCTGGATGATCTGAAACACCGCTGGAACAAACAAGTAACACATGTCACAGCAAGTGTAATTGCTATCATAATAGTATAGTAATACAATAATTAAGATTAATTTTTATAGGTCATTTCCCATTTAACTGAAATAACTGGTCTTAGAACTGATATTTCAATCACCATATGTTTACTAAATCATTATTTGTATTTGGTGAAATTATGTTTGCCCTGACATGGAATTATGTACATCGACTTGAAACCCCCAGCAATATGCATACTTAGAGCACTGGACATGCTATTTCACTATAACTAGAAGCAAATTAAATTCACAACTTATTATACACCTAATAACTGTGAAATTGTTTCAATATAGCCAAGTATTTAAAGCCTGTGGTAAGTCACCATGACAACTTATTAACTAAACCTACAAGTTCAAAAGTAATTTACCTGATCCACAAACAACAAAAACGAACAAAGCTAATAGCCAGGGTCCCACTGGATACTTTTCCTCTGATGGTTTCTGAAAAATATGAAATCATAATTTTCTTAACAGAATTAAAAGAATCAAATTGATTTTGTGTTATAACGATGCCTTCAGAGAGGAAGTAACTGCTTACTTCCTGGATAATGAATATGCCACAAGTCATCAATCACCTATTGACAAAGAATCCATTAAAACAAGAAAATTGTCTCCAGGCATTCCCTAGGAACATCCAGAATTGAATGACATGTGTGCAAACAAAATTGCATTGAATAACATTATGTACATTTAAAAATAAGCGATAGATTGCAAAACCTGGAACAGATTCTGGCAGGCAAACTGATATTTGTTTATGATCTGTTTCATGGAGTCTTATATTTATACAGCTGATTTCCTATTGCTTAAAATATAAATAAAGCCAGGCTGTTGATCCAATGCAAAACTCAGTGACATGATTTCACAGGAAACATCTGATAACAATGTGAAAATGACAGGTGTCATGTTGGCTTATACTATCAATTTAGTTGCAAAACAAACGTATTTATTCTCATGCATCTACGACTATTAAGTATATACCGCTAATTTTAATATTTATTTGTCCATTTGATTCAACTAAATATTAAGTTATCAAATGAGTCTATGGTCATTGTTTAACGTTTTTTCAAAGTAATATCTACTTAAATCTTAAATAATTCAGTAAATGCTTGCATATTAAATGAGACTAAAACATGTCAACCTGGATCACAAATTACCGAAAATCTTGTCCTATCTATATAACAATTGCGTCATCTTAAAGTATGAATGAATAGCAAATGTTACTTAACAAAAATATCTATGTAGATAAAACCCCAATCACGATTCTACACCATGAAACAAGTGATACAATATGTTTGATGTGACACGTCCCTAAAAATCATGTGGGTCCACATCAGGTGTCGAAAGAGCATAATATTCTCACCAAAGACTTGGGAACGTTTCCTCGAGTTGTGATGTTTTTACTGTGTTTGTCACTAGCAATTCTCATTCTCTGTTTAGCAGCCATGTTTCCTCAATCGCTTTCACCGACTTGAAGACGTAAAATGTCAGATGTAGCTGCTCAAGCCTTACGGTTTACACGTCAATATTGTTAAAAAGGAAGCTGACCGATTTTCATGGAATTAGTTCGACCAAACAAATAGTGCTTATGAGAATGGAGAAGAAGGTTCTCTCCCTCTTTATTTCAAATTATTTCATATTTCAAAATAAACAATAATAATAATAATCACTTTACAATACATTATTAATAAAACCAACACGGAAAATATAAATATGAAAACTGTTCGCGTATGAATTTCACCCACGTACGAGATCAAAACGAGACTTTTTCCATCTCCGGAACCGTTCTGAAAAAGGCCGAGAATTCCGATGAACAAAATGGCGCCCCCCTTGACACGTGAGTGAATCGTGGTTTGCATCATTGATTCATGTTACGTTCTGTGATATCACAAATTACACGTATAGTGCTATTACATGATGACTTTATTGTCTAATTTATCAGAATTAATACAATACAAACATTCTCTAACATTCGGTCAGGCCATCGTCCATTACATGAATAATAATGTTTGCTGTCGACAGCTGATAATGACAGAGCTGTTCGAGCTTTCAGCAGGTTGGGCTAGAAATGTCCAAATAAACGTTAAAATCACCATTTGAACCTTCAAAGGCATATATTATCGGACGAAAGTTTAGGAAACCTCGCAAATGGGTTAAATTTCTATATTTGGGTAGCAGTGGTTGCTTTGATTAATAAATTTGTTACTCGATCAGTCAAACGCTGGATTATTTGAATCGGAAATACACGAAGTTCTGCAAAAATGGGCGTCGTATTTACACTGTAGCTAACCAACATGTAAATATTTACCAATTGACATGTGCGCAAGTATCGCCTTCCAGAAGCTTGACATAAAACATGTTTTGAAAAAATTATACATATAGTATTTACTGTATTTTTCAAATTATTAATACATTTGACTGAAACGTATCTTACGCTATGATTTAACTTTTTTATAGTCAGAGTGAGAGATTGATGAGAGGCAACTTCTTACAACTTTCATAGACACCTCAATTCTTGGTAGAGGTCAACATTATTTAACCTACATAACAGTACTTTCTTACATCTTGTCTCCTGGAAGCTTGAGATAAAATAGTCCAGAAACATAAAATCTCTATAAATTTTTAACAGCTTCAGTTTACATTAAGCCTCTTTTTATCTTTAAGATCTGTGATTAATTTTATTTGGTAGTTAACATTGTAAACTCACTGATTTTTAATTGAAACTAAATCCTTTTTGCACTAGTCCCTTATAACCAACTATGAATTATGGAATCTCAGCAAATTCAGTTTCAAGTGTTTATATGAGTTCTATGTCTTAAGTTTCCCTTCACTACTGTAAAAATTTTGACTGTTAGTTGGGGTACTTGGATCAGTCTTGTTTCATACAGAACACTGCATATATTAGATTATCTGACCCGAAGGGTCATGATTATCTATAGCCATCATGTTTTGTCTGTTGTCGTGTGCTGTGTGCAAACTTTTGACATTTCAAACTTATTCTCAAGTTCCACCAGTGGGATTGAGCTCAAACTTGCATGAAATGATCCTAAGATGGTCCTTATTAAGTGTTGTTATTTTTTGGGCATGTTTGAATTCCAAGATGGCCACCATATTGAAAAACATGTTTTAAATTTCTTCTCCAGTTCCACTGGTACCATTCAGCTAAATATTGGTGGGAATGTTAAGGAAAGATAGCCAAAAATGTGTTATTATTTTTTCACCTTGTCAAAACTTTGATATGGCAACCATGGAGGCCATTTTGTAACATGATTGTGCAGTCATGGTTTTCCTTTGCATGCCCTTTTCAAACTTCTCAAGTTTGACCAGTTGGATTGAGCACCAGCTATATTGCAAAATAATAGGTGACACTTGTTACAGTTACCTACTCCTCACCAAAACTACCATCTTCATCATGGAAAACAGCTTCTTAGTGAGATTTCATTCAAAGTAGAAAAAATAACCCTTTTCCCTGTTGAAAATTGTTTTAGTCAGATGACTATTACGACCCATGGGCCTCTTGTTTCTTAAAGCCCCAATATACGTAAAAATCACTATAAAAAAACAAACTTTATCTTATTTTCCCCATAATATATGTAACAAAACAAATACTTTCCTTTAATTAAATAAAATAAAACTGACTGTTTTCAATTTAAATAAAAATTGAAAAAATCGGAAAATAAACAATGTGGGACCCACAGTAATTCATACATTACCGCTCGTAGCGATGACATTGCGCATGCGCATATTCCGCGTGTAAACATGGCAGACACAGTACAGACGTCCACCAGTCGCTTCCTTTCTTTCCAATCATACATCAGGCCAGTTCTGAATTCTTACATTATAATTGTGCGTCGTATCGTTTCTAAACTAATTATTCCTTCTAATAATTTAAAAAAAAACTGAATGCTTATCACAGAAATACCTCAAGTCTACGACAAGACTTCACAAACAATGTTTGTAAACATAAACTTACCGTAGACATATCTGCATGTGCTTCCTCTATAAGTAGAAACCTCAACTCTCTCGAGATCAGGTCATGAACTTTCCGACGTTGTTCGGCAACAATCGTAATTTCGGTGGCGGAGTGTTTAAAATGGAGGTGTGTTTACAAATAGCGAGTTTCAACTGCTCATATATCAATACTTTATGCACAAAGTCATGGTAGCTATTGTTTGAATAACTTAATTTTAACTACATCTTAGAGAATATATCAATAATTATGTGTGATTCTACACTAAAGTTTTGGTGAATGTTACGTATATTGGGGCTTCAAAGGATCTTTTATGCAGGAACTACCATAAAATATTGAATTAAATTATTGATTTCAACAACAACTTTGTGCCATGATAAAAGATAGATTTATATTGGATATTAAACCAAGATTCAGTTAGTAAACTGAAGTGCCAGTTTTATTTTAGATATCTTCTACCTCAATGTCTGATTGATACTCCAGAGTAAAATAGTACAGAAAGTTTACAGTATCTTTATAGTCATTTTGTTCACTGAAGAAAACATAATAATTTGTAAAGTTTCATGATAATCACTAACTTTATATATCTTTTTGTTGCAGTTCGTGGAACAGATGGAATATGGATGGTGAATGGACCACCAGATGTTGGGTCTGCCTCACAGTTTCCAGGGTACTAAATTTTAAGATATTTATATGTGCCCCTGTGTTATATTGCTGTTTAAAACCTTCTCCCAGACAATCATTTTTATTTAATCATAAATAACTTCAATATGGAAATTTTTGGTGTAAATTCTGCTGTAATTTTCTGATTCTAGGATACTTTTTAGGAAGTAAATTATAAAAAGATCTGATATTTCTGTTTCTTGTACATAATATGTACATCAAGAAATTAAATGTAGGTTAGCGTTGATGCCTGTCCATGTATGTTTATAATTTATACAGACATTCCTGAAAAGAAGACAATAATGTCATAAAATTCATGTTTGTTTTATGAATGGAAGTCATACTGTGAATCACTTTTACAAATTTTCTCATTCTGGTCAGTCAGTGATTATTGTTGACCTGCACTTCAGTAACAGTTTGGTTTACTTACTTGATTACAATGATATGCCCTCAGGGAGAAATCCAGGTGTCGATGTATGTCCTTCAGTGATGATGGTACCCGTCTTGGCTGGTGTACTGACGATCAGTAAGTACATTATATCAGATTATTCTCAGTTTGAAATGGCTTGAAAACTCTGTGCAATCTGATGACTAGCTCTTGGTAAAAGTTAATTTGTGTTCCTGTTTCAAATAATGTTACCATGATATACCATGAAGAGTTGTAAAATAATTATTGTGCACAGTGATTATTTTTTTGCAGTAAAAATTAATTCCTTGAGCATACCTAAGTCATGAAATATAAAGAGTTTTTTTTATCCTTTCAAATTCAAGCGTTTTCTCTTTTAATATTCCTTAAATAACTGTTGATAAGACTTGAACTTCATTGCAATCCAATTTTAGCGCCACATTTTCAGAAAATTAGCACAATTATGAAATTATGTATATAAACAACATACAGCAACTGCATTTAGTGTAATTATATTTTAGAGCAATGATTTAAGCACAAGTAGCACTAAAATAAGATTACCACTGAAATTTATACATTTGCTCTATGTTTGGGTTAAGCAATTTTTGGACCTTAATCAATAAAAGATTCAAAACCTTCAACCAAACTTTGAAATTTTTTTGGAATCCAATGATGAATGTATCCCCAATCCTAGGAAAACATGTCTTAGTATGTCTTTTCATGGTTGCTGTAGTAACAAAATGAAATTTGCATAAAACAGGAAAATCTAAGTATTTTGTCAATTTGGTAAATTTTTCGTCTAATTTTTGTCATAGACACTAGAACCCAAAGTTTGTTCCAAGAATACATGTTATAGTTGCTGAACGGCAATAATCTCCAAAGTTGACAATACCTTCACATGTCCCTGATTTACTTAGTAACAAATTTGATTACAGTTTTGTTAGAGTGTAATAACTTTAAAATCCATTGATTTAAGAGTTCAATAATAGGATTTAAAAACATGATAGATTTAAAGGTCAAAACGATGCATACTCCTTGGATACATTTAAACAAAACAATACTTAATACTTTTGACCTGAGTTGTCCATTTTGGGATTTAGAATGGACTTACAGTTTAGGAATGAAGTCCCGAAACATTTGGTTATACCTGAATTAGTTAATGCCTGTCTTAATGTAAAATATGATCTCAAATTTTGACATGTAAAACATTTTATGAAACTGTAGAAGATGTTCATTTAAAACATTTAAATGTTAAATTATTTAATTATTTATTCAATTTTTTTTAAGATAAAGATCTATTTTGGTATCTAATTTCGTCCAAACTACCTGGGTCCTGGTCAGTCAGTTATGATATAACCTCTCCATTAGTCATGTTGTAATAACAATTCTTACAAATGGTTTTGGATTGTGTTTCAGGGTCATCGTTATTAACACAAATACTTTTAAAAAGGTTTTCCAACTTGATATCAGCAAAGTTGTCTGCATGAAATTTTCTCCTAAAGGTACCACCCTGGTAATGTGGCAGAATTATACAGGTATGTGTTTCATTACCTACACAGATATATACATATTACCTACACAGATTCCAGGTACATAAACAGCAAATATTAAAGTGTACCCTGAGAGGTCAGCTATGTTGACCTTGAAAAATAGTTCTGCACATAAAATACACTATGCCGAAAACGTGAATGCCGTGGAATGTTCCGTTACACCTTTGGCTGAGAGGCATTGACCTCGTTTTCGGGCACCCAAACCTGTGACGTCATAAGTTCAACGCTTTTGTTGATGCAGCCATATTGTCTTTACTGTGCTACATGTGATTGTGATCTATTTTGGGATTTTCTGTGGTAATTTCTTTGTTTATTTACGTGAAAGTACTTCACATCTTCGCAATATCTAAGGTAGTGAACGAGGGGTCGGTGAATTAGCGCTTAAATCCGCTAAAATGGCTTCCTATCGAGGAGGGAAGCGGTGTGTATGGTTGTCCTGACACTAACACGGATGGGGTGTCGATGCATGACGTCGATAAATAAAACTGATTGCTGATTAAATAAAAGTATATTTGTTAGGTTGATATTTTGTTATTAATTCTACAACTAAACATTTTATATTGATAGGCTAGCCTATGACTTGGGCGGTCATAGGAATATTATTCCTTCGTAATCGTGAACGCCTAATACTCGGAGAAGGCCTAGTCGTGAATGGGTCACGGGAATTTTCACCCCGAGAATTTTCATAATACTATTATATAGTATAGAATGGAATTATTCGAATTTATAAAATAGGTTATGTGTGTATGTTGTTTGTATAAGGTGTATTTGGTTTTTAGATCTTCCAGCAGACGGTGTTGTTTAGTTATTAATTTTGCGATCGTAAAAATAACAATAAGATCACCAATCTTGATTTGAAAACACAGTTCACAGTGTAGAGATGTCATGTAAACTCATAATCACACCTGTGCCAGGTTAGGTAATTAGCACCTCTGTGGCTGGAAAAAACAATTGTGACACCTGTGAGGCGACATGCCTGTCGGCTAACAACAGACGCGTACCAGTGCTAGGGTAAAAACCAGTCAAATAATTGTTTAAACTTCTAAAACATCAAATTTTTATTATTAACACAGCGGAGGGTGTTATAATTGGTTGTTGACACCCTATCTATATATATCCATAGTGCTACGAAAATTCCCTGGAAAGAAAAATTCCCCTCGGACGAAACTTCTTCGGTAAGAAAATTCCCGACACCTCGTGAATGTATGCATAGTCTTGCACAAACGCGATTTCCCGGCGTCAGAAATTGTTGATCGAGACTTGAAGATAGTAAAATTAGTCCAAAACCACACCCAATTTTATTTTGTTTCTTTGAAACGACGATTCACTGTTCGACTACTTTCACGACTACTGGTGAGACCCAGTGAAGTACGTGCCAATCTATGTTGCCCAAGCAATCGTCACTTTTCGAAGGGTCATTTTCCTCCTCACTGGATACATCGTCTTGTAATTCCAGTTCAAATCGATAGGGCTGGATTCCGTCTTCAGACATATCATTCACACCATAATCAGACTCCTCAAAACTCATGCTCATATCGCTCTCAGTTGCGGTGTCGTTGTCACTGTCAGTCATGTTGACTGCCATTTCTGTTGAACTTATGACGTCACGAGTAGAAGAGCCTCGATTCCGCGGAAATGATGATTCGGCTGATTAGGTCTGGGCGGACAGGTGAAAATTGACAACTTTGAGCTTTAATAACTCGACACTGGGGCGACAGATTTTGACGGGGTTTTCATTATTATTATTTTTACGGCATTCTTAAAATTATATCTAAAATATAAAATTACTCTCAGGGTACACTTTAAGCCAATATCTACACCAATATATCTTACAGTTAAATCTCCTACAAAAATACTTCTACTATGTTTTCATGAACTAAAATTCAATGTATACTTTGACTATGTAATTTTCCTTGCTTTGTCACTAGACTGCTTTCAATTCCAGTACAGTATTGTGTATTTAAATTTGCACACTTTTGTTTTAGCACTCTGAGGTGTGTTAGACTTAGTGCAAACTTTGCGCGAAGATGACAAGAATAATTTTCAATTGAGCGTTAAAATATTTTTTGGTACAAACCATAGTTTTCCGTGTGCCGCATCCAATGCACAGATTAGACTCTCACTGAGCCTTGTTTATTATCATGCTACACTATGAAGGTGACCAATCTAACTGACCAAGACTACTCCACTAAATGTGTTCAACACTGAATTGTTGTATGTGTTATATTTTGTGCCCAGTGACAGGATGGAGAAATTTTAACATGCACTTGATTACTTCTATAATAAACAAATATTAGTCAGCATGTAAATCTCTTATCTTAGTTTGACTGGTCAGTTAGATCTACAGTTGATGTAAGAATATACATTAATGTCCATTCTTAAGTATTCAAAGTCTTCAAAAGAAGCCATCCAAATTTCTAAGGCAATGAAATCGCAAAATATAAAATGAGCAGAGATTGCAAAAGGTACGTTTTTTTAATTTTTACAAAAATTTCACAGCACAAAAATAACTGATATATGGAATTTTGTGTGAAGTTATATGTTATCTATAATGATGACAGCCGCATATAAAGCAAGCTGAAACACATCGCCAGTAAATTACACAAAACGCAATTGGAGTGTTGAGATTCATTTAATACTTCATTTAATTTGTTATCTCTGTGTTACAGTCAACCCAGAAACTAAGCAGGGAAATACCAATCTTCACCTGTATGACGTCTCCACAGGAGTTCTGCAGCGCAGCTTTATACAGAAGAAACAGAAAAATTGGTCAGTCTCGCAGACTTGCTCTATCTATCCATAATTTTGTCTGTTACCAGTTACGAACAGGATACAGCTTATTTTATTTAAAATGCTGTTGTGAACAATAAATATGTTTTTCTAGTCAGATTATATGACATAGTTTAATCATAGCATAATGTTATGTTACAGAGATTTCTCACAGCAATCAATCATCACGTGATGTTCTCTTACTTACAGGGAACTGTTACAGATATCAAATCGTAGTGTTTTCTTACTTACACGGAAATCTTACAGATATAAAATCGTATGTTTTCTCACTTACAGGGATCCAAATTGGACAAATGATGAGGGCGTCTGCTGTAGAAATGTTAATAATGAACTTCAGTTTTTCGAGAATAACAAATATGGTGAGCTTTGACCTCTATTTGTTTTTAAATCAGGAGTACAGTTATTTTTCATATTGAAATTTAATATATATATATATAAGTAGGTACTACTGCATGTGTGACTTTATATTTACAAACATGATAGAAATTTGTTTTAATATCAGCAATATTTATATAAGATTGCAATATTTCATACTCTTTCATAATTGTGCAGAAAATTTGATCCCATCTATAAATAGACATGTTAAGCATTAATCCTGTTATTTGGCAAAGCTTTCAAACAATTTCTTTTCTGAAAATTTTTCAACATGGCAATGGCAATGACATTAAAAAGGAATTTAAATTGGGCAAAATTAAATTTGTAGTTTTATGAAATAACAGCTATTCATCATTGTCATAATCTTGTACACATACTCTGTTTTCAGATGAAATTAAAGTGAAGCTGTTGATGCAGAAGATATCGGAATATAGTCTGGCTACTTGTGGTCCTCCATATGTAGTGGCTGGTTATGTACCGGGAGCTAAGGTATTGAAGGAAATTACTTCACAATAACAATGCTATATTATAGCTTTCTCCAGTCCACTAAAGTGACTGTGTATTTGCAATACTTACTAAAAGTAAGACTGACTGAAGTTTCTTGTATCTGGTTATATTTGTATTGTTTCTTAATGTAGTAATAATTAGTAGTAATTACTAATAATGTATGAAAAAGATGTTTTTTTATATATATATATATATTTTTCTTTTTTTTTTTTCTTTTTCTTTTTTTCATTTTAATTCATATTTTGCTGACAATCCTTTGATATATGAAGTATTGGAAAATGATCCCTCTAGACCAACATTCAAGAAATTCATTTGACAATGGATTACATACACAGTTTATCTTCTTGGTTTAAGGATATCTAAATGTACATCAATCTTAGAAAATAAAAATCAAATTTCCGTAGTGTATCTTCTTTTGACTGATTAATGACATTGAGCGAGATAAATATCTAATGTATTGGTAGTAATATAGACGTCGAGAGTAGGCACAACACGAAGCAGTTCCGGTCCAATTCACGATTTATTCGTGCTAAGAGTTGTTGACATGTTTCAGATCCAAGCGATCCGTCATCAGAACTGCTTCGTGTTGTGCCTACTCCTGACGTCTATTCTACTTATTTATAGTGGGTACTCGGTATCCTTTTGGATCCACGGCTGTTCCCGGAAGGAATTTCCTGATTTCACTGATTGTGGGACGTTGTGTTTCCACCCTACCCCCCCACCCCATTGTTGTATTGGTAGTAAGTTAGCTACTTAAAGCTTCATCTGTTCCAGGGTCAGCCGTCCTTTGTGAGAGTTTACCAGTATCCTAACTTTGGAGGCCAGCAGGCAGCTTTGGCCAGTAAAAGTTTCTTTAAGTCTGATACTGTGACCATGAAATGGAATGGAACAGGCACTGCACTGCTAGTCCTCTCATCCACTGAAATCTCTGAGCAGAATTACTACGGTGACCAGGGCCTTCATTTTATATCAACAAAAGGGGAAGCATGCCTTGTACCTAGATGTATGTAATACTTATGGTATTTAAAGTTTTACTGTTATATATATTTGTGTAAAGGAAGTCATCAAATGAATACAGATGTTTCTGTACATACATATGTGTGTATATAATGCTTAACTTTGTCAGGGCTCTTTCAGCTTCATTCTTTCATAATTTTGATCAAACTTCACACAGTTATAAAGGACCATGATATCTCAGACGATTTTAAAATTCAGTGACAGTCCTTGTCGGCCCTCTATCAGTTTCATTTCTGGAGGGATGTTCATCAACACTATTTTTAGAAAATACTTGTCAGCATCGTAGCTGCGTGATTCCCTGACAGATTTAGGTTGGAATTCAAATTCATAAAAAGGATCATGATATTACAGACATGTTTGATTTTCAAGGTTGTAGGTTTAAGGTCAGCACCACTCTTAATATATTTTTTTTACATCACGGAAGGCCATACTCCTTATGGAATGTAAGTCAAAAGGAAATTGCAAGAGGATTTGTATTGTTTATGATAAATAGTATTTATTGTAGTAGTCAAATTATAGGTAAACAAAGTGTGATCAGTACTAATTTTCTTTAGCTTGTTAGGAAAAGGCTGTCAAGGTTTTCTTATATTAATATCTGTCGAAAGAGCATGATAAAACGTAATACACTTGGTTATTACAGCTAAGAACGGTCCTGTTTATCACGTGGAATGGAGTCCAAAGTCTACAGATTTCTGTGTTGTCTACGGATGTATCCTTTTACCTCTGTATTAAGGCCTACAGAGAGGCACCACAATTTAAAATGTGTATTGGAGTAAAATCTATATACAGATATCACATTGACTTCCTTATCTATACGCAACAGCCAAAGCTAATAACATCGAAAACAAACTGTAGGCAATATATATCGGAATAGAATTTCATGTTTAAAGCTTTGCTGTTTTATTGTTGATAATAAATGTCATGATATTTTGAAGAATCCACCATACAACATTCATGCAGACCTTATATTTCATGATAGTTTTCTTATACTGATCTTGTTATCATTTTCAACTTAGTTTTCTTTATCACCAAACTGTTTGGATAATTTGATTGTTATTTATTTCAGATTTTATTCTTGTTTGAATTTCCTTAACTTTCACTCAGTCATGCCGGCGAAGGCTACGTTATACAACCTGAAATCAGAACCTCTATTTGACTTCGGCACTGGTCCTCGCAATGTGGCTTTCTTCAACCCCCAGGGATCCAATATCCTTATTTACTGCAATTTACCCCTAAACAGATTTAGTTACCTAGGTGAAAGTAAAAAGATCAGGAAGTGGAGGAGGAAAGATATACCCATATGGGTTCTGACTCACTTTGTTTTATGTCTTATCAGAAGACTGTGGTGTTACTTTTCCTGCTTTGTCTCAGTCTACATACTTGTACAACCAGTTTTGGATCTCTTCCTTCCTTAGATCTTTCTCAAATTTCAGATGTCATTTCCCTTTGGTCTGTACTTGTACCACTTTGATTTTGAGTCTGATCAGAAAAACACAATGACAGACATACGGCTGTCTTGGATTTTGACTATGAAAGTTTGTTATCTTTATTTCTTGAGAAGTACTGGAGATTTTTTTTTTCAAATTTAGTATGTAGGTTATGTTGGTCACTAGTTGTGCCTTTCTGATTATGGGACTGATAAGGAAAAAAAATTTGGCTGACAGGTGACCATCTTTATTTTTTAAAAATTTCTTTATGGAATGTTTAAACCTTGTATAAGAGTAAAAACAGAGAAGAGATTTTTTTCAACAAATAAAGATCAAACAATGGTAAGTGCAAGAGCCCTATTCAATATCTGGTATTGATATTATTCCTTATGTGATACTCCTCTGTCTCGCTGGATTTGGAAATCTCCGTGGAAACCTGGAATTCTGGGACACCAAGCAGCGAAAGCTGATCAGTCAGGCTCAAGCACCAGACACTACAATCTTTGAGTTCCACCCAGATGGGGAACACTTTCTTACAGCCACCACAGCACCACGGCTACGAGTTGGTAATGGGTAAGTACATGATGTTCTTAACTTTATTAATTTCCATCTAGACTGTAAACACTATCTCAGAAGTACCAAAGCACTAATAGAAGGTATTAGGTTATATTCTGTTATATATTTAGCTCCACCAGGATGGGGAACACTATCTCACAATTAATTCTGCATTGTGACTACAAGTCTGTGAGTATTGTATTACTAATGTGATTGGGCATCATTGTGTTGTATTACTTATTTTTTGATGGACGATGTTTTAATACAGTTTAACATTTCATATTCTAAAAGTTTTTTCTAGGAGTAAATTTTCAAGAATTTTACTGCTCATCGTCAGATATTAATTTATTCATGTCCATATTGAGAAATTGCTAGTAAATCACTCTATTGCATGTCCCAGACAGACTTGTGGTCTATCAGAAACTTTTGAATACATAGTGTTAATTAGGAACGTCAATGATATGAAAATAAGGAATCAATTTGGAAAGAATAACATGGCTGTATACATTGTATACAGTATCACGCATGATCTATGTTCCTGGTTTGTTTTACTGGTATACATTTAGGTGTGACATTTATACTGTAGATAATCAGGGAAGTGGATTGAATTGGTTTGTGTATTTGTTTGATTAACTTTTGTATATAGGTACCGAATATGGCACTTCACTGGCTCACTGCTGCAACAAGTTAATGTTGATGGCAATAAAGAACTTTGGGAGGCCCAGTGGCAGCCTGTTCCCAAGGGAACCTACCCAGAGAGAATTCTCAACTACAAGGCCGCTCAAGCTATGGCTGCAGAGGTGGCTCCAGTCCCTGGAGGTTTGTTTTTATAGATGTATCTGGCATTAAGTCCATGGTAATAAGCCCACCCACAGTTACTGCGCAGTAGATGTAACGATAAGTAACATATCATCGCCCTGTAATAAGCCCTCTTCCGTGGAGGTCAGAGGTTATGTGTAGGCCCCATGGACTTGTTTCTGGAGTGATACAGAATATAAAGTATATAAGTAAGGGTTGTCAGGTCAAACATTATTCTGTGTATAATGAGATCTAGTGTATATGTTGGTTCTAAGATGACAAAGGAATTTGGATTTATCTAAAATGAAACTTCATATACAAGGAATTAATTATATTTGAAGTATGATAGTAAAATGAATTATAGAGATATTTGAGAGAAAATATTGTAGAGCAATGTATAGATCCATATGTTGTGGTCAGAGTTGTTGTGAAAGGTAACCTATCTACATTGCAGTAAAAGCTGGCGTTTATCGTCCCCCACAAGCTAGAGGCACCGAACCATCATTCAAACTACATGAATATGAGGCACCGTCAGACCCAAACAAAAAACCGACAGTAGAATCTGGTGAGTAGCACTGTTCATTCAAAACTTCCTATTTTATTTCTTTTATTTCAGAACATTTTTTATTTTAAGAATACATTACAAAGGGAATTTTGTGATAGGCAATGATTCATGAGAGCTCTTTCCTTTAGTTTTGTTTCAAATATCTCATTTCTGTTTACCTTGAATGTAATACTTTTCAGCAGTTTTCTAAGATTGATCATTTTCAGTATTTTAAGATAAGTTGTTTAATTTGGCGAATAAAAAGATTGTGAAGTTATTTCATTTTTCAATCATGATAGTACACTTAATTACTTTACAATATGTGGAATCTGTATTAAAGTCAACTTGCAAACTTTTCTCAGGTGAAAGTAAATCTGCAAGTAAAAATAAGAAGAAGAGGGATGCAAGGAAGGCAAAACAGGCTCGGGAAAATGAGGTATTCATTGCTATTATCTCCCCTGAAAACGTTCCGGGCAGCTTTATTGGCTAAGTGGTGTAATGTGTACTTAGTGTTATTCATAGGGGGTTAAAATTTGCTATACTTGCAGTAATTTGTGAAATTAAGTACTCAGCGAATATCTTTAACACTGATTAAAAATCTCTAATAATGTAGATTTTATGTAAACATACCTGGATACCAATGTTAAAGCATGCTTTCCTGTTTACTGCTAAAATAAACTCAACCAGGGAAGACACAAAATATTAGGCCCATGAAATTAAATAACTCTTTAATCGATATTCCCTTTTGTTATTTGGACTCTGCTTCAGTACCTTTCCTGTTTAATACCATGGAAGTGAAAAGACAGAAATATTGTCATTTTTTTCCATACTTTACTGACAATCATTTGAAAAATAATCCACAATGTTAAATCTATTGGTAATGTCTTTCACTATTTGAAAGTTAAATATCTGTCCTATTATTATGGTCACATACGATCAGATAATTAAGTATAAGTTATAGAGAGGACAGGGTATTATATATTAAATGACATTTGGTGATAAGTCTGAGGAAAAATGAATTATTCAGTGATTATTATTTTAGCAGGGTGAAGCCTCATCTTCAGCTGCGCCAGTGGTTTCTGCTCCAGCATCTGTTATGGGAGCACTTGCTTCACAGGTGCCCTCTACTGGTGACCCAGATAAAGATAAGAAAGCCCGAAATATCAGGAAGGTAAGAGTACAAATTTTGCATAGTCTTGATAAAGCATACAAGCCTGCATTCATACAAATTACAATTTGCGGAACATGTTTATCTCCTGGCCTCAGATCCTCCACCTAATGGTATCCAACAAAACTTCCCTGAACAGTTCATAAGAACTGACACTTTGTGATGGTAGTATTGTGGCAGGAAACAGTTAATTTGCACTTTTTCCTTAAATTATTGGTCATGTTTTAGATATACAGGTATAGCAGATTGGTTATGAAAAATACATTATTATATGTATATATATTTACAAACTACAAAACAATTACATTAATAGTAGGGAGATAACATTTGTGTAACTCAAAATTTTCCTCTGATTTCTGACATTTGATTGTCATGGTTACCTACTGAAAAATGCTAGAAATGCCAAAATACTGCTAATTCCAACCTAACACTACAACTTTCCAGAAGAAATTTATAAACACCTATCTTAAAATCAACAACATGGTAACAAAGTACTTACATTTCAGCAAATTCCAACACGGAAATCCTTCATAACCTGACCACATGTAAACACTATGAAAATTTCACTTCCTTTAAAGCTGGTTTTTGGTGCATAGACACAGATTGGTGACTGTCCCAATAGTAATCTCCCACACAAAACTAAAATTCTATTCTGAGAAAAAGTAAACCCCACATTGTCCACTTTAACATGACAGGACCAATCTTAGCAAGGATTTTTTTTTTTTATTTTAATTAAAACATTTATAATGGGCTCATCTGATGAACAAAAATAACCACCCATTGTCACACTGAGAAACTGTGTACTGCTACCTATGTTTATATCCTGTTATCATATGCGAATGCTTGACAGTCCATTGGAAGTAACACTTTTTAGGGTAGCTGGTGTACCTCCTCGTGTTAGATGCTCTACCAAATTGTATAAAAGTCTCCCTCACAGTCAGTAAAAAGTAATCCTATAACACAGGTGAAGTACGTTTATCTGATGGGAGGGTATGAATACAGGAACAGAGACAGTTTTGAGATGTAGGGATCAGAGTGTGTTCACCTTGTGTTATATTATTTACTGTACATATTTAGATGTGGGGGCAATAAAATGGCATTTGTTGATAGTTCTACTGAAACTCAATATATATCTGGACAGGCTTAATACCATACTTGGGCTTTACTGATGGAGCTTGAGGAATATGGCTGGTTTAGGGAAGTTTCACCACATAATTGTGCTTTACATGGAACTGAAAACAATTTCATTTGTACTTGGAAGGGACATTATACAATGGATTGTAATGGTGTCATTCTAAATTTCAGAAACTACAAGCCATACAGAAACTGAAAGACCAGAAGGCTGCTGGAAAACAGCTGGAATTAAACCAGGTACCAATCTGTTTACTTGACAGATAACTTAATTCTGTATGGTATATGTGATTATTTAGACTTTCACTCCACACTTACTTCACTAGTTTGTGGTGCTATTCTGTTAACAATAAACATACTTTTACCATAAAGCAGCTCTTAATTCTTTAAGTCTTTTTCAAATAAAATCACCATATGCAAAACAATTCTAGCAATGTATGAAATTATACAATAGGAATGAAAGCAGATTACAATTAGATAAAACAATGGTGTTCATTTAAGAGAGAGGTAAAACATTTGTGACCAAGATCATTTAAATGGCTACTTATTCGGATAATTTAGATGGTAAATTCCCTGTATTCTATGGTTAAAAGGAAAAGAATATCTTTTTGACAACAATTGCAAAACAGAATTTTTGAACTTATATCAACCTGGCTGGAAGACTTATATCAACCTGGCTGGAAGCATGTGAGAGGGCTTACTCTGGGAGGAGACAAAGGAGTGGGAAAAACCCACATGTTCAGAAACATCATTTATATGGTGAAATCCCTGTAACCTAGGTCATACAAATGGTAAAATCTCTGTAGCCACAATCATTTAAATGGTAAAATTCCTAAGCCAATGTCATTAACGTGACAAACAGTACTTTATAGAACCTGGATAACCTAACACATGCTTGTGTTACTAATCTAAATTCAAGTCATTCCATCCTGAAATAAGATGATTTTTTAGAACCTTTAATATTTATATCACAAATTATATCGCTACAATCAAATTCTTTGTGATGATTTCATTCCAGATTGAGAAGCTAAAAACAGAGACCTCATTACTAGAAGAACTATCAGCTCTTGGCCTTGAGGATGACTGGAGTTGATGTTGAAGCTTTTTCTTGTTCAATAAAATGTTTATTATTACTACCCAGATTGTATAGTCATTGATCTGTATCATTTAAGTGCTTAACCTTACCTGTGATATTATGAATAAAATGGAAGTGAAAATATTTTCTGTACTTTGCATGACTCGTCTATAATTTCACATACTGATAAACCAGTAGTGTGGATCTTGGATTTTGTGGTTACAGATAAAATACCTTCACTAATTCTACTCAGTAATACTGATGTATCTCTCAGAATTCTAATCAAGTATACTGACGTGCGAGTCATTGACAGCAACTTCAGCATGAATATCTGTTTTACACTCTGATCAAAGTGTAAGGAACTGTTAATCCATTCTCTCCATCAATCTCTACTATTAAATCAACGTTTTGTTGAGTCAAAACTGATGTTGATGCTGTTTATCAAAGGTTATATATGGTTTTGTAAGGATAATCATTGTGACCTACATTAGGTCATGGTCTAAATGATCTGTCCCAAGAGAAAACATTTACAGAAGCCATGTATTATACCTCCAAAGGTATTGATGGAGGGAGGGGATACAGCATGACTGAGTTCTCCTTTCTTAGATACATTTGATTTCAAGATGGGAAGGTTAAAACTATTAAGTCAAGGTCATAGTCACCATGTGTTTTCTTGTTGGTATGTCAATTGTGGAGATAACATTTCTAGCCATAGTTATTATGAACAAATAAATAGAAATAGTGATAAAATTATACTTATATTATGTAATAATTTCCTATCGATCTTGATCTACAGAGAGAACGATTTCAAAGGGAGATAATTTACCTATTAACTAGCTGGTAACCTATTAATTTACTTTAATTTTGCTTCTTTGCTAACCCTGACAAATCTTTTTGAGTCTTGTATTTATATCTACAGGTCTGTCTTGTCATTGCAATGAACATGTTTTGCATAAATAAAGGCAGCCCTGTGCACAAAGGACAAAATGATTGATAAATTACTCTTTTTTTTATTTCACAAACTTAATATCAAATCTAGATGTTAAACATCGAGAAAATAGTTGTATTTATTCGAACGACACCTAACATCTTTCTTCAACACTCGGACGTCTAGTTGTAAGTCAAAGACACAAAATACACGATTCCCTTTGATATTATTCGCACTGACAAGGAGATGGCTTTCACATCAGCTGGTAATTAATTTATAACCAATTACCAAGAAAAACCAATATCAACAAAAATTGTTTGTTGATAAAGAAATGAAAGATACAGTATACTAGTGTCTGTCCATTGCTTTTACAAGGCATGACTCTGAGTGGTCTGGAACATTTGGTTGCACAGCCTTTTATACACACAACTATCCCTTTCCTCTTCTCCACACACAAACCTTGCACACAATACTATACAGAATCAACAAATTATCACTTCCAGCTTCTATGTCCATGATTTTCACAGTCAATGTCATTTGATGTTGAGGCACAACCAACCACTACCTTCATAGAAAGTAGTGATAAAAAAGCAATAATGATTTCTGTATCACCAAGAAATACCAGCATTGTAGCTGTCAGCTTATCCAGGGGATGCATATGGTTGTTCATTATTGGTTATGCTGGTTTTTTTGTATCAAACTGGATTTAACTTTTCCCAAGAAAATTGTCAATGATAGATATGTGATTTCAGTGTTTTGAAAAAATGAATGATGGGGAAAAACTTCCAATTCCTTGTCTGTCAGTTGAAACACTTTTCATTTGAAATGTCTCATTTCTTTAAATTTGCATCTATGAAGTCCTTGGCCTCATTTATTTTGGCTGCTATATAGGGTGATCCACCTGAAAAGACAAATCATTTCAAGATCAAGACATGGTAGAATAAAGTTAATCTTCAAGGATTGAATGGTCGTAAGGTGCTTTACCAAATTGTAAATTTCATTACTCCAAGATCTCACATTTCCCCCATGTACAGGGGGAAAAGTTTACTTAAGATTATATAGATTAATTACATTTTTGAGCATAAGCTGTTTATTTTCAATTTGAAATAGATCAAATTTGGTTAGAATTGCTACAATAGGGTGACAGTCTGATGATGCTTGACAATTAATGTAGTGTTGTGAATCCTATTTCACACCAGAAGAGTGGGAAATACGCTCTAGTACTGTCACAGTCTCATAACTTTCATAATTCATTTGGATATACTTCATACCATATTGCAACCATGTTAAAAGTTCAATTTGATACAGAACAAGTTTTTCAAGTTTTTCAACTTTTATGAAATCTTTCTCTGTGGCGTAGCATGTCACACCATAAATGACATATACCTCGATCTGGATGATTCAGAAGCATGATCCTCTTGTGAGCTTCTTTCACCTTTGCCCTGCTAGCATTTGGGCTACAAAAAAAAAAACTTTTTTTTCATAAATGCTTCATATAACTCCCAACTCTCTATAAATGTTCATTATCTACAAACCAATGAGCCCATACATGGTACTAAGCCCACTTCGATCTGAAGCTGTTGAGTAGAATTAGGGGAAAAAAATACATTCAAAGTTTTAAGGGCACCTTTATACAAAGGCTGTTACTTAACTGTCAATTGTTCTCTGCACTCTTGGGTGACCATTATAGACAGGTTTGACTGTAATGTCATTTCGTGGTCTGTAATAAGCCTATTCCTTGATGTAATGTTTATTTTGGCCCTTGTGTTTATTGCAAGATAAATACAAGTATCTTATCATGACTAGCTCAAATCATGAAAAATGCTAGGATCACCTCATATTTCTTTACTTTTTTTTTCAGTATTTCAAATTTTCAAATTCAATGTTGGATATTTCATCTAGTCAAAATAATGTTCAACTATATCATAAACCATCATCTAAATACAGGCAGATCACTACACGTTAGAACTGATTATAAGGTCATTTCACCATATTTTACCATCTATTTGACAAGAGGTTGACATCACGGAGTGTCTCAAAGTGAAAGTTCAGTGGTATTTCACTCACCTGATACCAAGGATAAGGCCAGCCTCTCGTTTATTCATTTTTGGATCAAATCCTCCCTTATAGTATTTACTGAATGACTGAAAGATAAAATGAAAAAAATAAGCCCATGTACATCATACAGTCAGACCACAATGACCTTTCACTACCATGTTTTCCAGCTTATATTCCAGTGCAGCTTATAAGGGGGTCAAATTGGGGGGGAAATGGTAAAAATCAGTTCTCAGGCTTATATACCAGTGCAGCTTATAACCTGGAAAATATAGTACATTAATATTATGAGAGCACTGGGATACCTCTATCACTAAAAAAAATAGTTTAATGGCCAAACTTGAAGATTTCAAGTAAGTTCAACAAGCCTAGTCATTGTATGGAGGGATTTTCTAGTGGTGAAATGTAAAACAGTTGGTTAGAGTTGTAAATATAGATCATGGGATAAGGGCCCAGGAATTATAATTCTGGAGGAACAAGGTGACAAAACAACATGCTTAGAGAACAGTTTGTTTTTTTTGCTGTTATAATTGTGAGTAGATTTAAAGAATTTTATTCAATATTCAAAGTGCTGTTCCAATCACAAAGCTCCTTTGATAAAGTGAATTGTGTAATATTTATATATATAACACATTCTGAACTTAATGTGATAACTATTCAATAACATGTTGCTCTGAAAATTAATTATGACATAAAATTGATTGTAACACAACCCATTCCAGTAAGATAATGATTAATGAAATTATCTAATGAACTGAAGAGATTCAAATTGCTGTATGTAATTTTTCTTTTCATTTCTGTGTGATCTGCATTGATTAATCAACTGAATATTTGGAGACAAAATTCACAAAGAGGTGATCGTATCTATCTAACACATTACAAGGAGGTTTTTTTCAACTCCCAAAGCACTGACCCGAAATAACAGTCATTATAGCTGTTGTATAAACAAACATCTAATACACGCCCAGAATAAACTCTTTACTAAAAAGTGTTTTGATTGGTCAACCCAGTGAATTTTGACCGAAGGAGTGCATCACACATTCATAGAAATAAAAACACTAATTAGAAGTTCTGGATTGTTTTAGTAATAATTTGATTTTATACGGATTTCTATCAATTTATTGCTTTGAAGATAAACCATGATAATAATATATACCGCTGATCTTCCCTATATACATCGAGATTGTACATCAGAGGTAATGCAAATCACTTCCTCTCCAAACTCTTAATTAATTCCAAAGAAAATTAGGATATATAGGACAACAAACCAGTAAAATATTACTGGAAAAAAAACACTTGTTCAAACAACCAAATCAGTTTTACTGAATAAATCATATGTAAATCATAATGCATATATTGTTTTTAAGATAGGCAAGTCTTAAATTAAGTAAGCCTTGACATCTTGATATTGATCATATCATTTTCGTCAAATTAAGTTGACAATGACCTCAAATTACAAGCAAAGGTCACAAATCTCTCATGCCTGCAACTATAATCTGATGAAAAATACTTCAAAGGAATATATTATTATGTCTATATATTTCAGAGTTTACAATAGCTGTTTAACAAATCAGTTACTGTGGTAGTTGATAGTCTGTTAAATTGATAAGACTGGTTAGGAAATTTTGTTCATTATTACCAATTTCATTAATTCTAACACAAATAGTTACATGTATATATACTGCATAGTAAGAGAATTGTACTCATATACACTTACCCCATTTGGAATTGAATCAAGCGTTTTCTTTAGATGGCTTTGAGCATGTTTTCCATACTTCAAATAAGCACGGCCTAAAAGATAAAATAACATGCTATTTACAAAATACACAATGTGGGGTTCACAAAGACCACACAAGGTTGGCTCTACCCCTCTTTTACATCTATGATATTAAAAATTTACTCGAATTTCAGATAATGTGGTAGGATTGAAAGAATTAGGTGAAGTAGATATATGTTACATGTAAGTTTTTATCAATCTGTGGTGTTTAAACCTGAAATGATCCTGATAATTCAGGGACGATGATTCACTTACCAGCAACTCCAACAGCTGCCATACCTAGACCCAGCAAGATCGCAGATGACTGAAACACAACAAACATTATTGTTATATAGTGCTTTCATCATCTGGTGATGAAAGATAACTCTGAGAGAACTTTTATCCATGCACCTCTTTAGCTTTTGTAAACAAGTAAATAGTTTGGATTTTTTCTCACAACTTTTGAAAAACGTCCTTGTTGTGTGAGGAACTCTAAAAGTACACATCTATATTCATGATGAAATGTTTAATACGGCACGGCAGACCAAAAATGAACCAGCTAGAAATGTTTTGGTGACTATACCCTGTATACATTTGAGTTCATGATCATTTAAACTTTTAATTTAAAACACAAAACAAAACGTTTTGTCTGCAATAATTGCATACCTACCTTTAAGCTTAATCAATAGGGTTTTACTGTGTCATAATATCACTTTACATTTATTAATTTAAACCAAATACAGATTTCATCACTTTCGATTCGACAGTAGTTGTTCATACACATGATTTTCAACGAAGAAAACCCTTTCATTATATAAGTATTTGACAAACAAACTATACTTTATGTAATGAAATAGGGACATTGGTCAATGTCAAATTTGTGTTTTATATTTAACAATTAAAACAATTCATGATCGCAAATTTGATTATATACTTACCGCCATTTTCTATTCCAATATTGATGTATCAGTCAAAATTAGATTTTAGAAATAAAAACCGGTTCATACGGTTTTATAATGAGAGTGATGACACTTCAGTTCATAGTTGCACGAAACGACGTCGTTGACAAACATGTGTTTCCGGTTTGTTGTCGTAAACAAGAAGGATTTGATTAGAATTAATCTATTTTTTTTCAATATCGATACTATTACTTATTTTTGTAAAAAATGGCGATAATTTTCTCTTATTATTTATTTCAATTATTTTTTCAAGAATATAGTCATACACTCTATCCGTCTTCATTTACGTTAATCAAAATGGCGCTGCCCATGAGACGGATCGTGAAAACCAAGGGTTTCTTAATGATTCGGAGAAAACAATTGTCATGTTGTGAATTTCAAACTAGTTGTAAATATTTTTGTCGTGATATGGTGAGAGTTCGCTTTGCCCCAAGCCCCACAGGATATTTACATTTAGGATCATTAAGAACAGCTCTTTTCAACTATTGTCTAGCGAAATCAAAAGGAGGAGTATCAATACTTAGGATTGAAGATACAGATCAGGTATGACGTGACTATTCGATGGAAAGAATTATTTATAGTATTCAATTACTGTATATACATAGTACTTCTACGAACAGTTTGTCATGGGGGAAATGGGTGCTATCAATGTAAACATCCCAAGTTTTCTGAACTTGGAACAACTTTCATATTGCATAGCCTGAACAATTACATGTGGTAATTGGGGAGGGTGGAGGATACATGAATGTCAGTGCTGTGTGCATGTGTTGGGCAGTGATTCTGATATACTTTCTGTAGTATATAGTAACTTAATATGTATCGGGTACTGGAGCACTGGCAAAAATCTGGCTATACATGTATAGAGCAAATGTAAACATATGTAGGTCTGGTCACATTTCTTTAGTGCAGACCGGAAAATGAATCATGTAAGTCAGTGAAATGAACGTTTTTTGGCATATTTGTTAAATTTCTGGTTATTGTTTTTAGTTTCATTGTTACATATTTTCCCTATCAACATGAACTCACTATTTAGTAACAAACTATAGAGCAAGTCCATCCAATCTGGCAATTCACTCATTGCATCATCTGCAGATAAGCATCCCTTTGATGCAAAATTGCGCCACATGTGCGCATTCGGCATGTTTTTTCCATACAAAAAAATTATAACATGCAGTATATATGGGTTGTATGGTGGAAGCAATTGAAATATGAGGTGCTTTAGTCATGAATTAAGGAAGGTTCCATCAGAACATGTATGCAAGTACCAACAATTGTAATGACGAAATTCAACCATCTGACCGGAAATCGTGGCTTATGTCAAAAACATTTGTTTTACCAACTCGCTAGATTCTTTGTCTATTTTTAAGACATCTGACCAAGGGTGCTGATATTAGGCCTGTAGCATCCATGGAGTAAGGGCTACCAAATTTGTAAATATAACGGACATTGATCCACTTTCAAAGTCACAGTGGTCAAATATTTTAAATGTTTAAACAACTTCTTCTCAATAACCAAAAGGCTCAGGGTGCTAACATTGAGTCTGTGGCATGTTAGGATGAAGGGCTACCAAGTTTATTATATGAATGACCTTGACCTACTTTAAAGGTCACAGGAGACAAATATATTCAAAATGTTTAAATAACTTCTTCTCAATAACCAAAAGGCCCAGGTTACTGATATTGGAGTAAATATCATTGACTTTGATCCACTTTCAAGGTCACAGGTGTCAAATAAGTCAAAATATTTAAACAACATCTGCTCAGTAACCAGAAGGTCCAGGGTGCTGATATTGAGCATGTCGCATGCTTGAATGAAGGGCTATCAAGTTTTTTCAAGTTATTGACCTTGACCTGCTTTCAAGGTCAAAGGTGTCTTAAATCTTAAAACATCATCTTCTCAATAATCAAAAGGTCCATGGTACCTTTAGCATACTTGGATGAAAGGCTACCAAGTCTGTTTAAATGAATAACCTTGACCCACTTTCAAGGTCACAAGGGTAAAATGCCTATTCAGGCTCTTTCATATATAGGTCTTTACAGTAAGATGACTATTAAGGCCTGTTTGCCTCTTGTTATATTTAAGCCTTATTAATTGTCAATTGTAGAGCAGAAAAATCGAGGGAGCAACAGAGGAGATAATAAAAGTACTTGACTGGGCAGGGTTGACACCAGATGAAGGTATGAGTTAGTTTGTATTAATTATGTAGAGTCAGAAATTATGATATCAGCTTTATTTCATTTACAATAATCCAGAATGCTATGTAAAAGGCAAGTGCATTACCACTGCACCACCCGACCACTGTTTGTTCGTCTTTCAATTAGGGCTTTGCATTGACCTACTTTTGAGGTCAACGGTGTTGGATTTGAGATTTGAAAGTCCACCAAAAGGATTAGAGGAATATTGACAGAAACTAAAAGAACTTTATGAAAAGTTATAGAATACTATAGAACTTCTGCCAAATTAATGTTTTGAATATTTGAAAACAGCTCTCTCTCATATGAAATAACATGAGTATTGTGAGACCAGATAATATTTTCTTGTCTCATGCCAAAGAGAAATACTTCACTTTATCAAATTTAATACAAATCGTGAATCCAAAATTGAAAATGCCAATGAGAAAGCGCTAGTTTATGTTATAATTATAAGCCTCCCAAATTTGAAAGTAAAGGATTGAAAACTACAGATGAGATCAGAAGATAATAACTCTTCAAGTCAAAATGGAGGGAAAAACCATACAATATGATGATAAATCACACCAAGTTTTAAAGTAATTAGTCACAACTGAGTTGATAAAACTAGGAACAGGGAAAAATTACATATACTTGATACTATTTATGTACAAGTCATTATAAGCATCATCATCCACCTTTTCATTCTTATGTTATGATTTCCATTAGACTATATGCCTTACAGGTGTATAATCTGTGTTATTTGAGATTTCTGTTTCTAACATAGGTCCAGTAATAGGAGGACCTTATGGACCCTACATTCAGGTTAGTACATCTATCATAGGCCTGCTGTACAACTATCAATGAAAGTCTTAAACTGCTTGTTCCTACTTTTTGTGAAGGTTTAAAAATGTTGCACAACAGATTGTTAATTACAATTTCCTCTCCTTTTAAATGTTTACTGATAACTGGATTGTGAGAAGCCATCCATGAATAGTACAAATATGTATTTGTGAAAATGTGTTTAGATATCAATGATAACTTGATCTTTCTGTGTTCTAAAATGAACAGTCAGATTAAAAAATTTTGATGAAATTTCATGTTTGTAATGTTAGAGTAGGATAACCTTCTGACATAACATGATCACTTGTCTGATGTAACAGGTCTAGAATTGATGATCATGTGTAGAAGCTTTCCGAGTTGAATATAGTCCTTTTCCAACTGTAAAACGTTTCTTAATATTGGTAGTAATGTATTGTTAAATCATGTTTGATTTCATGATCAAATCATACTACAATGGTTGAGACGACACTGAAGCAATTTGTATTGTTATAAAATTTGCAGATTAATATAAGAGTGCACATAATTGTCACGGATAGATCTCATACTTCCGTTTTCCAATCTTTGTGAACCAGTCATACACGTGATTTGTATGAAAATCTAATAAGTATTTACAACCGTCATCTGTCAGTGACTAACACCTGTTAGTGACTAACACCTGTCAGTGACTAGCACCTGTCAGTGACTAACACCTGTCTGTGACTAACACCTGTCAGTGACTAACACCCCTCAGTAACTAACACCTGTCAGTAACTAACACCTGTCAGTGACTAACACCTGTCTGTGACTATCACCTGTCAGTGACTAACACCCCTCAGTAACTAACACCTGTCAGTAACTAACACCTGTCTGTGACTAACACCTGTCTGTGACTAACACCTGTCAGTGACTAACACCTGTCTTTGACTGTCACCTGTCTGTGACTATCACCTGTCTGTGACTATCACCTGTCTGTGACTATCACCTGTCTATGACTATCACCTGTCAGTGACTAACACCTATCTGTGACTACCACCTGTCAGTGACTATCACCTGTCAGTGACTAACACCCGTCAGTAACTAACACCTGTCTATGACTAACACCTGTCTGTGACTAACACCTGTCTGTGACTAACACCTGTCTGTGATTACACCTATCTGTGACTCCTGTTTGTGATTAACACCTATCTGTGACTAACACCTGTCTGTGACTAACACCTATCTGTGACTAACACCTATCTTTATCTAACACCTATCTGTGACTAACACCTATCTTTATCTAACACCTATCTGTGACTAACACCTATCTTTATCTAACACCTGTCTGTGACTAACACCTATCTTTATCTAACACCTGTCAGTGACTATCACACCTATCTATAGCTAACACCTGTCTGTAACCTGTCTAGAACTATCACCTACATATCTAACTAACATCTGCTTATAACTTACACCTGTCTCTAGCCTAAAGCTTCACTCTTGATTAAAACATTTTAGTATACAGCAACACTTGATGCCTCAGCATCTGTCTAAATCGATAACAATTCTTTATAAACAAGGTACCCACCTAATTATCACTCTGTAACTGTACACAAGCTGTTTTATAACTGTCAACAAGCTACAGCTTATTGTGTGATAATATCTTTGAATAAACCATTAAAGTATTGTTACTTCAGTAAGTATATCTGTACAGTGTATGTTCTGTGTGTAATATGTATGGCTTGTAGTACCCTGTATATACAGATATGTTTACTGTAGGTGATGTATGACATGTAATATCTGTAATATTTACTATGTATGGTATATATTGTCCAAACTATTCTGTTCTCAGTCTGAAAGGAAACAGATCTACCAAGATGCCGTAGAAACATTACTTCAGGTAAGACTGACTGACTGGAATGGTTAATAAAACATTTATATAGATCTTGTGAAAATTATCACTTGTATGATGTAACAGTGTGTAACTTTTAACATTACATTGTTATGGTAGTAGAAGCTTTCGGAGTTGATGAATAATTTTCATATCATTGCTAAGTGTTAAGGATAGAGAAAAGTATTTTTAGATGAATTGTAATATTAAAATAGGATCAATTCCTAGTGAGTGTTGTTACCTTATACTGGAATCTGACCAGAATTAACCACCTGTTGTAGAAGGGTGCAGCCTACCTATGCTTCTGCACAGAGAAGCGACTTAGTTTATTGAGAAAAGAGGCCTATAGAAGGAAGGAGATCCCCAAATATGACAACAAATGTAGAAATTTAACGCCAGATGAAATTGAAGAAAAGAAAGCCCAAGGTATTCCGTGGGTGGTACGATTGAAGGTAAGCTTTGGTGTTGTACACATGTATGCTGGGAAATTTTTGTCAAAAGAGCAAAATTCACATATGGATAAATGTTTGAAGCTTATGCTGATTAAATGCTTGTATGTATTCTGTGGCAAATTAAATGCTGAGGGTCAAATGAAAAGTTATTTTTGAAGACAAGAAAAAATTATTGCCTGTTTTCTTGTGTACAGTAATGAAAAATTTCAAATAAAACTATCAAGATATAATATGGAAAATAGTGTACATGTCACAGTTCCAGATATATTCTAACCATGCAGACACTTAATTATATAATGTGTATTGCATCATTGATGATATTATCATTACTCAGCCTGGGTGGCTCAACACAATTGATTCAATATTGGTTTTTAGAAAATGGGAAAAATATGTGATCATTGATCTTATTTAGTCTGTAGGAGAAATAAAAACGATGTGACAAATAGTATATTCTTACCTTAGATATTGAATTCTGTTAATAAAAAAGATACTTGATCAATTTTAAGTTAAACTAAACTTATTTGCATCAAAATTGATAGATGAAATATCATGTAATATCATCCAAAACACTGGAAGTAGATAGGAACTTTGTTTTTTAAAGAAACTTTTAGAAAAAATAATTGAAAGATATGCGAGATTTGTTTGATGATTTCAAGTGTGCTGATTTGTTGGTAGGTTGACAACTGGAATCAGTCATGGAATGATGTTGTATATGGACACATAGCAATTAATCACGAAGAAGGAGATCCTGTAAGTTAGAAATAGACATCTCTGTTGTTAAACTTCCCTCTCCTACACACAATAGTTTTATTGTCCTGTAAGTAATAGACATCTCTGTTGTTAAACTTCCCTTTCCTACACACAATAGTTTTATTGTCCTATAAGTAATACATTTCTCTGTTGTTAAACTTCCCTCTCCTACACACAATAGTTTTATTGTCCTATAAGTAATAGACATCTCTGTTGTTAAACTTCCCTCTCCTACACACAATAGTTTTATTGTCCTATAAGTATTACATTTCTCTGTTGTTAAACTTCCCTCTCCTACACACAATAGTTTTATTGTCCTATAAGTAATACATTTCTCTGTTGTTAAACTTCCCTCTCCTACACACAATAGTTTTATTGTCCTATAAGTATTACATTTCTCTGTTGTTAAACTTCCCTCTCCTACACACAATAGTTTTATTGTCCTATAAGTAATACATTTCTCTGTTGTTAAACTTCCCTCTCCTACACACAATAGTTTTATTGTCCTATAAGTATTACATTTCTCTGTTGTTAAACTTCCCTCTCCTACACACAATAGTTTTATTGTCCTATAAGTATTACATTTCTCTGTTGTTAAACTTCCCTCTCCTACACACAATAGTTTTATTGTCCTATAAGTAATACATTTCTCTGTTGTTAAACTTCCCTCTCCTACACACAATAGTTTTATTGTCCTATAAGTATTACATTTCTCTGTTGTTAAACTTCCCTCTCCTACACACAATAGTTTTATTGTCCTATAAGTAATACATTTCTCTGTTGTTAAACTTCCCTCTCCTACACACAATAGTTTTATTGTCCTATAAGTATTACATTTCTCTGTTGTTAAACTTCCCTCTCCTACACACAATAGTTTTATTGTCCTATAAGTAATACATTTCTCTGTTGTTAAACTTCCCTCTCCTACACACAATAGTTTTATTGTCCTATAAGTAATAGACATCTCTGTTGTTAAACTTCCCTCTCCTACACACAATAGTTTTATTGTCCTATAAGTAATACATTTCTCTGTTGTTAAACTTCCCTCTCCTACACACAATAGTTTTATTGTCCTATAAGTAATAGACATCTCTGTTGTTAAACTTCCCTCTCCTACACACAATAGTTTTATTGTCCTATAAGTAATAGACATCTCTGTTGTTAAACATCCCTCTCCTACACACAATAGTTTTATTGTCCTATAAGTAATAGACATCTCTGTTGTTAAACATCCCTCTCCTACACACAATAGTTTTATTGTCCTATAAGTAATAGACATCTCTGTTGTTAAACTTCCCTCTCCTACACACAATAGTTTTATTGTCCTATAAGTAATAGACATCTCTGTTGTTAAACTTCCCTCTCCTACACACAATAGTTTTATTGTCCTATAAGTAATAGACATCTCTGTTGTTAAACTTCCCTCTCCTACACACAATAGTTTTATTGTCCTATAAGTACTAGACATCTCTGTTGTTAAACTTCCCTCTCCTACACACAATAGTTTTATTGTCCTATAAGTAATAGACATCTCTGTTGTTAAACTTCCCTCTCCTACACACAATAGTTTTATTGTCCTATAAGTAATACATTTCTCTGTTGTTAAACTTCCCTCTCCTACACACAATAGTTTTATTGTCCTATAAGTAATACATTTCTCTGTTGTTAAACTTCCCTCTCCTACACACAATAGTTTTATTGTCCTATAAGTAATAGACATCTCTGTTGTTAAACTTCCCTCTCCTACACACAATAGTTTTATTGTCCTATAAGTATTACATTTCTCTGTTGTTAAACTTCCCTCTCCTACACACAATAGTTTTATTGTCCTATAAGTAATAGACATCTCTGTTGTTAAACTTCCCTCTCCTACACACAATAGTTTTATTGTCCTATAAGTAATAGACATCTCTGTTGTTAAACTTCCCTCTCCTACACACAATAGTTTTATTGTCCTATAAGTAATAGACATCTCTGTTGTTAAACTTCCCTCTCCTACACACAATAGTTTTATTGTCCTATAAGTAATAGACATCTCTGTTGTTAAACTTCCCTCTCCTACACACAATAGTTTTATTGTCCTATAAGTAATACATTTCTCTGTTGTTAAACTTCCCTCTCCTACACACAATAGTTTTATTGTCCTATAAGTAATACATTTCTCTGTTGTTAAACTTCCCTCTCCTACACACAATAGTTTTATTGTCCTATAAGTAATAGACATCTCTGTTGTTAAACTTCCCTCTCCTACACACAATAGTTTTATTGTCCTATAAGTATTACATTTCTCTGTTGTTAAACTTCCCTCTCCTACACACAATAGTTTTATTGTCCTATAAGTAATAGACATCTCTGTTGTTAAACTTCCCTCTCCTACACACAATAGTTTTATTGTCCTATAAGTAATACATTTCTCTGTTGTTAAACTTCCCTCTCCTACACACAATAGTTTTATTGTCCTATAAGTAATAGACATCTCTGTTGTTAAACTTCCCTCTCCTACACACAATAGTTTTATTGTCCTATAAGTAATACATTTCTCTGTTGTTAAACTTCCCTCTCCTACACACAATAGTTTTATTGTCCTATAAGTATACATTTCTCTGTTGTTAAACTTCCCTCTCCTACACACAATAGTTTTATTGTCCTATAAGTAATAGACATCTCTGTTGTTAAACTTCCCTCTCCTACACACAATAGTTTTATTGTCCTATAAGTAATACATTTCTCTGTTGTTAAACTTCCCTCTCCTACACACAATAGTTTTATTGTCCTATAAGTAATAGACATCTCTGTTGTTAAACTTCCCTCTCCTACACACAATAGTTTTATTGTCCTATAAGTAATAGACATCTCTGTTGTTAAACTTCCCTCTCCTACACACAATAGTTTTATTGTCCTATAAGTAATACATTTCTCTGTTGTTAAACTTCCCTCTCCTACACACAATAATTATATTGTCCTATAAGTAATACATTTCTCTGTTGTTAAACTTCCCTCTCCTACACACAATAGTTTTATTGTCCTATAAGTAATACATTTCTCTGTTGTTAAACTTCCCTCTCCTACACACAATAGTTTTATTGTCCTATAAGTAATACATTTCTCTGTTGTTAAACTTCCCTCTCCTACATCTCTGTTGTTAAACTTCCCTCTCCTACACACAATAGTTTTATTGTCCTATAAGTACTAGACATCTCTGTTGTTAAACTTCCCTCTCCTACACACAATAGTTTTATTGTCCTATAAGTATTACATTTCTCTCTTGTTAAACTTCCCTCTCCTACACACAATAGTTTTATTGTCCTATAAGTAATACATTTCTCTGTTGTTAAACTTCCCTCTCCTATACACAATACACATTTCTCTCTTGTTAAACTTCCCTCTCCTACACACAATAGTTTTATTGTCCTATAAGTAATACATTTCTCTGTTGTTAAACTTCCCTCTCCTACACACAATAGTTTTATTGTCCTATAAGTATTACATTTCTCTGTTGTTAAACTTCCCTCTCCTACACACAATAGTTTTATTGTCCTATAAGTATTACATTTCTCTGTTGTTAAACTTCCCTCTCCTACACACAATAGTTTTATTGTCCTATAAGTAATACATTTCTCTGTTGTTAAACTTCCCTCTCCTACACACAATAGTTTTATTGTCCTATAAGTACTAGACATCTCTGTTGTTAAACTTCCCTCTCCTACACACAATAGTTTTATTGTCCTATAAGTAATAGACATCTCTGTTGTTAAACTTCCCTCTCCTACACACAATAGTTTTATTGTCCTATAAGTAATAGACATCTCTGTTGTTAAACTTCCCTCTCCTACACACAATAGTTTTATTGTCCTATAAGTAATAGACATCTCTGTTGTTAAACTTCCCTCTCCTACACACAATAGTTTTATTATCCTATAAGTACTAGACATCTCTGTTGTTAAACTTCCCTCTCCTACACACAATAGTTTTATTGTCCTGTAAGTAATAGACATCTCTGTTGTTAAACTTCCCTCTCCTACACACAATAGTTTTATTGTCCTATAAGTAATAGACATCTCTGTTGTTAAACTTCCCTCTCCTACACACAATAGTTTTATTATCCTATAAGTATTACATTTCTCTGTTGTTAAACTTCCCTCTCCTACACACAATAGTTTTATTGTCCTATAAGTAATACATTTCTCTGTTGTTAAACTTCCCTCTCCTACACACAATAGTTTTATTGTCCTATAAGTAATACATTTCTCTGTTGTTAAACTTCCCTCTCCTACACACAATAGTTTTATTGTCCTATAAGTAATAGACATCTCTGTTGTTAAACTTCCCTCTCCTACACACAATAGTTTTATTGTCCTATAAGTATTACATTTCTCTGTTGTTAAACTTCCCTCTCCTACACACAATAGTTTTATTGTCCTATAAGTAATACATTTCTCTGTTGTTAAACTTCCCTCTCCTACACACAATAGTTTTATTGTCCTATAAGTAATACATTTCTCTGTTGTTAAACTTCCCTCTCCTACACACAATAGTTTTATTGTCCTATAAGTAATAGACATCTCTGTTGTTAAACTTCCCTCTCCTACACACAATAGTTTTATTGTCCTATAAGTAATACATTTCTCTGTTGTTAAACTTCCCTCTCCTACACACAATAGTTTTATTATCCTATAAGTAATACATTTCTCTGTTGTTAAACTTCCCTCTCCTACACACAATAGTTTTATTGTCCTATAAGTAATAGACATCTCTGTTGTTAAACTTCCCTCTCCTACACACAATAGTTTTATTATCCTATAAGTAATACATTTCTCTGTTGTTAAACTTCCCTCTCCTACACACAATAGTTTTATTGTCCTATAAGTAATACATTTCTCTGTTGTTAAACTTCCCTCTCCTACACACAATAGTTTTATTGTCCTATAAGTATTACATTTCTCTGTTGTTAAACTTCCCTCTCCTACACACAATAGTTTTATTGTCCTATAAGTACTAGACATCTCTGTTGTTAAACTTCCCTCTCCTACACACAATAGTTTTATTGTCCTATAAGTATTACATTTCTCTCTTGTTAAACTTCCCTCTCCTACACACAATAGTTTTATTGTCCTATAAGTACTAGACATCTCTGTTGTTAAACTTCCCTCTCCTACACACAATAGTTTTATTATCCTATAAGTAATAGACATCTCTGTTGTTAAACTTCCCTCTCCTACACACAATAGTTTTATTGTCCTATAAGTACTAGACATCTCTGTTGTTAAACTTCCCTCTCCTACACACAATAGTTTTATTGTCCTATAAGTAATAGACATCTCTGTTGTTAAACTTCCCTCTCCTACACACAATAGTTTTATTGTCCTATAAGTAATAGACCTCTCTGTTGTTAAACTTCCCTCTCCTACACACAATAGTTTTATTGTCCTATAAGTACTAGACATCTCTGTTGTTAAACTTCCCTCTCCTACACACAATAGTTTTATTGTCCTATAAGTACTAGACATCTCTGTTGTTAAACTTCCCTCTCCTACACACAATAGTTTTATTGTCCTATAAGTACTAGACATCTCTGTTGTTAAACTTCCCTCTCCTACACACAATAGTTTTATTGTCCTATAAGTAATACATTTCTCTGTTGTTAAACTTCCCTCTCCTACACACAATAGTTTTATTGTCCTATAAGTACTAGACATCTCTGTTGTTAAACTTCCCTCTCCTACACACAATAGTTTTATTGTCCTATAAGTACTAGACATCTCTGTTGTTAAACTTCCCTCTCCTACACACAATAGTTTTATTGTCCTATAAGTATTACATTTCTCTGTTGTTAAACTTCCCTCTCCTACACACAATAGTTTTATTGTCCTATAAGTACTAGACATCTCTGTTGTTAAACTTCCCTCTCCTACACACAATAGTTTTATTGTCCTATAAGTAATACATTTCTCTGTTGTTAAACTTCCCTCTCCTACACACAATAGTTTTATTGTCCTATAAGTAATACATTTCTCTGTTGTTAAACTTCCCTCTCCTACACACAATAGTTTTATTGTCCTATAAGTACTAGACATCTCTGTTGTTAAACTTCCCTCTCCTACACACAATAGTTTTATTGTCCTATAAGTACTAGACATCTCTGTTGTTAAACTTCCCTCTCCTACACACAATAGTTTTATTGTCCTATAAGTACTAGACATCTCTGTTGTTAAACTTCCCTCTCCTACACACAATAGTTTTATTGTCCTATAAGTATTACATTTCTCTGTTGTTAAACTTCCCTCTCCTACACACAATAGTTTTATTGTCCTATAAGTATTACATTTCTCTGTTGTTAAACTTCCCTCTCCTACACACAATAGTTTTATTGTCCTATAAGTATTACATTTCTCTGTTGTTAAACTTCCCTCTCCTACACACAATAGTTTTATTGTCCTATAAGTACTAGACATCTCTGTTGTTAAACTTCCCTCTCCTACACACAATAGTTTTATTGTCCTATAAGTATTACATTTCTCTGTTGTTAAACTTCCCTCTCCTACACACAATAGTTTTATTGTCCTATAAGTAATACATTTCTCTGTTGTTAAACTTCCCTCTCCTACACACAATAGTTTTATTGTCCTATAAGTATTACATTTCTCTGTTGTTAAACTTCCCTCTCCTACACACAATAGTTTTATTGTCCTATAAGTACTAGACATCTCTGTTGTTAAACTTCCCTCTCCTACACACAATAGTTTTATTGTCCTATAAGTACTAGACATCTCTGTTGTTAAACTTCCCTCTCCTACACACAATAGTTTTATTGTCCTATAAGTATTACATTTCTCTGTTGTTAAACTTCCCTCTCCTACACACAATAGTTTTATTGTCCTATAAGTATTACATTTCTCTGTTGTTAAACTTCCCTCTCCTACACACAATAGTTTTATTGTCCTATAAGTAATAGACATCTCTGTTGTTAAACTTCCCTCTCCTACACACAATAGTTTTATTGTCCTATAAGTACTAGACATCTCTGTTGTTAAACTTCCCTCTCCTACACACAATAGTTTTATTGTCCTATAAGTAATAGACATCTCTGTTGTTAAACTTCCCTCTCCTACACACAATAATGATATTGTCCTATAAGTATTACATTTCTCTGTTGTTAAACTTCCCTCTCCTACACACAATAGTTTTATTGTCCTATAAGTAATACATTTCTCTGTTGTTAAACTTCCCTCTCCTACACACAATAGTTTTATTGTCCTATAAGTACTAGACATCTCTGTTGTTAAACTTCCCTCTCCTACACACAATAGTTTTATTGTCCTATAAGTATTACATTTCTCTGTTGTTAAACTTCCCTCTCCTACACACAATAGTTTTATTGTCCTATAAGTAATACATTTCTCTGTTGTTAAACTTCCCTCTCCTACACACAATAGTTTTATTGTCCTATAAGTATTACATTTCTCTGTTGTTAAACTTCCCTCTCCTACACACAATAGTTTTATTGTCCTATAAGTATTACATTTCTCTGTTGTTAAACTTCCCTCTCCTACACACAATAGTTTTATTGTCCTATAAGTAATAGACATCTCTGTTGTTAAACTTCCCTCTCCTACACACAATAGTTTTATTGTCCTATAAGTATTACATTTCTCTGTTGTTAAACTTCCCTCTCCTACACACAATAGTTTTATTGTCCTATAAGTAATACATTTCTCTGTTGTTAAACTTCCCTCTCCTACACACAATAGTTTTATTGTCCTATAAGTATTACATTTCTCTGTTGTTAAACTTCCCTCTCCTACACACAATAGTTTTATTGTCCTATAAGTATTACATTTCTCTGTTGTTAAACTTCCCTCTCCTACACACAATAGTTTTATTGTCCTATAAGTAATAGACATCTCTGTTGTTAAACTTCCCTCTCCTACACACAATAGTTTTATTGTCCTATAAGTACTAGACATCTCTGTTGTTAAACTTCCCTCTCCTACACACAATAGTTTTATTGTCCTATAAGTAATAGACATCTCTGTTGTTAAACTTCCCTCTCCTACACACAATAATGATATTGTCCTATAAGTATTACATTTCTCTGTTGTTAAACTTCCCTCTCCTACACACAATAGTTTTATTGTCCTATAAGTAATACATTTCTCTGTTGTTAAACTTCCCTCTCCTACACACAATAGTTTTATTGTCCTATAAGTAATAGACATCTCTGTTGTTAAACTTCCCTCTTCTACACACAATAGTTTTATTGTCCTATAAGTAATACATTTCTCTGTTGTTAAACTTCCCTCTCCTACACACAATAGTTTTATTATCCTATAAGTACTAGACATCTCTGTTGTTAAACTTCCCTCTCCTACACACAATAGTTTTATTGTCCTATAAGTATTACATTTCTCTCTTGTTAAACTTCCCTCTCCTACACACAATAGTTTTATTGTCCTATAAGTAATAGACATCTCTGTTGTTAAACTTCCCTCTCCTACACACAATAGTTTTATTGTCCTATAAGTAATAGACTTTTTATTTAACATTGTATGTATTGTTATTAAACATTGTATGTATTGTTATTAAACATTGTATGTATTGTTATTAAACATTGTATGTATTGTTATTAAACATTGTATGTATTGTTATTAAACATTGTATGCATTGTTAGTAAACATTGTATGTATTGTTATTAAACATTGTATGTATTGTTATTAAACATTGTATGTGTTGTTATTAAACATTGTATGTACTTTTTTATGTAAACCAGGTGCTGCTGAAAGCAGATGGATATCCTACATACCATTTTGCTAACGTTGTAGATGATCATCACATGAAGATTTCACATGTTCTACGAGGAGAAGTAGGTTAATAGTTCAAAGGTCTTAAAAAATCTAAAAGCTACACAGATATAACAATGATTGCCACAGATGTGTGCTTCATGAGAAGCAGTTTGTCAATTAAAATTATTTGTTTTCATTCAAAATTTTGAGGTCACCTGAGACAAAGTCTCATTTTTAACTTCTTGAAATCACCTAAACTGATTTCAGTGAAACTTTGCAGAAACCTTCTCTGGCCTTAGATTAACTAAGTGAATTCTACAATTCCCACTCTACAGGGGCCTGAGAGGCAGGGCAAAAAAGGAACAAATTGACTCAGATTTCAAAAAATTTCTTCTCAACACCCAGATATCATAGAATCAAATGCTTTTCTTGGATGGTAATGTCTTCAGGTGTTTTAATAAAAGTGTGAATTTCAGGATCTCACATTTCCGCACGGGGAAGGGGTAAATTTTACTATAGTTAATATAGTAAAAATAGATTTTTGAGCATGTTGTTTTATCTCCATTGGAAATATTTCAAACTTGGTTAGAAATATGAGTGAAGGATTACGGCTTGAAGGTAGGCACATATTGATCCTGTATGGACCCCAGGGGTTGATAAGCAAGGCCAAAAAGGGTCAAATTAACACAGATTTCAAAAGTCTTCTTCACAACACTCAGGTATGGTAGAATCAAATGCTCTTCATGGATGGAACTGGGTCTCACATTTCTTCCTTGGGAGGAGGTTAACTTTACTATAATTTCTATAGAAAATATTTGAGCATAACATTGTTTTATTTCCAATAAGATATAACTTTGTTTGAATTATGTGTATAGGATGACAGATTTGGTAGTATGCATCTAATGATGCTGGCTTACTACCATTATTTTGACAATTATTTTTCATGACACTTGAAAGCTACTTACCCTTTGACCTTTATATTCAATATCGCTTATCTCAGGCGACTGTCAAAACCACTAGGCCTCTTGTTAAAGAATAATTTGGTTTTAAAAATGTGCAGTCAGGCTTTTATGAATTGTGATACTTTGCATAGGTCCAAACTTTGCTTAAATGAAACCAAATAACATAGTGGATTTGAAGTGTCAAAAAATCAGACACACCTACAAATGAAGAAGAAGTAATCACTAATTAGGATGAGATTAATTTACTGGTCTGTTTCTGTAAGTTATACATTTGTACATCCTTTTATCTTGTATTACATTAGGAGTGGCAGTCCTCGACACCTAAACACCTGGTGCTGTATCAGGCCTTTGGCTGGGACCCGCCCTTGTTTGCTCACCTTCCTCTCATACTGAATGCGTGAGTCACTTTTATTCTTACTGATTGCATTAAGCAGCTATTAAAAGTATTGGTAGTGTATAAAATAAAGGGCAGTTACTATCACAGCGTTTTCTGTTGACAGGAATGGAACAAAGTTATCAAAGCGACAGGGGGACATCACTGTGGAATATTTTAAGGTAATATTTTATACAGGTTTGAATGGTACACTGGAGGTTTTACATAGCAGTAATGTGAATAATAACAACATGTTTGAGGACATAAATGTAAGATTTTGAAATTATCGGTTCATTGTATATATATAGTTATATCCACATTAGCATTGAATCATAATTTCCTTGTTGTGTTTGGAACTTATTACAAGGTCACATGTTTTTGGATCTGTCCAAATTTACAAAATTGAATGTAGTCTACAAGGTTCAGTCTGTTTTAATATTTATCTCTCCCTTAATTGTGTTAATCTATTACAGAAAAAAGGCTACTTGCCTGAGGTGCTGTTGAACTACCTTACTTTAACAGGAGGAGGATTTGGGACATCTTCCACCACCCTCCAGTGCTATTCATTGGACCAGCTCATACAAAAGGTATTGATATTACATAATGTTAGAAAAGAAATGTTAGCGCCAATTGGAGGAGAGGTCTCCCTGTTGTATTTAACTCCTACTTCACTGACTAACACACAGGTGACCCACTGCCAGCCATCCAGAGCAATTAGGTTTTTTGCGTCTTGCCTAAAGACACAAACGTGACAGCTCCGGTCCTTTTCTCAGCTTCCTGAGGAACACAAACTGCTACAGGATGGAAGAATCAAACCTTGTACCTTAATTCAGCACCTGAGATTGCATATAAGCCAGTGCTCTAAATGACAAAGCTAGAGAAACATGCTACATGAACTAGTTGTCTTTCATCAGAGTTATCATATTCTCTGTACAGTGAATTAGTTGTCTACCAACAGAGGTATAGTGATCTCTGTACAGTGAACTAGTTGTCTACCAACAGAGGTATAGTGATCTCTGTACAGTGAATTAGTTGTCTACCAACAGAGGTATAATGATCTCTGTACAGTGAACTAGTTGTCTACCAACAGAGGTATAGTGATCTCTGTACAGTGAACTAGTTGTCTACCAACAGAGGTATAGTGATCTCTGTACAGTGAACTAGTTGTCTACCAACAGAGGTATAGTGATCTCTGTAAAGTGAACTAGTTGTCTACCAACAGAGGTATAGTGATCTCTGTACAGTGAACTAGTTGTCTACCAACAGAGGTATAGTGATCTCTGTACAGTGAACTAGTTGTCTACCAACAGAGGTATAGTGATCTCTGCACAGTGAACTAGTTGTCTACCAACAGAGGTATAGTGATCTCTGTACAGTGAACTAGTTGTCTACCAACAGAGGTATAGTGATCTCTGTAAAGTGAACTAGTTGTCTACCAACAGAGGTATAGTGATCTCTGTACAGTGAACTAGTTGTCTACCAACAGAGGTATAGTGATCTCTGTACAGTGAACTAGTTGTCTACTAACAGAGGTATAGTGATCTCTGTACAGTGAACTAGTTGTCTACCAACAGAGGTATAGTGATCTCTGTACAGTGAACTAGTTGTCTACGAGTAGAGGTATTGAGTCCCATTTTAGAAAGTTACATGCTACATGCACTAACTGTCTTGGTGGAATGAAAGACTAATAATTGAAAAAATCCAAAGTTATGAAATGTAACCATTACCAATGAAACATTGTGAGGGCAGTTAGTCAGTAGAGGTAAAGAATAACACAGTAGAGCCTTTATTTATCATAAACACGTACAGAACAGGTACAACTCTATAAATAAGTTATTATAGAGAGGGATTAGTAGCACGACAGATTAAAGTAAACACAAATGTACGGTACACAAAGTGGATGATCGGTTTATTAATTGATCTATGATTGGTTTTAAACCAACTCCAGCCATACTGTATATGTATCTTTTTTCTTCAGAACTTTGTCTTGATTGAATAATTAAAATATACTCCAAACATATATGTAGGCACATGTACATCCTCTTTTTAACAATTCACACAAATATAACAAGTGCTACTGAAGTTTTTGGTAAACATATTTTGATAATTACAAAAGTTAAAAATAGAATTCTGCATCTTAGAAATTAAAAAGGAAGTAATTTATTCAATATATATATATACAAGTGAGGTGAAGAGAGAGCCAACACCAGTTAAGTTCAGATAGATAGGTGTCTGTTTATCTGTAGCTTGAATACCTTAAAGTATGCAGGGTGTCCTACCCAAATACAAAAGTAGTAGAAGAGTGTGAGAGGTATTCACAACAAGCAGGGTTGATAGTTTTAAGATTTATTGAGGATTTCTGGCCAACATGTTTCATCAGTAACGGCTTCTTCAGGTGAATACATCTCACGCTCTTCCATTATATATACAGGTATATATAAAAGATAAACTAAGCATGGGCTTATCACCAATTAACTATAACTGAAGAAACTACTGGTACCAACGTTCACTTTATCATATACAAGTTCTATATCTGCCTCATTATTCAATCTTTGTTAACAGTTTGATATGAAGAATGTGACAGCTCATTCTGGCCGCCTAGATCCACAAAATTTGGATATTCTCAGCAGGAAATATTTACTGGAAAAGTTTGAGACCAAGGAAGGTCAAGCTGAGCTTGTCCAGTATACTATACAACTAGTGAGGGACCACTACAAAACCAGGTATTGTATACAAATTAGCTGACATCCCAGATAACCTTTTCCCCATACTTCACAGGTACATGACATTGAAAAGACAGCTGAAATACTTTGACATTACCACTAACAGTAAGGCTGCATTATCACATTATGTAACATAACTGTATCCCTACAAGTAACATCAACAATTTCAGCACACATTACATCAGCTATTAGTGAAGTAATGTGTACAGTTGCTTTAAACAACAATTTAAATGACAGGAAATGGGAGAGGAAAACAAACACCTTGGTTTAATGTTAATTTATAGTCTCAGCCCATGGGATTATATTTTTATAGAATTAGCACTTGGCGAAGCTCAGATAGGAGATCACTTCATAACACAGAGGTGAATGATTTAATTGGGATTATGTAAGGTTGCTATTCTGTATACTATTTGTCATTACTCTGGTTTTTGATTTTTGGTTGCATTTCATATATCTGATCACTGTGTTGAATCTAAAAATTTTAAACCAGATTCAGTTGATTTTGTTTGAAATTAAGATTTGTCAGAAGAAAATCATTCATTATTGTTTTATATAAGCTTTGTGTATGACAGTACTTGACACAGCAAAATTGATTTAAAACGTCATGTTAACCCTTCATAGGATTTCTAGAAATCATGTTCCCAATTTTGTTTCAGATTATCAAGTGAAGAAAATCAAGAACTTATTTTTAATGAGGACCACATCAGAACTTTACTGAAATGGGCTTTACCAGTAAGTTTAACTTAAACAACTTCATATTACTCATACATATATCAAAAGGGTCCTGGCCAATGCCTGAAGGTATGTATCCCTATCACAACTTTTTAAAGTCTAAATGTCAAGAGTTTGAAGAGGTTCTGCAGAACCATTTCTGTGAGAGTTGCATCATGGCGAGGAGCACTATGAACAACCCTTGTTAACTGTTTGCTTTGTTCTTATCGTATAATTTTATCGGCTGAATCAATTCTGTCACTAAATCTTAAGTGATATAAACACGCCCATGATTGTTGATTCCAATATCAATTTTACCACACTCATTACCTTTCCCTTATTGACTCATGTTTCATGCTTATTCAATGCTACTGTTTATCTTACTGATTACCCCCCTTACTGATTATCCCCCTTTACTGATTATCCCCCTTACTGATTACCCCCCTTACTGATTATTCCCCTTACTGATTACCCCCTTTACTGATTATCATTCTTACTGATTACCCCCCTTACTGATTACCCCCCTTACTGATTACCCCCCTTACTGATTATCCTCCTTACTGATTATTCCCCTTACTGATTACCCCCCCCCCTTTACTGATTATCCCCTTACTGATTATCCCCCTTACTGATTATCTTCCTTACTAATTATTCCCCTTACTGATTACCCCCTTTACTGATTATCATTCTTACTGATTACCCCCCTTACTGATTACCCCCCTTACTGATTATCCTCCTTACTGATTATTCCCCTTACTGATTACCCCCCCCCCTTTACTGATTACCCCCCCTTACTGGTTATCCCCCATACTGATTACCCCCCTTACTGATTATCATCCTTACTGATTACCCCCCTAACTGATAACCCCCTTACTGATTATCCTCCTTACTGATTATCCCCCTTACTGATTACCCCCCCTTACTGATTACCCCCCTAAATCTTACTGATTACCCCCCTTGCTGATTATCCTCCTTACTGATTACCCCCCTTACTGATTATCCCCCCTTACTGATTACCCCCCTAAATCTTACTGATTACCCCCCTTGCTGATTATCCTCCTTACTGATTACCCCCCTTACTGATTACCCCCCTTACTGATTATCCTCCTTACTGATTACTGATTACCCCCCCCCCCCCTTACTGATTACCCTCCTGATTATCCCCCCTTACTGATTACCCCCCTAAATCTTACTGATTACCCCCCCTGATTATCCTCCTTACCCCTGATTACCCCCCTTACTGATTACCCTCCTTACTGATTACCCCCCCCCCCCTTACTGATTACCCCCCCCCCCTTACTGATTATCCTCCTTACCGATTTTCCCCTTAATGATTATCTCCCTTATTGATTACCCTCCCTTACTGATTACTCTCCTTACTGATTACTCACCCTTACTGATTACCCCCCACTTACTGATTACCCTCCTTACTGATTACCCACCCTTACTGATTACCCCCCCTTACTGATTACCCTCCTTACTAATTACCCCCCTTACTGATTATCTCCCTTACTGATTACCCCCCTTACTGATTATCTCCCTTACTGATTACCCCCCTTACTGATTATCCTGATTGCTTTCCCTTCTTACTGATTTTCCTTTTCCGTGATCTCCCCCTTTTAAGTTGCATCTTCCAGCCACCCCCTAACCTCCACTCACCCCTCTCCGCCTCTTGCTGATGAATCCTCTCTCTCTCTGAGTTATTCTCTTTGCAGATTACTTCCCTTTTTGTTATCTGTAATCCTGATTAATTTATTTCCAGGAAAGAATTACAAGGCCTGAAGAACTCCTGAATGAAGATTTTATATTTCTGTGGGAAGTGCCTGACAAATCTGATATTTCTGCTTTCTTAGAAAAGACTGGAGTGGATAATTGTGCATTTTTAAAGCTTGCCTTGGATGTTGTTAATACAGTGGAACTATTTGAAGTAGATATCATTCATTCAGCTATAACCAAAAAAGCCAAGACTGCAAAAATTTCTCTGAAGATGTTAATGCCTATACTGAGATATGTTCTGTCCTCAACACTGGTAAGCGTAATTTTTTCTTTCACATCAAATATTTCATTTCTGACATATCAATTTTACACTTCTTGATACACTTTGAGGGCAATAATTATGTCATTAAAAATACAATGTAAAATCATTTTAGGTTTTCTATTCCGTTAACAATTACTATTATAGCAGTGTCTAAGGAAATGCTTTCTAGGAAGAACATTCATTCTCTTATGACTAGGAAAAAAGTCTCCTAAATAATACCCATTGATAATGGGCTGTAATATCAGATAAGATTATAGTTTATTTTCTTTACCATTCATCACAAAAAACAAATATTTGTTGCAACACTTTTGCATGACATTTCCATTTTGACTTGAAAATGTGGTAATTTTACTGACAATACAGATGCCATATATATTGTAAACATCATGTTTCAGCAACAATCTAATAAAAGTGCTTTTATCCCTGAAAGTGTGATAAATATAATTGTACTAATCAGCAGTTAAAGTATGATGTTAATATAGCAATCATTGTAGATGTGCATAGGCATCATTACATTGGTTTGCCAAAATGAGATAATGTGCTAGAATTTGACTGCCAAATTAAGTATGATCCTGTCTGTGTCTTTCATTACTTTAAGTTTTGCTATTGTATGGCATTGCTACGATGTATCCTCACTAAAGTCAGTTGTATTATAAACAAATTGAGGTTCTGTGTTCTTATATTATGCAATCAAGCATGAAAAATTAAGTAAACACAGGTCGTATATAAATGAGAAGACTTGACATTCTCACAGTATGTTATGAAGTGTGGAGTTACTTTCCTTGTGTTTAAAAACATAAACATATTCTAGTTTTGATTCCTACCCATTATTGGTTCTGATTATATTTCACAGGAAGGACCAAAGGTCAGTGAAGTAATGTTTGCTTTGGGAAAGAGACAGACTGTGTACCGTTTACAACAAGCTTTAGAAGTCGCAGATTCAAGTGCTTTATAGAAATGATGTTCATCGTTACCTCAGGATAGTAAATGACCTCTGAAAATCACTGTATTATTATCATATTCAGCCAAACTGGACTGAAATGTTTATGATGTCCTTGGGGTATATTATCAATGTTATCACTGTGATAAAATGATAAGTTTCCAAATATTCAGACTTCTAATGTAGCATATCTGTAGTAACCACATTTCAACAGATTTTAGACAGCAATGCTCAGACTGATTGTCTTACAGAAAAAATAACCTTTTTTTCTGCAATTTCTTAAAAATTTATCAGAAAGAAAAATTGCACTTTGTATGTAACTTATTTTTGTTTTTCAAATCTGGGAATTTAGAATATGGATTACTGTGACACAACTTTCTAAATTCAAAATTCCATGAAAGCATTATAAAGTGAAAGTGTGCTCTGTGTTACAATGTGGTATGGATGATGTCAATGCTTTTAAACATGTCATAACTTTGTGATAAAACATGTGAATGAAAAGAATACTTTTTTTTAAATGTGTCTGGATTTTGTTATGTTTTAAGAAAAATAAAAAAGTACATGAAGATGTTGGATATGTTTGTTTATTTGTGAAAATTGAAGAAATTGTTAAGTAATGTAAATTGTATGCATAACACTCCTTGTGTTTGTTCTACACATTTGATGGTCAAAAAATTTTTTTATTATTAATAATCAAGTGTAACACAAGGTGTAACAATGACTGATGGTTTCGTGAGTTTATTTCATTGAATGGTTTTGTCTAGCTATTGTTGTTACATGTCCTGTCCAGTAGGGCTCTCCCCTTCACTCTAAACTCCACCCCTTTTTATCCCTAAATACAGCTGTGTCCCAATGCAGCAAAACCTGATGACCTAATACTAATGTCCCTAACTCTGTCATGATGTTTGCTCGAGATTTTTACTCAAGGTCTTTACTGGCTCCCAACTTGTTCAAGACTGAACTTTTATTGTGGACCAATTTAGTGCAGCTGTCCAAAGACAGACCACCAAGCTGCAATTCATCAGCCTTCAAAATAGTGGGACTTGTTCAAAGGAAGACCATCAAGCTACTGTTCTTATAATTGTTTAACTTATGAAATAACTTAAAATTAATCTTTTAGGCTTCTTCACAGCACCTAAATGGAGCCCGATTTTGTAACACAAGTCAACAATAGTATTGACTGAAGGACACACTATAAAGTTCATTCTATTGTTTGTTATTCGATCCTATCAATGCTTACCTTCCTAGAAATAATTACCTATTCCATAAAAAAAATGTTCAAATAGAACAACTTTGCATACAATTGTTAATGTTATTGAATACATGTCTCCATATCGTAGTGTTATATCAGACTGGGTGTTATTTATGATGCATTTCAAACAAATTTTCCAAATGGCATCCCAACAGTCGTTTTACTGAAAGGTGCTTAACTGTGATATTTATTGCATCACTTGACAACTCCAAACATGCTATTAATTTGTTAATGACAAACTGCCTTCTGATAGGACCTTTGATTGCAGGAAGCTGCTTTCTGATAGGCCTTTGATTGCCGGGAGCTGCCGTCTGATAGGCCTTTGAGTGCAGTTAGATGCCTTCTGATAGGGCCTTTGATTGCAGGAAGCTGCCTTCTGATAGGGCCTTTGATTGCAGGAAGCTGCCTTCTGATAGGGCCTTTGATCGCAGGAAGCTGCCGTCTGATAGGCCTTTGAGTACAGGGAGCTGCCGTCTGATAGGCCTTTGATTGCAGGAAGCTGCCTTCTGATAGGGCCTTTGATTGCAGGTAGCTGCCTTCTGATAGGGCCTTTGAGTGCAGGTAGCTGCCTTCTGATAGGGCCTTTGATTGCAGGAAGCTGCCTTCTGATAGGCCTTTGAGTGCAGGTAGCTGCCTTCTGATAGGGCCTTTGAGTGCAGGTAGCTGCCGTCTGATAGGCCTTTGAGTGCAGGAAGCTCCATATATGTTTTAAGAGAGAAAAAAACTTGAGCATTCTTAAAGACAAAAAGATAACAGAATATGATCCCTATATCGCATACTACGTACCAGTAAAAAATATTGGTCTTAAGTGTTCCTGTCATTAATGCACCCCTAAAAATAAAGGCGGAACAATTTACCCAGAAACACTTGAAAACCCCCAGAACTACTCAATGATAAACTCAAACAACACATAGAAGACTAAAATAACAATTATATAACGATATATATGGTAAGAAGATATACCCTTGTGAAATTACTGCTCCCGATATTGTTTTGGAGGGGAGATAACCCCTGCAAAATTACATAAAGGGCCTGTTTCCAGTAATGTTAATTCTCCATAGGAGCCTGCCCCCGTATAATTTCTTATTTAGCTCAACTACTGTTTTTTTCTTTTCCGAAAAATAATTTTACATCTTTCCGACACCCAGATTTCATAATTTCAGTGAAAATGTATTTTATAAAGTTGTCAATTTCAGCATCAAAGACATAAGTTCGTAAATAAAAGAAGGTTATCTCGAAATTGTAATTCGCAACATAGTATAAATTTCTTTTGAAAATATTTCCAAACCATCGTGTTTATTCATAAAACATAAAAAAAAATATTCTCGGATGAAAATGCACTTGCAGAGACACAATTATGAAGAAAAATGCCATAAATTTGCAATTTTCTCCCATTATATAGTTTTGGATGCAAATTTCCATCAGAAAATCGGATAGAGTTTTACTTGTTTCATATGTGTACCAAATCAACTAATTCCATGTGGTGGAACGTTCTCATATCGCCGCCTGAATGTGGTTGTAAATTGAAAGAAAAGGGGAAATGAGTAATAACCTTGTCTGAAACCCTATTATATAGCTTATTATATACAAACTTTTATATTGAATATCAGAGCGGATATTTTCATGACAGTTTTATGATGTGTAATGACTAAATAAATAGTATCGATATAAAGATTTACACTGAGGACACCCTGATACATGAATACTGTTCTGTCTCAAGCTGTCCTCTTCTGAATTTTCTGATCGTGTGGCCTTGTACATTTATTCGTATCTTCTTGTCTTTGTCTATACGTTTACGAAATCATTCACTCGACTCTAGCTATTCTTGTCTCAATTTCCTGGTTTTATTGTCCCATCTCCAAAGCGTTGTGGCTCTGTCAGGGTTGGGGCCCTGACTTGTCTCACTTTCTTTGTGCCTGCCGACCACGCCACATCGAATAGATAGATTATCCATATGAAATACTTTATTTTATTCTAAGTAATCAATCAATTCTGCGCTTCTAGGAGGTATTGAATGTGATTTATTATATTGTCTTGTTATTTTGTGTAATTAGTTGTTCGTTATTTATCACACATTTTCGCATAATTGTACCAAACTACTAAGTATTAGCTGTTTACAGCAATCATCGGTGGCTTGCTTTTTTGTTACTTTATCGACGCTTCATAAACCAATCGTTATTGTTTCAAGATGGAGGGTAAATGTGTTGGAGAAGAGTGTCAAGTATACTTCAAGAAACGTAGTGGCAATAAGAACAGAAGTGCACGCAATGTAAATAGTCCACAATATAAATGACTCCTAGATACGCTGGTGCAACAAGGATTGATGTCAGCAAAGGAACGAGCATTTATTTGCCAGAAGTGCTACATGAAGTATCTTCGGAACAAAAATCAGCCTGAACCTGAACCCGAGCAGAACCAGGAAATAGAGGAAGAAGACGACTCCCCGTCCCATATCCTGCCGTTGCTGACCCTTCATGATCTTTTGAATGGATCATATTCACACAAAAAATGCTGTCTCTGTCTTGTTACCTTTCCAAAAAATGGAACAAAATCATCAGTCTTACCAAAACGTGCAAGACATCACCTGATCTATTCACACAAACTGTGGTGTCCCACCTCATCCCGCGTCTGCTCCATTCACCTTATTGGTAACGACTCAGATCCGTCTACAGAGGTTGTCCTTGATGGTAGAGGTTCCTTGGAATCTCAGTTACCATCAAAATTGTCCGAAATCATTAATGACCTCCTAGAGGTGTCACACGTCCTTTCACAGAACCAGTCTGCGTTTACAATAAGCTTTTCTTCTCTTGATGACTCGGCATGCATGGCCTGGACAGGTTGGTCCAAAGATCAGTTCCTCGAAATCCACTCGCACTGTTCCCCATATCTTTCATCTGGTATATATACCACGATGCTCTATTACTGTTCTTGGTAAAACTGAAAACCGACATTTCCTGGAGTCAGTGTTCTTCTCTTTTTGGAATTTCCAAGTCAAGTGTGTCCAAAACTTTCCACTCCATAGTACAGGCATTAGACACATCGATAGTCCCACAATTTCTAGGTCCGGATCACTTGACAAGAGAACAATTGCTCGGGCACAATACTGTCTTTTCAGAAGCATTTTTTGGAGATAAAGCCACTGCCATATTAGATGGCACTTATATTTATATCCAGAAAAGCTCCGACCACAAGCTCCAGAGAATGTCCTACTGTGGCCAGAAGAAGAGAAACTATGTCAAATTCATGAGCATCGCCTTACCAGCTAGTTACTTGGCTACAACCAGACGACAACGTTGTCGTTGACCGAGGTTTTAGAGATGTCCTACAAGTTCTCGAAGCCTCTGGCCTCAATGCTAGCATGCCGTCATACCTGAAACCCGGTCAAAGTCAACATTCTGACGTCCAAGCAAATCTTGACAGAACTATCGCCAAATCGAGGTGGATTGTGGAATCCTATCATGTTCGTCTGAAACACTGGACGTTCTTCCGAACGCAATTGTTGTCTAACAGCTTTATCAATGTTATTGAGGCTTTGCTTCGAACCGTCACAGCCTGTCTGAATTGTATTAGAGGACCGATCTACCAGAGATCTCCAGAGAGAGATGCCAAAGATAGGCTAATGGCTGAATGTATGAAGGACCGTTTGACAACACCGAATGGTTTAGCTCAGAGAGTCAAGATAGATCCGGATCTATCTAGACGGGCAAGGTCCAAGTTTGTCAAGATGGATGCATCTTCCGTACTGTTTCCCCGTCTCGATCTTGATTACTTGAGAACCATTACGTGTGGAACGTATCAGATATCTCTGGCTCCTGGTTACATCGCCGAACATTTAAGTGATGACGGAGACTATGAGGTGTGGCTTTACCAGCACTCCCCAGACCTTCTCCGATGTCAAATACATTCTCGACACAAAAGCCAAACGAAATATAACGTTTGGATACGGTTCACTGTTTCACCCGATGTTGAGGCCCCAATAAAGGACTACTACTGCCAGTGCCCAGTTGGAGAGAGAACGATGGGAATGTGTGCGCACATCTCCAGTATCTTGTACTACCTTGGGTATTACAGGACGCTGGAAAACCCTCGACCATTACAACCACAGGTAAAGAAATTCCGACAAAACTTGAAATAGTTTTCCATGCGGCAACAACGTGCATATGTCGAAAGTATGTTTGGGGCTCGATATGGAAGATCCCCGTTACCATGTGACTAACCAAACTTATAAATATAGGTATTATACAATCACCCGTAGCTATGAACACTCCCGTAAATGCGAAAACCAACCAAAATCATAAGGAACACGTTTTGTTTGTTGTTCTGTCTATTTGTCAGCCAATGTCTTCAACCACGGGGACTTGTGAAGTAGCCATCTTGGATTTTTTTTATGAAAAAGTGTTTCTCTCACTTTTTTTCATATCTGTGTACATATTCTCAACATACCGAGCAAATACTCTCGTTTTTTTGTTAATTATCTAAAGAAAGTCGAAAATCGGCAATTCAACCATAGGCTAATTCAACCCAACATTTGAAAATGTTCCACCACTTACATTTTGATGATTTTTCCTCTCATCAATAGCATATTACGTACTATTTAATAGGATAAAAATTGGTTTGCATCCAACGCCCATAAAAGGGTGTATTCTCTAAAAAACACAGTTTTTGTGTCTAAAATGTTATCATCGAAAATGGCATTTTTGAGATTGTTTCTTCCATAAAACAGCCAAATGGCGCAATGGAAACATGATTTTTTTGTCACAATCATGCCATGAATGTATTCTTTACGGTGACTATCATTTGATTAGATTTTCATTAACATTTTACATAACATGCACATTTTATCAAGACTTAGAAAGCTTCTGAAAGGTACAACGTTGAGGAGCCATAAAAAAACAAACCAAGTGACCTAAATCTTTATACTTTATAGATTTGTGACCACAACGGCATGGGCAATGCACCACCAACAGGAAATTTGAATCAGAGAAGGGGCCGTTTTGGAAACCGGCCCTTTAATAAATAATGTCTTTAAAATTAATAGGAAAAATTCCTTTTGCACCACCACTTGGATTTCAAAGTGACTTATACAGGTTTATCTAAAGGGGTGAGAATATTGGCAAGTAAGATATTTGAAGTTTGATATTAAGATCTTTGACATGAGAGTGCCAAAAAGAAGTCTTACCAAAATGACAATCGGATAACACAAATAAGAGTATGAACTGATATAAGGCAAAGCACACATAGTAACTACAAACTTTCTGACTTTGGTAGGATTACATTCTGTAGAGTGACAATATTGTAATAAACACGGCATAAACATATATTCGGAAACGGCAGTGACAACTTATCTCCTCTCCATCATCATCATCATCATCATCATCATCATCATCATCATCATCATCATCATCATCATCATCATCGGGACATGGCAACCAGGATATATGTGGGAAGAAGGATTTGGGTGATTGCGTAGTTATCGACTGTTTTAGGACGTTTTGGTGAATTTTAGAAGTGTTTTGTGGTGTTTTGGGGTTGTCATTGAGTTTTATGGTAGTTCTTTATGTCACAAAAATAACCTTATTTTCAGGAAAGTAATAAGGACTGACAGCATTACAAATATCTTATTCGATTTTAAATATCTGAGTTATGTGTTTATTACACTATGCATTGAATCACAAGATCAAATTTCGTCACATTATCCGGCGCGACTATTCCATGTTTTAGTAAGTTCCCCATCACGAGTGTCGCGGTCAATAAATAGGACTTCCGGCAGTATAAAGATAAGCTCTACTTTCGATTCAGAGCTGAGATTGACAAGGAGGAAATCTGAAGATGGCAGCGATTACAAAGGCGAGGATTCGGGTCGATGTAGTTAGTGACATCATCTGACCATGGTGTTGGGTCGGAAAGAGAAAAATGGAGCAAGCGATGGAACTTCTGAAAGACAAGTATGAATTTACCATCCGCTGGGAACCGTTTTTCCTCCGACCCGACACCCCTCCTGAAGGTAGGCCAAAACCGGCCGCCTATATGGATCCCTCCAACCCAAGGTACTTTGTCAGTCATGGTTATTTATTTTTAATCTTCTGGAATCAAAACAACGTCTATTGCATCATTACAAGTAACAGGTTGGGTACAGCCCGGAACTTTCGAGGTACCTGTAGCACTGAAACTCCAACATAGAAGATCCTAAGGTATCCTAAGGTGTATCCTCTCATTGTGTCCCTTGAACTGAGACACATTGGTGTACTGTTAAGTCTTAATATGCTTTTTGAAATAACTTCCAAAGATCGCATATTCGCAGTAACTGATCAAGACATGCACTGCATAAATTACATTTGTAACAATAAATGAATTATGTGTTGTCTAATTAAATTGTTTACAATTAAAACATTACATTGTGTAATCCAGTGCTTTTCTGACCACTGGTTTCCTAGGACGCCAATATCAGGATTGAATAGTGGTTTTGTCTATGAATTTGTGTAAAAAGTAGACAACATATTTTTGAAATTTTTGCTTTACATGTAGTTTATCATATAAATATCTTGGTCTATAAATGAGAAAATGCTATTGTCTTCAATTATTAACAAAAAAGCACACACACATGCCTTATAACATTCCTGTACACCAATGAGAAGTAGTTGAGAGAAGTTTTATCCTGTGTAAGCTGCAGATGTGTTGGAGTTACTAACTCTGGCAAGTCCAGATCTAAGGATGTTCCAAACCTGCATAAACTGGTAATGGTTTAAAGTTTTTAACATATTATAAATCTTTATTTTTCAGACTGCAACACCTGATAAATGCTGGTGCAGCTGTAGGACTGATTTTTGCTAATAAGAGCCCAATATTCCCTAGTACACTGAAACCTCATGCCTTGCTGGAGTATGCCAAAGACAAAAACGGTGGCATCTATCAGAATGATGTTGCAGAAAAACTTTTCAAGGTTTGACATTTTCAAAGCTAGATTATACAGATGATTTACATGCGTTAGAGTTGAGAACACGGGATAATTTTAATTTTGATGGAGATTGTGATGGAAAGAAATAGTCTACTGCTTTTTATATAATGTATGTACTTATGGCTGTGTTAGTGTTGAAATAGATAAGGGTACTTCAAATTTAACTTCTTAAACCTGGCTTTGATTACTCTGTTCTCGATACATCGCGGTTACAATCACTTCGCTCTGCACCCCAGAATCATTTCATGGCAAAATTGAAGGTTCCAAGTATTAACCTTGTGGATAGGACAAGAAGACTAGTTTGGCACATACAGTGAAAGCAGTGAAGAAAATCTCTGTGATATTGGTATATAACACTCTGTGTTACAGAAATACTTCACTGATGGAGATGTCCTGGGGGAGGAGACACTGTTGGGTGTGGCTGATGAAGCTGGATTAGACAGGTCAGAGGTTAGCTCTTACTTGAATGACAAAGACACCCTGCGTAAGGTTTTCACAACAGCTACACAATGGTCATCACAAGGGATATCAGGTAACTAATCCTGTCATTCATGTAATGATTAATAACAGCAGGTCAAAGTGATAATTAGTGATATATCATTAATACAGTGTGTTAATTAACATCTATCACTGTCATTGTTACACTGCATTAACGATCTTTCACGAATTATGAAAAAAATAAGTATCAGTTGGAGGAATGAAGGATATTATAGGAATAACTGTTCCATTAATCCTAGGTTAGATAACAGATGTATATATACAGGAACGCAGATAGGACCAAGTAATCAGTTAGAGAGATAGATGGTATTCCAGTGATGGAAAGAAGAGAAATTTTACTGTATTTACATGTTACTATAACATTAGTATAGGTAAATGTCATGATATACCAATCTCAATACAGAGACAGTGAATGGTGTGCAATGTACTTAGTAAGTGATAGAAAAATTGGAAATTTGGAACAATCAGGTTAAATCAAAGAATATTTTCACATGTTTAAGCTATTGGAACAAATATTCTGTTAATATGGTCTTGATTAAATATTAACTGAATCATTACTTTACATATCCTTATTGTTATCTATCATATGTCATTGAGATCATTCTGTTCCAGGTGTTCCCACATTCTACTTTAACGGGAAACAGGTGTTCTCTGGAGCCCAAGAAACTGATACTTTTGTAAAGATGTTTGATGTCATTAATGAAAGGTTTCCACTTCAAACAGAGAGTAAGAATTAGACTGTGTACGGAGAACTGCCATCAATATCAACAAAAATATCTACTATTATAACCAGTGGTGTAACACATACATCCACAGAAAGCTGTGGAGCCTGTCTTTATCAACATTATTAGGCATTAGACAGAAACTTGTGGTACACACTACAGTATAATGTATATAGCCTTGTGACATATATCAGGATATCAAAAAGGAGGTGTTGGTAAAGTCAGGATTCATTTAATCAGTAGTCAGTGAGATATTTATAGAAGATTAGTCACAATTACAAACTACAATGATATTAATGCCATGATGTGTATTGAAATGTGATTCTGTGACACGCTGCTGAATATGTTATTGTAGATAAGTACATGTTTGATGTGATAGGTGATGGATTCATGACGAGCGATACACTCAAGTCAGTCAGGTATCGCCCTGAAGATAAACCAACCACTTACCTTTCATACTGACTTAGTATTTATCACACAAATACCATGTTTTGCACCGAATATCTTATGTGATGATTTGTGTTCGTAGTTACATTGATAATCCTTATTAAGACTAGTACCATGCTGTTTTGGTGTTGATTAAAAAAAAGCTGAACAAGATAGTGTCACGAAAAATAGTAAGATTTAATATAATATACCAAAACACTAGTCTTTAATTACTTTAATTACTGTTAAAAAAATAACAATAATTTCTCCAAAATTTGAAATTAAATTGAAACTTATCCAAACTGTTATTTGAGCTCTAATGTTATAAGGTTGCTTGTACACGTAGATTTGAAAAAAGAATGATAATTTTCAGAAGACTGCTGAGATGGTGTTTTGTAATAATGTACATACCTGGGTTTTAATTTTTAATAATAAATGATGTATTTATGTTACTGTGTTAGGTATTTTAAATGTTACACTACCAGTACATATTCAGACTATTTTTCTGCAGACACACACGGTGAGCCTCAACTGACTAATATATATGCACATTGGTTAATATAGGCACATTAGTTACCTCATATTGATAGCAGATATTTGCTTTGTCTTGTATCCATTTTTTTCTAGAATTACTGGTATGATACGATATATATCAGCAAGTACTGAGGCTAATTGATGTTGGTATATGTAACAACTCATAAGAATTTCCAAACAGTATTTGAAAGTATTCAATATTTCATGCCTGAGAAGTATTCATTTGTTGACCAACATTTATACATCTGACAAACTAATTAGACATTTTAGAAGTTATTCCAAATTGTTTTAATGTAACTTTGCACCTCAGTGCAATTTGTAACAACTTTTGACATGGTAAAATTAGCTATAAATTTGTATTAATTGTTTATCTTAACATACATATAACAAGAAGTGTTTATTTTTCTATCTTTCACAGAATTAATATAAAAGATAAACTTTGAAAAGGTGGGGTCAACATATATAGGAATTTAACGTTTCTTTTATGTTGAAAAATGCAGCCAAAATCATTTAAAAAGCCATTACTTTTGAGAAAAGTACTGTTTTGGACACTTCAATCTTCATACTTCTAGAACCAGTCTATTTTTCATACTTGCTTAAAAATTGACCACAGATCTTTCAAAAGGAGGATTCTTGGAAAAAATGGCCAACTTTTAAGTATGAAAAATAGACTGGTTTCGGCAGTATGAAAATTGAAGTTTCCAAAACAGTCCTGATTGTTCAATTTTAATTGAATATTGATCTTAATTTCTGAATTTCCAAACAATCCTTACCGCATTTTTAGCCCACCATCTATCTAATAGATGGTGGGTTATTCAAATCGCCCTGCGTCCGTGGTCCGTCCGTCTGTCCGTCCGTAAACAATTCTTGTTACCGCTATTTCTGGAAAAGTACTGGATGGATCTTTCTCAAATTTCATATGCAGGTACCCTTTGGTCCCTAGTTGTGCATTGTACCTTTTTTGGACTGATTCGAATTCAAGATGGCCGACAGGTGGCCATCTTGGATTTTGGAAGTAAAAGTTTGTTACCACTATTTCTTGGAAAGTACTGGATGGATCTTTCTCAAATTTCATATGCAGTTTCCCCTTGGTCCCTAGTTGTGCATTGTACCTTTTTTGGACTTATTCGAATTCAAGATGGCCGACAGGCAGCCATCTTGGGTTTTGGAAGTAAAAGGTTGTTACTGCTATTTCTTGGAAAGTACTGGATGGATCTTTCTCAAATTTCATATGCAGGTTCCCTTTGGTTCCAAGTTGTGCATTATACCTTTTTGGACTGATCCGAAATCAAGATGGCTGACAGGCAGCCATCTTGGATTTTGAGAGTAAAATCTTGTTACTGCTATATCTGTGGAAGTACTGGATGGATCCTTCTGATATTTCATAGATATTGGTTTCCCTTGGTCCCTAGTTGTGCATTGTACCGTTTTTGGACTGATTTGAAACCAAGGTGGCCCACAGGCAGCCATCTTGGATGTCGACAGTAATACAGCACAAGCATATTGTCCATTATCCACCTGTAACTGACTGCTATCTAATAATACTTTGGGATCTTTTTCAAATGATAGGTGCTTAATAAAAATATCTTGTGCCATCATTGAGTATATTCAATGAAGACCAGTTCATGAACATTTACAACACCTGTAACAAACAAAAAAAAAATAAACAAATCTTCAAGAACTGAAAACAGATCCTCAAATGGTGGGCGCCAAGATCCCTCTGGGATCTCTTGTAAGTGTGCTAAAATTTCCTTTAATGCAGAGACAGGTCATCTTCGATACTCCACGGGTTATACTCACTATACTATACTATACCTGGAACATTTTGTGGCAAAATTGAAGGCACAAGTAAAGCAATTTGATTGGTCTAGAGAAAGTTTCAGAAAAAAACTGACCAACCAGACTGATTTACTCTCTTTAAGATTTCAAAGGAGGGACTCCCAACTGTTCCAGGATTGAATAGAGCAATCTAACCACTGGAGTATCGAGGATGGCGAAAGATGATAGTGAAACTGCATCTGCATCCTCCATTATTTCTCAGACAGAAAGATGATAATGAAACTGCATCTGCATCCTCCATTATTTCTCAGACAGAAAGATGATAATGAAACTGCATCTGCATCCTCCATTATTTCTCAGACAGAAAGATGATAGTGAAACTGCATCTGCATCCTCCATTATTTCTCAGACAGAAAGATGATAATGAAACTGCATCTGCATCCTCCATTATTTCTCAGACAGAAAGATGATAATGAAACTGCATCTGCATCCTCCATTATTTCTCAGACAGAAAGATGATAGTGAAACTGCATCTGCATCCTCCATTATTTCTCAGACAGAAAGATGATAATGAAACTGCATCTGCATCCTCCATTATTTCTCAGACAGAAAGATGATAATGAAACTGCATCTGCATCCTCCATTATTTCCCAGACAGACGATAGCTACCGTCTGTAAAAAATATCAATCACCCATCACATTTCGTCATTGTAAAACAAAGAAACCAGCAATTATCATCAAATTTCTTTTATTTCTTGTAGACATGTACACATGTTATCATACAAAAATAGTTCATTGTCTGTAGTAGCTGTGAGCTAATTTGTATTTTATACAAATAAACGTAACATTGAGTTTTATAATACCGTATACAGTTGGATCTCATTAACTCAAACTCTTATAACTGAAGACCCTGTATAATTTGAAGTATATCATCTGCCCAGGCCAAACTTCACACACACAAACATTCTAGTTTACTTATTACAAATACTCAGATAAACTCAAAATTCTCTCCTGCCGACTTAAAGATGACGTGGTCCAACTGTATATGCTTAACGGAAAACATGTAAGAGAACTGTGGCAATTCGGACGACTTGATTTTCATTCATATATTTCTGGTATTTGCAGCATACATTATCCAAGGATATATGTGTCGGAATTATCAACGTCTCATTTTAATTTTGTTTTTGATTAGTATACAACCAAGTTAATTCATTAATAGATTACTAGTAGATTCAATTGTTACCATAATTTACAAACAATCGCTATAGGGCGAATCTCAGGAGGGTCTCTCATTTAGATTGTACACATTCACCAAGTTATGATCCTTGTATATAAACAGCAATAATATTGCAACAAATATTACAAGTAGTTATAAATATTACTTAATCACAGTATGAATGCAAAAAGGAAAATATTAAGTTCAATTAAATGATAGATGTACAAAAATACTGATGTTTGAATGGTAATAAAACCTCATACGTTTTTATTGATAAATAACACTTATATTAGAACAAACATATATTTCACGGTCTATATAAACATCACGTTACAATTATATATAGTTGTGTATACTATGTGATATATACTTATACTGTTACAATAATCGTGGACTTTTCACCAAAATATTTTAAACATGCGTACATAAGTAATCAATAATCATGATTTTGCATCTTGTCAAAGCTATACATTTCGTAACTGGAATTAACTGGAATTGTTACGAAGTCATTATCCACCCCGTCGGCTGTAAAGCTTCTTGCTATTCCATCTGAGTGGAACAAAGGAGAGAAATTATAGGAAATCAGAATGCAAATTGTATATTAAACATTAATTGTTTAAATCGAGTTATGATAACAATATTCTAATGACGTCATACATGTTACTATAAAGAGATCATATTTGTTACCCAATTTTAGTCTTCAAAAGTTACAAACATTAATACTTTAGCATGTTGTTGTAGGGTCTAAAAACTACTAATGTGAATGAAAAAATTCTGGAGTTTTTTTGACATTTTTCTACCACAACAAAAATGGATGAATTGATTCTTCAGTACAAACATTTGTATTGTTTACAACATAAGTTGGGGCGAAATGATATTAGAAATACATTGCAATGTCCTTATTCATTACAAATCACAACAATTAATAAATAAGTTATCTTTAAAGCAATAAATTGATAGAAATCATTACAACAAAAACAACAGTGAGCTACTTATTGTGCGTTTTAATTTCCGTGACTGCGTGAAATGTCCTTTCGGTCAAAGTTCAACTCTCAAACTGGAATAGTGCTTATATCATATATCTTTTAACTTATTGTGATAAAAATAATTTTCCAGCAGACATATTAGATAAAGATTAAATATTTGAATATTAGATAAATAATGTTGAGATCATGCATGAACACTGACCAGGTTACTAATAACCATTGTTCACTATTATTGATTTTAATGTTGACGTTTGTAAGATACAATGAAATATAATATTTTAACATTTTAATGTTACTACAAAACCAAGATTAGTAGATTTGAAGATATTGCAATTAAAATATGAATGGACATTTACAATGCCATCATAATATATGAACATAAGTAAATTAAACTTTACAATCAACTGGACTAACATATTATCGTTCCATCATTATTATCACATATGTTTTTGCTAACAAAGAACACTGTGGATCCGGGACAGGGAAACATGTATGTTGACCCAAAGGAACACACATAGAAGCTATGACAATCCCCAGGGACGGGGAAGTACTCATTGTGTCGACCAGGTTTACACGGGTCAGTGTAAATTTGGGGTGTTGTCATGCTCCCTACCGAAGTCGGAGTTGAGGGCGTGGTCATGTCTGCAAAGTGAAATAGAAACATGTTATAGTTAAAAGTAAACAATGCTAGATATGGTAATGCACATTTAAGATAACGTATTTACCATCAAATTTAAATAATATACTTGACCTCTAGTCTGGTATTACATGTACTGACATATTGCTGCTCTGCACTACTACATGTAGTAAGATTCTGTAATTGATATTAACATGTGGTCATCCTTCTGGTCTTCTATGACCAACACTTGGTTACCTTTGACCTCTGCTCTGCTGTTTGTTAAAAATTAGCATCAATGACCTGTGGTCTGTTATCACCAACACAAGGTCACCTTTGACCTCTCATCCGCTGCTCCTAACATTAAATCATCCTTGATCTATGGCTTTCTATTATTAGCAAGTAACACCATCAATTTAACCATTTATTTGATGTTAAACGTTGCTTAAACCATTGAAAGGAATGTTCACAGATTGATTTGAGCCCACTGCTTCAAAAATGTATTAGTGAGAGCCTTATCTTTGTGTTAGCATTGTACAGTGAAGACAGTTGTAAAGTTGATGCTAGACACAGTATTGTACTTTAGCAACTTCCTGTGATATACACTTTTGTTGACAGAAACAAGGTTTTTCCACAAAGAAAACATATATATCTAAATAGCAAAATGAAATGCTTATCACCATTAATTTTGTAAAATCCGATTTCGTGATGTTATCAATTATATTGAATGTTTACAGTGCTCATTGTTGCTCAAGGTGAAACATACAATTTTCTAAAAAATATTTTATTAACACTTGGTTATGATACAAATGAATATAAAAGAAATTGATTCACACTCTTTGTATACAATCTTTTATTCTGTTCGGTTAACACTTTTCACTCATAGCTAAAAACTTTGTAGATATTTAGCATATTAACTTTCCATAATTAAAATATTTGTTATGAAGTAAATATATACGTGGCTACAGCACACATAGTATCACATAAGTCCAATAAGATCTGGGTTTAAATGTCATTTTCAGAGAATAAGGTGAGTTCTTGTTGTGTGCCTCCGTAACGGGTGAAACATTATTCATAATGGATATTGTCTTGGTTGAATACTTTACTACAGCCGCCTTTAAATTCACCTTTATCAACCATGATAATTTCCAATTTTACCGTATTTAATCATATTGTTACATTTATGAATTATATACTCTTTGTAATTAATACAAGTATGTGGACTTGTGACTTGCTCCATAAAAGCAAGAATAATATGACACAACCGTAATTACTGTTATGTCATTAGCAAACAGTTATTGTAAATAACGTAATACTTTGAAACCATTAATAAGTTCCGGTTGTTTCCACAAAGGTTTTAATGGTTTTTATTGTCCTACTACAGCAATAAGTAGGTCAACGATTTTGGTCTGCAATGTTGTCCACATAATAAAAGAAATTTTATCGTTCATCACTAAGACAATATGATGTACATGTCAAGTCTTAATAACATCTTTGATCAACAGCTTCAGACAGACTAAGCGGTACAGTTGGGATCTGGAGAACACTTTTTTTCGACAGAATTGAAGGACATTCCAGAGGGACAATTGAGGGGCACAGATTCTTCCAGCATACAAACGACGAAATCTCTACACGTGGGGCCACTGAAGTAATCCTGACCAATCGTTGTGATTCCCTTGCATGGATCTGTAACCAAGGTCACAAGAGGATTAGCCGACCATCAAACTCAAGGATTTGCCCACCATGCATGATGCTTTGAGTATACCATCTTGCCAAACGTATATGTTCTCCAATATTTGGACAAAGCTGAGGTCATGCTCCACTAGGACCTTTTCATGTCCACCATGCATGTACAGAGTACGTTGGTATGATAAACACATATTATGATTTAGTTATGGTGTAAGATTGTTAGAAAAAGCCATGCTTGTATGAACAAAATGTACAGCCGATGATTCTAACCGTCCAGCAGCCGTAACTTTCGACTTCTGTAGTTTCCTTGAAGGTACGTTGATATTTTTGTCATCTGACTAAATGTAGTTACAAATTCAAAATGGTTCTTTTCTTACATTGTATCGAAAGAAAGTATTATCCCAAAGTAAAACGTTTGATTAAAACTGTCATTTTTAACAGATATATACCCCTTGTTACACTTTTGTTTTGTTTCTGCTGCAATATCTTTACTTAGAAGTGGTATTACCAAAATATGTTTGGTATGGCACAGTCCATTCATCAGTGGTACCACCTCCATAACATTTCCTAACAACTATAGTTTTATACTCATGAAAATATACTGGTAACGCTTGCTAAAAGTAAATGGGTTACATCATCAGGTACAATTAAGGAGATGTGATTAACAAATATATTGTACTTATGTATCACTAGTACATGTAATACTTATTAAATTAACACATCTCAAATGCTTCCAAATATGGAGTTGTCAGGGTAATGCATTATAATGTCGGTATGTTTACGTAACATTACGATAAAACATTCCATGTTGCATGACACAAGTTAAATCCCACAGTAATGAGAAGACATGGCCTTGAATGTCAAATATGTTAGTATACTAGTCTTGCATATGGTGCATGTTACAGTCGAAGCAACAGAAACGACCAGATGATTTTTTATGATATATGTTAAAACGTTATATGTAAGCCATGCGATATTCTTGATTATTGTAAAGCCATATCATTTAAGATTAAAATAAGCATTGTCATTCTCGAATATAAGTTTGATATCAAGCCATGTCAATTATAAACTTGCTAGTAAGTCATCTATGATTTGGAGAATCAGATAATGTTCCATAATAAAATACTGATGAATGTGTTAAAGCTGATTTGTTTTTTGCCAAATATTTCAATCTTTTTGTTTCCTTGCATTTTTGACAAATAGATACTTAAAATAGTGAACCTCGTTTATATTAACTTTGTGCTATAATGATATAGAAGTATTTTAATATTTTTAAAATGATATTTCAACTTTGGCCAAGAAAAACTTCCAGGGCATTAACTTACTGCTGGATGATGGTCCCCCTGGTGTTCTTTCAGCTGAAACTGTTTGCTGCTGGAAGATCAGGGACTCCTCAAATACAGCTAAAGGTCCAACCACAATAGCAATTTGGCCATTAACCGTTGTTCTGGGAGCGTTCTCTATCAGAATATCGAATATGAAGTCCTTCAATGTCTGATCTTGATCACCACGGAATTGTAGCAGGAAATTAATTTTGTCAGGAGAATTTCTGAAATTTAATGAAGATCAACCTCATGTTGAATTATATAGAGTATGAAATTTTGCCTTGATGCATACCTACTAATTACATCGGCAAATATAATATCCAAGATGACATATTTTAAAAGATCTTTTAGATTTTTGAAAGTTTCGAAAAAGAAAACAAATGGGAAAGGAAAAAAAGACAAAATGAACGAAAATGAAATGATAGCGATGGACAATTTGTTTAAGGTCACATTCACTGCAATTTAATATTGTCTGTTCATATCATATATTGTGTTTGTGATATTATTTATAGGGTGAATTTCTTTCCGAAATATTCTGATCTCATTATCTCCATAAGGTTTCAATACCAGAAGCTCACTGAAAACCAAACTTACGTGAATGATTCCACACTACAACGATAGTACTGTTCAAATCTGTCTCTGTTTTGGTACAGATTATTCAGCTGCAAATATTAAAAACACATTGAAGTGAATATAGGATAAGAGTCATTTTGCTATCCTAATGACTTTTTACAAGACAGACCATGTATGTAATAAAAATCGTTGGACAAATGGCTTCCATATACTGCAGAAATATAGGATTGACACCAATGTTAAGTCACCTGCTACAACGATTCACGCCCTATAATATCACTGTTTGAGTCCTAAAAGGACGACATGACTGTATGACCCTGATTAATTATTTGGTTCTAATGTATTCTTTTTTACTGAAATATTCTATTGAGTGTCTTTTCTACAAATTTGCTCTAAAAATTCTTTGTAACAAGCGTGAATATCACTTGTTGTTTTTGTTTAAATGCTTATATCTGACAAATCATAATAATCACCTTGAAGGCAATTCAATTTAACAATGCTACCACAGAGTTTGTGGATTTTCATGATTTTTCAACATGTACTGTAAAAGAGAAACGTTAAAAAAGACTAATAATTTTCATAATTATCTACTTACGTAATCACAAAATGGACCAGACAGAGCCAGGAATTCTGCCGAGTTTTTGTTCTTTAGTTGTTCAGTGTAGGTCAGGTTCAGCAATACAAACGAAATGTTCACAATGGTGTTTACTGCAAGCAATATCATACCCGTTAATATATATCAATCATTTCATCTTCAAATCAAATCACATTTGATTTACATACAGCAGTATCTCATGAGAGTATTGTTTTTTATAAACAGAGATATGTGTTACTTTGCTTGAACAACCAATGATACAAATACCTGGACTTTCCGTGGTCGGTGGTATCATAGTGGTGAGGTAGTCGGAGATGTTAATGGCAATATTCTCCAAGCCCCCACCGAGGTAGACAAGCTGGTCACCAATAAACATCATATCCTTATTCTCAATGAGGAAGTGTTGTGCCTGGTCACTTATAGTCTTCAGAAGAAGACTCTGTGGAATCTCCGCTGTACCATTAAACACGGTCTTAAACGTGAGAGTGTGTGGGTCCGTCACACTATAACATAGACAAAATAGTGAGAACATAACATACTAAATGTAGTAAAAATTGCGGAAATTTATACACCGAAAATAGACATCGTCTACATCCTTAATAAAACAGGGATTTTGACATTATGGTGATGTGGGTGTTTGTGAATAAATGAAAGATACATTCAAATTGGTAGTAATCAGCAGTGACCTTGGGACAAGTTAAAGTGTCTGCTAAATTCTTTAGATATACAAGAAGGTAATCAATATTTATTACTTTAACACTTACCCAATATTGTCAATGAAACATCGGTAATATCTGTCTCGTAAAGAACTTTGCCGGAAATAATTATCAATCTGAAACATTAGGGTGACATTTTTGGTATTGTAAAGTTGGAAACATTTGAGGTTTTGATGTTTTCTTTTTTCACAAATTTTTTAAATGGAATACAACTGCAAAAATGGTACCTTGAAAATTAAATTAACAATAAGAAATGTTGTCTGTCTCAAGATTGTTGTGAAAAATACATCCTATCCTTTTTGTGTCAAAAAACTTTGTAGCGTATCACAAAATGAAATACCGGTAATATAAGTACGTAATGTAATTTTGATGTAAACGATCACATCAGAGTTAACAATAGCAAACCGATATATTATCAATACATACGTCATCACAGAACACATTCTGGAAGTTTTGGAAGAGCTCCGACTGTGGATTATTGTAGTCATTTGAGTATCCGAACTTATGGATGTAAAATGTGGAGTTTGACAACCAAGCATCTGCAAAAATGAGTCATATATCATCATACATCGCGGTCAATGAATGTTAACTCCCCATCCTATACAAAGGTGTTCATCATGTTAACTTTTTAAAGGATTTGGTAAGCTGTTTTTTGAATCTTAATTTCAGTTGAAATAGCAAAACCAGGCAACAAGACTCTTCAAAATATTGAGAGATACTTCCATATATGGTTATACAATGTACATCATTTTATTTCTATTTTATCCTTTTACACTAGACGTTTACCGTGTAAGATGTACTCCCAGCTGTCATAGTAAACCAGCAGATCTCCCACCAGGTGGCCGATGGCGTCAAAATATCGGAAACGGGGGGCGTCCTCGAAAACTATTCCTGCCACATTCTGTTGATAATTCGGTACCGACAAGGTTCCGCCGAATTGAAGAACAGCTGTTATGGTGACAGGGTTCTGTCTGTAATCATTGAAAAAGAGGATTTTATTTCAATGTCAATTCAAACAAATAGATACCATATCAGAGACAACAGAAGTGTGGTATATTAGGAAATATGTAGTTCATGAAGTACTTGTACTTGAAGTCTCGTAGGAATTTTTATCATGTTTTGAGAGGCAACGGAATATCATAAAAGTGAATACCGTACTGGTATGGCGAGGGTTGAACATTTGCAAAGTTTTTGTATTTCAATCACTTACATTACCTTCGTGATATATGTAGCCACTTACCCGAAAGACTCAATTGCACATGACTCATAAGTTGGAAATAAACTTGGATGCATCTTAATCAGCCTTTCAATCTACAAATACATAAAAACAAATGGTCACATATTGTTTATTATGTTTCTTTTTAACTGCCATTGTTTCAGCCCAGTTAGTAGAATATTTCACATGTAAAAGATACACACATTTTGTCACATTCTAGAACAATGGAAGAGAGCTGTTTCACTTTTGACCTTGTTTAATCCTACAAACGATGACTGAGAATTTGTATCATTAGTCAGTTGGTCCAATCATCTGCCGATTATTCAGGATGAATAAATGTTACATATATCAAATGGATCACACTATTTCCGTCTCAAAATGTTGGAAATGAAATAACCCTAAAAAAGATATATAATCTGTGACTGCTTCATAAGGATTTCAAACTTTTTAGAGTAATTTTCAAATGTCAAAACATGTTTAAGCACTGGGGCTGACGTAAACATCTTCTAAGACAACTACTTGTAGCAGGAATATGAAATCAAATCTTGCTTTAGAAAATCGCTCTAATTATTATTACCTTTTTTCTACAGCATATCAACTTACATCGCGACAGAACAATTCTGCATGACCCTTAAATGCAAAAGAGTTGGAGTCAGCGAGGTCGGAGGTCCAGGTTCGGTTGAGAATCCGGAAAGTGAGAGGTACTCGCGTGAAGTCTGTGTAGTCTTGGTAGTACACCATGTAGTCTCCAATGTTGTATCCGAGGTAATTACCGAACCGGATCAGAGGTCGCTCACGTAATAAAATCTCGTAAAACAAGGCATTGAGTTCTTGTGAAGGTCTTTCACCTTCAAACGTCAGGTCAACACTGGCTCTCACAGGATTGTTTCTGTTCATAAAACATGAGCATCGCAATTTTAATTAGGGTAACAATTAATATAGATATATAGTGATTTTTGGGAATCACGTTTTTACAGAGTGATTCACTCATTTTGAAAATCCACATCTCTTCGTAAATGTACTCATCAAAGTTTTGGAAATTCTGCTATGGTCTCGCCTTGAAATCTTGCAAAAATTACTGGATATAAATTTAGGCCATTGGAATAACCAAATAATCCTAAAGGACGAAAAAGCTGTATGATGCAGTTTAAATCACTGTTTGGCTCTACTGTATCTTAACTTGTATCAAATGTGCAATTCACTTGTGTGTTTTGTACAATCTTTGTAGACAGTTGTACATTTCAGAGTGGCCAGTATATATGGTAACGTATATAAAAGGGAAGGCATTTCAACCATGAAAGAAATTTGAAAGATTATGTAAAACCAATACTTCATCTTAAAACCTGACTTTGCAGTATGGACTACTGATAGATGTTTTTTCTAGAATAATCATCATGAGAAAAGATATGTCACAGGACGATATCAGTCAAAAGCATCACTGTCACAAACATATTAACTGGATGATACATTTACTACAAAGGAGCAACATTCTGTATAGAGGAAACTAAACAAATACAAATAAAACACATTTTTCTACTATAATAGTGCAGTGAATTGCTAGCCTGTAGATCAACACCAGGACTGAAATCTACTTAGCTAAACGTCCTTAACATTAAAATGATATATCAGTCATTACTCACGAGAACCTGCGAACATTGCACTTGACGTATTGCGGGAAATCGAACGGATGCCGCCTCATGAACATGTCAATCTGAAAAATATACATTTCATAATTTGAACTGAAAAAACGACAACAAATTTTCAAAATTATTGAAATCTTAAAGTAGAAAAACAATGAAGCATCTAAGAGTAACACATATTTATCACATAAAACTGAGAAACAAGTTTTGTCTATGCTTCATGCATTACAATAGTTATTTTGTACCTTCAAATCACAATATTGTTTACATCTTCATGTGTTTTTGTTTGTCTTTTTTTGAAATCGTAAAAAGTCACACATTTTCCAATACATAAATTATTTCGGAAAAAGTAATTTTCTTCTGCATAAAAATGGTAATTCAGAAAGAATAAAAAAAAACACAATAAAGAATCACCAATATGTCTACAGATTCATAATCCAAACTCAAGCTAAATGGAATTAAGGCAAAACATGAAGAAAAGGAAGGTTTACAAGGTTACGCTGAAAAGTGCAGGAAGAATAAAACTTACATCATCACATATACTCCTGGCTGCCATTTTGAATTCAAACGAGTTCGGATTGGCCAGGTTTTGAGAATATGTAAGGTTTAACAGTCGGAGGTCAAGATTAACACCAGTTGTTGTGTAGTTGTCGAAGAAAAGGAAGATATCACCAATTTCTACTCCGAGAGAGTCACCAAACACCACTGGAGTTTGGCCTTGCATGATGTATGTCCAAACATCATCGCGAGTCGTACCCGGCTCATTTCCTCGGAATACCAGATCCCAGGCGATTGACACAGGGTTGTTTCTGAAGAGAGAGAATTAAATGGTTTACTTTTTTTCTTCAAAAGGCTTCAAAGACAGTAGACTTTTATACATATAAGAGCAATCAGCTATTGCATGCGTGATATCGGTTGTTGTACATAATATGGTGTGTATTTATTTTAGGATAAAAGTCAACTTACCCGAATGATTTAACTTTGCATTCTTTAAAGTTTGGAAACTGTGCAGGATTTCCTTTCAGCATCACTTCAATCTACCGAATAAATATTTATACAGATAAATGATCAATCATTGAATAGTCTATTTATAAATATTTTGTATCTCATCGCAGTACATCAATTACTATAATCTATGCTTTACCTATGTAACTATCATCAGAAATATTTTCAGTTATAATATATTTCAGATGTAAATATAATGCATATATTTTTTTCATTGTAATAAGTTGTGTTTGTGTAGTCAGTAGTTATGTTTGAAAGTGATCGTTAATTTAAATAGTGATTTTTTGTAATATGGATGGACCTGGTAGCTTACCTCATTACAAAAGGATTGAGCATGCCTTTGAAACTCGAAGGAGTTGTTATTCCCAAGAGCTGGGGTGTAGGTTAGATTGAGGACTGGGTATGAATAGTCTACGATCGTCTCGATAGCTGCAAAGTAAAACAGAATTAGTTGACAAGAGCATAACAATTAGCATATTTAATAAACATTAATCAATTAGAAATATGTGACCATTATTTTTGCTGTTTCCTAATTATAGATCAGGATGATCACTTAGACATTGCAAACTTACCAATTTCACAGTCCTCTCCAGTGTAAAACACAGGGCAGAAGCAGGAGTAGGAACCGAAATTGTTGATACAGCTTCCGTCGTTCAAACATGGGTTCTGTAGACATTCATTGATATCTGAAATAAGGATATAACACACAGTGTATATATAACAACACAATCCACAAAATTATTTACGTTAATTTTGACTGATCATCATCAGTTCAATACTAAATCATTATTAGTACAATCATGATGAACGTATGCAGTTAACATCTAAACATGTTTGGGACAAGAGGTAGATAACATATAAGCATGTTTGGGACAATAGGTAGATAACATATAAGCATGTTTGGGACAGGAGGTAGATAACACATAAGCATGATTGGGACAAGAGAGAGGATGTACATACCTCCCATACAGTTCTGTCCGGTACGTCCGGCTGGACAGATACATAAGTAAGATCCTGGCTGGTTAATACAGGTACCGCCAAACCGACATGGACTAGTCAAGCATTCGTCCACATCTGAAAATTTCACGTGCAAAATAATTGATATGTCGCTAATTTATTTGAATTAGTAATTAAAGATTACAATATGGTCTACCAAAATGTCTAATATAAAAAATAGTATAGGTTTGCTTAAAACAATTACTAAGTAAAACCATTTGTATATATATATATGTGTGTGTGTGTATCAGGTCTTAGACCAAGTGAACAGGAAAATGTTGTAAACAAATTTTGATTCAAAATATCATTTGAAACATCAATTAACCACTTGAGATAAAATAAAAGATAATCTATAAAATACGTACCGATTTCACACCTGTCACCTGTCCATCCTGCCGGACAGCGACATGAATACGACCCCACACTGTTAATACATGTTCCACCATTTAGACAAGGCGACTGTGAACACTCGTTGATATCTACAACACCAAAACAACGAAACTTAGAATTATGTTTTACAACAAATCAGTTTTTAATCACAAAGAATATTAGATATGCTATTGGGGAAGCAGTTTTAATGGTTATACTGAGGTGACCATGAAAAACAAAGTTTCTTTTATTCACTGTCATGTATGATAAAAACATACGGTTACAGAAAGTGGATAAAGGTATGTGATGCATCCTGTATGAGATTTAAAGAAATTCTTAAAGTTTTTACCACATGAACTACCTTTTTTAACATTTTTAATCACATAGTGCAATCAATTTTCCCCTCACTTACCACTTTCGCACTGTTGACCAGTAAAACCAGTGAGACACATACAGCTGTACGATCCTATCTCATTGACACATGTCGCACCGTTCTGACATGGTCTCGATAAACAGTCGTCTACATCTGCAGACAATGACAAAATCCATAAATAAATGCAATATTCCCTTATAGTATCCAAGGATGAAATACAATGTTTGCTCCATTTAATGTTCTGTATTATTAGATATCACTACTACTACTACTAATTGTTCACATGATATCAATCAAACACTATCCAAAATAAATTAAGTAGGATAAACCAGGATCTGTATTATAAAGATTGTGCTAAGGTGATCTCATCTCCAAGAAAAAAGATTTATAATCCATATTCATCATCAGTATTTTACTTTAGAACTCAGTCTAGATTTCAATTTGAGTGGACACAAAGAATTCCTCCTAATGCTGGTGGACATGACAGTACGTACCTCCGACACAGTTGAGGCCTGAACGACCTGGGGGACACTGACATAAATAGGAGCCAACAGTGTTGATACATGTACCTCCAAACTGGCATGGGGCGGTCAAACACTCGTTCACATCTGAAGTAGAATTACATGTTTTATTTCTACATTATGTTTAACTTAACTATCCCTTCATTTGTCCAAACAGTTTGTATAGTAATGTGACTGAAAATGCAAGTTTACTTCACTTTGGACAGCAAATTAATCTTTCAAATTTTCTTTACTTTCATTCATTGTTAGATCTCAAATCAATGCATCAAAAGATATTTCAGTGATGTATTAATGAACAAATATGTATTGGTAATGGATTTTAGCCATGAGTCCAAATATAAGTCATACCTATCTCACAATTGTCTCCCCTGTATCCCGGCTCACACAGACAAGAGTAAGACCCAAGTGTGTTCTGGCAAGTACCACCATTAAGGCAGGGTCCCATCAAACATTCATCCACATCTAAAAATGCTTAGTGGTTTTATTACTGATACAAATTATATCAGGAACACATTTTAAAATGTTAATTCAATCAAACCATGAACCTGACCTTTTATTGAAACAACCGCAGGACAAAATACTTATTTCTTATGTGAAACCACTTTTATCACAAAACATATTCTTGTTATTATGAAGAAGAAAACTTAATAATTTTAGCATTAGAAATATCTTTATGTACACCGATGTTGTTAAACAAAATAAAGTGTGACATGACGAACCTATTTCACAGTTATTTCCTGTCCATCCAGTTCGACACTGACAGGTGTAGGATCCTTGGATATTGATGCAAAGACCGCCGTTCTGACAGATACCAGCTTCGGAACATTCATTATAGTCTAAAATGGAAATATTTTTGTACCAGTGTCGTCAAAAAAGTATGAACAGAAGAGAGCAAGCATTCTCAAATAACTAATGCTATGTATACAATATTTCAGTAAAATGATAATTTGCCATTTGCCAATGCAACCGAAATTCCCATGTTGAACATCAAGTAAGTTTTGTAACATTCAAGTTCGCAATGCGATTTAAATCTGAGTGGTCAAACTTTCAACCCACGGTGAACATGTCAGATTTTGACAAAATATTTTTATAAATATATATTGTTTAAGACAACCATTCAATGTCTTCCAAAATAGGAACCCTATACTTTAAAATGAAAAAAAATTGATAGAAATAAATTAGCTAACAAACATTAAATGTCATACCTAGTTCACATCTCTGCCCTTCCCAGTTTTGTGGACAAATGCAATCAAAAGTACCAGGTAGGTTATTACAGGTACCACCATTAAGGCATGGGTCTTGTAGACACTCGTTCTCATCTGAAAGTAAACACATGCTGTCAGTTAGAATATTTTTGTTTCCAGTTTATCGTAAACATCTGTTCTAGTGATAAATAAATCCATAAACAATCTCATAAACTTCATGTTATTTTTACTTTAACAAAAATATTGCATCAGAAAAAATACAGATAGAAATTTAATAAATTAATATTTTTCCCTTTGATTTGACATCAATTACTATATATAGCTCAATTACTATATATCTGATTACTAAATGATATATAATATAATTTAATGCCAAAGCACATGTATTTACCCACCATAGTATCACAAATGTATCATAATACCTAAATACATATATTTACCCAGCGTATGCAGGATAATACACTAAATATAGACATATTTACGAAGGCAATCCAGGGTACTTTTGTGAGTACTGACCTTCGGTACAGTTGGTTCCGGTCCAGCCAATCAGACAACGACAGGTATAGGTACCAATGGTATTCACACAGAGTGCCCCATTTTGACAGATACCCGGGTAAAGCATACACTCGTTTCGGTCTGAGTAGAAAACATACAGCACATGGTTAATCGTCATGTATATTGACGTAAATGTTGTTGATATTTGTCTGTTTACCTTTCATGCATTTGGTGTATTAGTAGTATGTACTGAAGTTACAAGATCACGAATGTCATCAGCTTATAATTGGAAACATTGAATTATTGTTATCATTTCTAAAAGTTGTTTGAAAATTCAATTATAATAGATACATTATAACTGATGTCATAGGCTTTATGTAACTAATTCAAACTTACCTAGGTTACAGACTTCACCAGTGTAACCAGGAGGACAAACACATTTATAACTTCCAGCTGTGTTTAAGCACGTGCCACCGTTTAGACATGACATCACATTACACTCGTTGATATCTAAAAATCACGTGATAAATGTTACGATTGACAAAACAACAAAATGACATTTTCGTATCAACTGTAGAATAAAAACATTTGCCAAGTTTTATTATAAAGTTCATCTCAATAAGTAGGTTTTTTGTTAATGAATTATAATTGATTAGATTATTTGATTATGATTAACAGCAATCAAATTTCGATGATATAAACTTATGATCATGAATGTTCGGAGACCAAAAAACTATAACTTACCAACGTCGCAGAATTTTCCAGTCCAGCCATTACTACACAGACACTGCACAGAGCCCGGCGTGTTGATACAGCGACCATTGTTTTGACAAGTAATGTTCTTACATTCATCGATATCTGTATCAAAAACAATAACAATGTTCATTCGGAGGAGTTAACACACAATGACTAGTCCAAACTATTTTGAGGTTCTACTAACTTTTTAAATCGGTCTTTTTCATTGACTTCAGACCGACATTAAAAAAGTTGATAGAACGTCAGAATAATTTGAGTACACAATGACATATCCATTAGCTGCTTAAAAGTAGACTGACTGCACATTTGATTCCTGAATGGCTGACTTACCCTTAAGACACTCATCCCCATACCAGCCGTTGGTACAGTCACATTTGATTCCTGAATGGCTGACTTACCCTTAAGACACTCATCCCCATACCAGCCGTTGGTACAGTCACATTTGATTCCTGAATGGCTGACTTACCCTTAAGACACTCATCCCCATACCAGCCGTTGGTACAGTCACATTTGATTCCTGAATGGCTGACTTACCCTTAAGACACTCATCCCCATACCAGCCGTTGGTACAGTCACATTTGATTCCTGAATGGCTGACTTACCCTTAAGACACTCATCCCCATACCAGCCGTTGGTACAGTCACATTTGATTCCTGAATGGCTGACTTACCCTTAAGACACTCATCCCCATACCAGCCGTTGGTACAGTCACATTTGATTCCTGAATGGCTGACTTACCCTTAAGACACTCATCCCCATACCAGCCGTTGGTACAGTCACATTTGAAGGATCCAGGTAAGTTTCTACAGGTGCCGCCATTTTGGCATGGGAAACGTAAACATTCATCCACGTCTATAAGAAAAGAAATACTACTATTTAATGTATGAAGAAGAATGTCCTCTCACTATCTTATTTCAATATTGACATTAAAATTTTTTAAAAAAATTGCAACACTGCATTTACATGTAGATGTCATTATCCATATTACGTTCATGTTTTAACCAACACATGTGAAAAAAATAATCTGACACAGGGCACTTCATAGGGAAAAACGTAATCAGTTCTGTTTCAAATCATTAAAGTAACTTCTTCTGTTAGTGTATTTTTATTTCTTGATAATGGATGCTGGCACAGGTAAATAATATTTTGAATAGTTGCTATTCAGTTGATCTGATCAATTGCTAAATGAAAAGTCAATTTATTTATTATTTATCCCTATTAACAAAACCTACCTGTTTCACATCTATCTCCCTGCCAGCCTGTGGGGCATTGGCAAGAGAATGAGCCAGCACTGTTGATACATGACGCTCCATTCAGACAGGGCATCGTCAAGCACTCGTTCACATCTGAAAAGCAAGTAATTTGATTCATTTAAAATTTGACACCAAAAAATTTTCCCAAGATTTATCCTTTTCATGGCGTTCCAATAAACAATCATAAATATTTCTTTATCGTAAAGTACATACCTATTTGACAATTCTTGCCTTCCCAGCCAGGAGCACATGTGCATTCATAATACCCGGGCCTGTTAAAGCACGAGCCTCCGTTCTCACATGGGTTAAACTGACATTCGTTTTCATCTAAAGTGAAATAACAAAAGATAAATTTAAAAGTGTTTTTTTTATCCATCAAAATTATGTGAAGAATTAAAAGTAACACATTCTAATGGTTGACACTACGTCTCTGACATTTATGTAATAGTAAAATGAAGAGAGCGAATATTTTATCTCAATAGTGATCATCCTACACATGAAATAAATACAATATTGGCAATAGACATACCGATTTGGCAGTTCTGTCCTGTCCAACCAGATGCACATTGACATATGTACGACCCATCAAGATTGCGGCAGGTGGCGTTATTGTAGCACGGGTTATTAACACACTCGTTAACATCTAGAAAATTCATTGTTTTTTTGTTAACATTTTGTGTTTGTATTCTTGCAATATATATGTAAATGACTTAATCCACTGATAGAATGATTCCAAAAGGAAATCTTAATATACTATTCAAATTTATTATCTTTCTGGTAATTTAGCTGTGCAATACATTTAGAATTACAGCTGTTCAGAAAATCTTCTTGAACTTAAGAGTGTACACTTAATGATCTTTATGTACTACACCTAATGTTTGACTTAATGATTTGGAAGAACTTGTATTAACTCATTGTTAAGGTTATATAGGTAGGTACATACCAATGTTACAGCTCTGACCAGACCATCCCTGAGGACACTGACACGTGTAGTTGCCGGCCAGATTGATACAGGTGCCCCCGTTTATACACACACTGTAATCCGTCTCTGTACACTCATTAACGTCTATAACAAATACAACAGAACTGAGGTACAATTTTCCTTCGATAAGTGGATAAGTGTAAAGTGGTGTTGGTCTCGAGGTACATTCAACGACTCTTAATACCTGCTTTTTGAATCATTGCATGACACCTGGATAGACGAGTGACAAATATCATTCTATGTATCAAAACCTGAACTGAAATTAAATTGGGGAAAAACATCTATCGTCGGGATAGTTACCTATTTCACAATTCTTGCCTTTCCAGTTGTTACCACATCGACACAGATAGGATCCATCAGTGTTGATACATTGGCCTTTGTTCATGCATGGTATGGTGAGACACTCATTTGTATCTACAAAACACAACAAACACCACTTGTTGGATTCATATAATGTACGGAGAAGTGGAAACACACTCGCCTTTCACCTATCTGTCCGGGGTTTGTTTCCCGGGATGGATGTGTAAAGGTATGGGGTCACCTGCCCAACCATGTGAGTGCGCCCAGTTTCTTACCACAGTAAGACCTCTCACATACTTTCATTCAGGCCAACAAGGGTGATTAATATAAGTTGGAAAAACTTGCTTCGCAATTGTTGTAAAATAAAGTTTTTTCTTGTTATGTAACGTACACCTAATATTTTTGTAATACCTATCAAGCTTTACTACGTCATGTTCCAAAATAACTCATTATTAGAAGGATCACAAGTTTTCTCTAAATAATAATAAACAATACACTAATCTATATATATATATATGTATACCGTTTCTGCAGTTGGGTCCTTCTCTCCCCGGCAAACACTGACAGAGATAGGATCCTGGTGTGTTAATACAGGAACCACCATAGAAACAAGGATTGTTGATACACTCATCCACGTCTGAAACACACCAAAGTAGAAAGAAACAAGTCATGCAAAACAGATTTTCAAGGGAAAAAAGTCATTTTAACCATCGTAAAATCATCTTAAAGGAATGTTTTTATTCATTTTTATTTCTGACAAATTTTTTATTTGAAGGTGAAAGTGCTAACAGAATGGTTTTCAGGACACTTACCTTCTGTACATGTGCTTCCTGTCCAGCCTCTTGCACAGTCGCAGTAGAAAGAACCACCAGTGTTGGTGCATTTGCCGTCATTTTTGCATGGCCTCTGATCACATTCATTTTTGTCTGGAAATGTTTTTTTTACCATTATAACATCACCAAAAACCAATATTGACACTTATTTATTGACACCAATTAATCATATGATCCTACAAACGACCTGATTAAAACATAAATATCGAAAATTTGTTAAACAACATGTTTTGCCAATCAGCAATAAAAAGCAGAGGAAGACATACCTAGTGAACAGTCTGGACCATACCACCCCATTCTACACAGACACGTGTAAGACCCGTCGTTGTTGATACAGGTGCTATCATGTTGACATGGACGTGTGTCACACTCATTCTTGTCTGTAAATTACACAGGGCGCATCATCGTTAGATCATTTTCACACATTTAAACTTCTGAAATAACGCTTTTTAAATAAGTAGTGTTTCAAATTTGCATTAATAAATTATTTGACAATGACCTGTCATTGAATCAGGACAGGATGATACAAACAAAAAGAGATTTTGAAAAGCTAAGTTTTCGGGTATTTATATATCTAATGATATATGTATGTTCTATAAATGTCCATTCAACGCAGTGATAAAATATTACATTGCAATTGCTTGAATTAGTAACTAGTGCTTAACTCACCTAGATTACAAGTCGGTCCATACCAGCCAACAGGACATATACACCGGAATGACCCAACCGTGTTCTGGCAGGTTCCACCGTTCAAGCAAGGAGCACGGATCTCACATTCATTTTCATCTATATAAAACATGATATATTATTCTAATCATATGTCATATATTAAATGATTTCTAGTTTTCAACTCACGGTATTTCAGACGTTCACATCCAAATGTGCTCATAGTTTTAGAACGCAATATTTGATTACGATTTCATTTCTTCCTAGTTTATATACAAATTAGTCATGACACTATCATTTTTATGTTAACGTCATCAAACTCAAACGTCTATGACATGACAATTGAATCTGAGGCCACACAACAAACAGGGTAATAACGACGTAGGAAAAATCAGTTAAATACAGTAACGTTAATATCCTCTTTTACTACAAATCTAGAGATAGATACAGTAGAGCTAATCAATGCAACAGCATCATACAACCTTTTTCCTTCTAGGACTCATCAGTGATGATAAGGGTCAAAAGTTTGAAGCCAAGCTGCCGACTGAGAAAAACCTGGTGATCAAAAGAAAAATCAAAATCCAGATAGGGAGGTTAGCTTCCGACTTACCATTTTCACAATAGGTACCATAGAAACCAGGCAGACAGTTACATTGATAGGATCCGTCCAGGTTGGTACAGGAAGCGTTGTTCTGACACGGAATGTTTCGGCATTCATCAATATCTGCATCACATGACATTAATTATAACAAATTACAAATCATTAATGTATCATGACAAATAAGAATATAAAGCATTTAATGAAAAATTAATCAAATTAAGAAAATATGGCCTACTTTTTATCAATATCATAATTAGCTTAAACTACATCATAATGGCTGCTCATTACAAGGCACAGTGTTTGAGAATAAATTGTATTATACAATACATTTGCTGTATTAAATGATACAACATATCAGGTTACAAGATACCATGAGCAGTGCCCCATATCTCATGATACACACTACTTCTGTGAATGTTACTGATTATTTATTTCTTGTTTGATTTTCCAAGTTTTCATTTAAATCGTTTACGAAATTTAAACTTTCGTTCATCAACAAGTTTTCATAATTATTACATGGTAAATGAATTTAAAGATATTATCAAAACACTTTGATAATATAATAATCAGCGTATATTGAGAGAAATTATATAAACTTACCAACTTCACAGTTCTGACCACTCCATTGGGCAGAACAAAGACATTTGTAGGAACCTACAGTGTTCTGACAAGTCCCACCATGCATACAGGGCATCTGGATACACTCATTGACATCTATAACAACCAAACACTCGATTACCAATCAATTTAAACTACTTTCAGAATGAGTTATTATTAGAGCAATGAATTGTTTACATTCCATTTACATCTAAAGAAAAGTCAAAACCTACAGTACAAACAGGTGCATTACCTCTATCACATACAGGTCCCTGCCAGCCCTTGGCACATTGACACCGGAATGAACCAATAGTGTTCGTACAGGTCCCGCCATTCAAACATGGAACCTTGTTACACTCGTTATCGTCTGAAAGAGAGTGATATCATTTTGAATCTAGTAATTATAAACTTTACTTTAATAGATTTATATATATATATTATAAATGTCACCTTTCACATGTTATGCACATATATGACTTCCATTCACAACCTTTCGGACTATAAATATACTATATTTTTACACTTAACCAGAAATTGATACCTACCATCCTTACAAAGCGGGCCTCTCCATCCTACAGGACACTCGCATAGGAAGCCTCCTTCAGTATTAATACAATTTCCTCCATGGGCACATGGTTTTTGGGAACACTCGTCCGTGTCTGTGTTTAAATTAAATAAATAATAAAACAGATGTGAGCAGTTATGTTATTGGAACCAATTATGCTATAAAATAATTAAATTGCGAAGTGTGTTTGATCAGGGTTCCCATCATCAAAATTCACTTTCTCTTTTTTAATTGGAACATTGAGACATTTCATTTTTTGTATGAAAATATTGAGTTTAAGGAAAGTCAGGAACAGTTGTTTTCAATCATGAAACAAATTTCATTACCTGGAATTCAAATGATCACTATCAGTTGATTATGCATACATTTATCTTTTTAAAACCTGAGAATATAAGTATATACCATTGAACACGTTAAATAACATATATGAAGTTGTGACTGACCGTTGTTGCACTGCGGGCCAGACCACTGTGTCGGACAGATACACCGGTATCCCCCTTCATTATCTACACAAGTCGCTCCGTTGTGGCAGGGGTAGGCACCCTCAAGGCATTCATTTATATCTGAAACAATCACATAACCCTGTAAATGTACACAATGTTATTATTTATTATCAAATTACGGAATGTCACTGTTAATCTGAGTAAATTTCCAGTTGAGATAGGTGTTCGGGGAAGAACTCTATACTTACTTATTTCACAGTAAGCTCCTTTATAACCAATATCACAAATACAGTTAAATCCGCCTTGTTTATCCTGACAGGTGGCGCCATTCATACAGACAGAGGGAGATAACAAACACTCGTCTACATCTGGAAAATAACATGATCAAAATACAATAAAAAACGAAACAATTGAAAGTAATAATAAACCAATAACATATATCAACAGTACTTTGTTTTTCATGATATCCAAACAAACTAAATTGTCAAAGAAAAAAACATAATACTTGCAAGATTGGATACAGGAGCGTTTTTCATCAGGTATAGTGTACTACCTCAAAGATATGAACGGTACAGTGTCTCAAGTGACCAACTAATGTTCTATACTTACTGATACCACAGTACTGTCCGAGCCAGCCATCTGTACAGTTACAGCATAGTGTCTCAAGTGACCACCCAATGTTGTATACTTACTGATACCACAGTACTGTCCGAGCTAGCCATCTGTACAGTTACAGCATAGTGTCTCAAGTGACCACCCAATGTTGTATACTTACTGATACCACAGTACTGTCCGAGCCAGCCATCTGTACAGTTACAGCATGGTGTCTCAAGTGACCACCTAATGTTGTATACTTACTGATACCACAGTACTGTCTGAGCCAGCCATCTGTACAGTTACAGCATAGTGTCTCAAGTGACCACCCAATGTTGTATACTTACTGATACCACAGTACTGTCCGAGCCAGCCATCTGTACAGTTACAGCATAGTGTCTCAAGTGACCACCTAATGTTGTATACTTACTGATACCACAGTACTATCCGAGCCAGCCATCTGTACAGTTACAGCATAGTGTCTCAAGTGACCACCTAATGTTGTATACTTACTGATACCACAGTACTGTCCGAGCCAGCCATCTGTACAGTTACAGCATAGTGTCTCAAGTGACCACCTAATGTTGTATACTTACTGATACCACAGTACTGTCCGAGCCAGCCATCTGTACAGTTACAGCGATATGACCCCATGATGTTGACACACTGCCCTCCATTCTGGCATTGGATCTTGCTGCATTCGTCTTTGTCTGCCACAAACATGAAGTACAATGTAAGCATTCGCTTCATTCTGATTTATTTAATGAATGCATTCACTATATCCCGACTATACGATGTATTTTACTAAAACATGTACCTATATCCTTATAGAAGTATAATGCTAGTCTTCAGTGATGACAAAATTCATTGATGTCATACTAAATTCAAACTGACCTCCTTCACAGTTCTTTCCAGTCCATCCCTCAGCACAGACACAGTCGTATGATCCAGGTAAGTTATCACATGTCCCTCCATTCAAACATGGATCGCTTACGCATTCGTCTTTGTCTGTGAATGTAATATTACAATTAAAAATATAAATGGCAAACATAAAAGAAATAATCATTAATTTTTTACACGTAACACATGTCATTATTTATTTCAATGGCTCTGCTAGGAATTGAACCTCGGACCCCTGGCTTACTAGTCTGACACTAAACCTATCACGCTAAAGGAATTCAGGTATTATCATAAAATGACAATAATTGTAGCACATTGTCATGATTAAACTCATGTGGGATATAATACAATCAATAAACATTTTAAAAGATGACAAATTATTTCATGCAATACCATGCTTCCCTGTTTCCAGCCGATGTCAGCAAACCAACAAAACAGCTTATCTTTTTAGTTTGTGATCTCATGTCAATATACACATCATGGTAAGACCAACTTGTATAATATATTATACCATATATAAAACTCAGTTTAGTAAGTGACAATAATACATTGTAACTTAGGAGAGCAAATAGTATTTGATAATTGTATTAGAAAGGAATTATGGAATAGGTTCCAAAAAATGTTATAAAACATATTTTGTATGGACAAAGTGCAAACCAGAGAGTTCCCAGTGGTCGCACCTGTGGAGGGCAGAAAGAAATGGTAGTAATGGGGGCTGAAAAGGAGGGAAGTAGTTACTCACCAATCTCACAGTTAGTCCCATGCCAGCCAGAATCACAGTCACACCTGTATGAGCCTGGCAAGTCCGTACATGTTCCACGAAAGTTACAGATGTCGATCTGTAGGCAATCAATCTCATCTGTAGAATAAAAGACAAGGTTGATATTATACATAATGTTCCATACCATAGGTAATGATTAAAGATAGGAAACAAAATTCTGTATACCATTTAATGTCAACTGATGTAGACTAATACCTCACTGTAAAACATTAATTCACATTTTTCAATCATCATTGAAGGGTGGCATATAACAAATATGGTTTCACATCACAAGAAATCGGGATCTTTTAATTAGAACGGAAACAACAGGAGGATCATGATCACAAGAACTTTCAAGATAAACGAATATATGTATATGATTTATTTTGTCAATGAATAAAATATTCGAAAATAACAGCCATTTCCAGATATAAACTGGTGTCATTTGTGTGGACAAAATGGTAAGTTAAACTGTAATTAACGAGATGTAATACGTATTAACAGTGTTACAAAATATATATTTTATATCATTCCGCGGGAAGTACCAGAAGTAATATTACCTTGTTCACAGTTGGGTCCCTGCCAACCTTTAGGACAAACACATGTGTAGTACCCGGGATGGTCCACACATGTTGCTCCATTCCTGCATGGGTTTCTCCTACATTCGTCCTCGTCTACAGATATAAAAATTATAGCACTTTATACTAATACAAACTTGTATCAAACCAGAATCTGAGAGAGATGATTCAGAAATATTATCTTGAACATATAGGGAAGTTCAAAATCCAAATTCATTGTTGGGATACATGCAGATGATATAAAATTATTGAACTGCTAAAAATAACTTTTCCGTAACAAGTTGCATTAATATACAACAGAAAAATAAAATTATATATTGTAGCAGACTTTTCACAAAGATTGTATTAAAAAAGAAACCAATGGGAATTAGGCTGCAATCTAAAACCTGTATAGGTGGACAAATGGATAAATGATTAGCATAATACATTATGATATATCACTAATTCACTACAAATTATGTTTGATAGTTGAAACAAAATGATTGAATATCAAAAATACTTCGATGGTTATGATTTTTATTGACAAATTGCATACAATATTACTGTAATTAACTGATTATGATGCAAAAGTGTTAAAATAACAGTTTATTTTGAATAAAGCATTGAAAGACTTTTTCAATACAATATCAATGATACTAGTGGATGAAAATCCAAATGAAAATTAATAATCCATTAATACTTCCATAATTTCTTTTCACATGAATATTTTTCAGCATACATAGCAGAATGTTATGGTATCACCTTAAGTGAACTAATTCTTGCGGCATGCAACAAAAAAATAGAAAGCGATAAAATTAGCTTGTTACATGTATAACCCTTCTGAAAACTTACCAATCAGACATGTAGGTCCATAGAAGCCATTAGCACAAGTACAACGGTAAGACCCAGGAGTGTTCACACATGTGGCGTTGTTATAACACGGGTCTTCTATACATTCGTTAATATCTAAATAATAAGGAACATCAATCAGGATTTGTAATTTTTACGGGATCATGAAATAAAATATAATAAAACATAATTTTAATTTATCTGTGTTGTACATAGTGTTGACATTTATTCTCACACAATGAGTTATAATCATTCTGTAGAGATGTAACCAAGAATAAGACAAAACTGGAATAGGGTCACTAATATTAAGTCCGAACATTTGGGCCTCTTTGGTCCTGAAGAAGCCTTAATGTTTCGGCGAAACCAGTAGACGTAGTTATAAAGTTATCACACTTAAGATTCTAAGTTTGTTGCGATTGACCACACCCCCTTCAATGTAGAACAAAATGCAATATTCATAAGATAATTAATGTTTCCTGTTGATAATTCAGTAAGTTTATTGAAATAAGAAAATTATTCCTGAAAATATCATGATGATTCCATAAAATTTTAACGCTGAATTGGTATCAAACATAAGATAGAAAAAAAAGCTAACCATCTAAGCAGGTATCCCCGCTCCAACCAGTTTGACAGCGGCACGTGTAAGAACCATTGGTGTTGATACAAATACCGCCATTGAAACATTGCACTTTCTGACACTCATCCTCATCTGAAAGATAATTTTCGTTTCACAGGAATAAAATACCATGTAGAAGGAACATACTGCGCTAAGTGTTTTTACCAAAGGAAACCACCAAATGAATAGGAAATGACACGATCTTTAAATATTTTTGCTTTTATTTGTATCCTTATATTTTTCAGTAAATACCATCTAACAAAATATAAAGATAATGAAAAATTACAAAATGTCCTACCTTCCTGACAGTTCTTTCCAATCCATCCTCGGGTACAATCACAAATGTAGGATCCCTCAAGGTTACGACACTGGGCGCCATTCTGACAGGGATCAAATCCTGGTCTACACTCGTTGGTGTCTTATTAAAAATTACAGAACTATATCAATATAATACTTTAGACAGTGATCAATTGATATTTCTTTTCTCTATCAACATTGACCCTGCATAGTTTTTACCACTACCAACATAACACTAAATCAGCTTTGTTATTTTGTAATATCTACACTGTTTTTGATTTGCTAATTTCTCGGTCTTATTCACAATAGAAAAAAAATGCAGATCGATTGTAAAAGAAGGCTCTTATAAATGTTTTACACTTGTTTTGTCTGCTGTCTCAGACCACAAATAAACTTTGACCTTTTCATACTTTGACCAATGCTACTTGTTTTCCTGTTCTACATACATTCCTTTCTTCTCTTCCCACAAACTAAATTATCTCCCTCACTTAGCTGTATAGACGGTTGCTTATCATATCAATTAAATGTAATATAAGATATGGATATCAACCCCGAAGACTGATCACATACCATTAGAACAAATAGGCCCATTCCATCCTTCTGGGCAGTAACACATGAAGCTGCCTACTGTGTTGATACAGGATCCGTCATGGAGACATGGGTTGGAATAACACTCATTTACATCTAAAACCAAAGGAATTAAACGTTTTACACAACTTAAAAAATGTTTACCTAAACAAGATTGCTCTTTAATTCAGCCATCCACCAAAATGAAATATGTAAGGAGATATAATCGTATGGGGTAAAATCTTTTATCAATTTTAATATTTGACTCCATTTATAAGAGTCTTATGATAAAAGCTGTTACCTTGTCGACAGTCTTTGCCTTCCCAGCCGAGAGGACACCGACACTGATAGGAACCGGCTGTATTGATGCAGCTACCGTTATTCAGGCATGGTATAGTCAAACATTCGTCCGTGTCTAGTGAACACGAAGAGTATAGCTACATTGTTAACATTGTTTCAATTTGTTACATGGTGCCATAAAAGAAAAGCATACTTTTACCTAAACACATCAATAAGACAGAAATATTTATAAGCAAAACTCCATTAGTCCCACTGATGAAACTTAAAAGACAGATCAGCTGTATCACACAGTTTAATTTTTTGATTGGTGTCTGGTATCTACTCGTCAATTTGTATTGAAAGATGATATTCACTAGTGCCTTGTCTACTATCTACAATGCAACTCGGAATGTACCATTTATCTGTTAAAATGAATGTTTCGTACCATTTCTGATTTTGTAACTGAAGACATTTTGAAGTAATAAAATCTGACAATATCTTTCTATACATAACCTTTTACGAAGGAACAAATAGCACATTCGAAAATATGAATATCAAAGTGTATGAAATACAGATTTAATTGTGTTAAATAAAATGACAGAGAATCAAGTGAAGTACCTGTCATACAGTTGATGCCCTCCCAGCCAGAAGGACAGCGACAGTAGTAGGATCCGTACGAGTTGATACATGTACCGCCATTTATACAGGGGCTAACTCCTTCACACTCATTTACATCTGTAACAGATAAATGATGTTTTATATATAACACTTCAAAAATATATACTTCAGAATTTACTGAATTACCAAATGCTTGCATGTGTGTATGATCTATGATAATTATTAAATGATCATTTTTAACACATGAATGTGTTGTTTGTTCATTGATAACACACAGGGTCACAAAGAGTGTTAGTTGCATTCACATTTGGTATGAAAAGATAAGAAAATGCCTTAAGATAAAAGTGTCGGAAACTAAAGGCAACAATAGTTCTCTGAATCAAATAATCAGTTTATTAGGCATACCATTCTCACAACGATCACCAGTCCAGCCCAGAGGACAGAAGCACTGATATCCTCCGACAGTGTTCAGACAGGTGGCATTGTGGAGACAAGGATTAAACTGACACTCATCCCAGTCTGTAAAGACAGCCACAAATAATCATACATGTGTGAAAAAATTGTAATCATTTCACATAGATATCAGAGACTTAATCAAATTGATAAGAAATGCTATAATATGTTATTTAATCATTAGTTGTGTGATTCCTTTATCAAAGTAATTTGCTGACAAATGTTGAAAATGAATAAACTTGTAGCAGACCTCATCATTTTCATGCAAAAAGAGTACCACTTTCTTTGGGTTATCATAATAGTTGTCATGGAACACAACTCACAGAAACTTCTATCATAATTTCACATAATGCTTAAAGCTCAAAAAGGACTCAAATTGAATGAAGTTTACCACTTACACATCTACATGTTCATTGATATGTTACATTAACGTGTCAAACTATGTATAATACTTACCAATATTACACAGACTTCCTGTCCATCCTACTGGACAAACACAGGTGAATGATCCCCTCGTGTTTATACAGGTCGCATTGTTGTAGCAGGGTATCATGTTGCACTCGTTAAAATCTATCAACAACAATTTGTTTTAATAAAATAAAACATTTGAGCAGCAGCAGTTTTGAACACAAGCTATAAACAACATTTTGTTTTAATAAAATAAAACATTTCAGCAGCAGTAGTTTTGAACACAAGCTATAAACAACATTTTGTTTTAATAAAATAAAACATTTCAGCAGCAGCAGTTTTGAACACAAGCTATAAACAACATTTTGTTTTAATAAAATAAAACATTTGAGCAGCAGCAGTTTTGAACACAAGCTATAAACAACATTTTGTTTTAATAAAATAAAACATTTCAGCAGCAGCAGTTTTGAACACAAGCTATAAACAACATTTTGTTTTAATAAAATAAAACATTTGAGCAGCAGTAGTTTTGAACACAAGCTATAAACAACATTTTGTTTTAATAAAATAAAACATTTCAGCAGCAGCAGTTTTGAACACAAGCTATAAACAACATTTTGTTTTAATAAAATAAAACATTTCAGCAGCAGCAGTTTTGAACACAAGCTATAAACAACATTTTGTTTTAATAAAATAAAACATTTGAGCAGCAGCAGTTTTGAACACAAGCTATAAACAACATTTTGTTTTAATAAAATAAAACATTTGAGCAGCAGCAGTTTTGAACACAAGCTATAAACAACATTTTGTTTTAATAAAATAAAACATTTGAGCAGCAGCAGTTTTGAACACAAGCTATAAACAACATTTTGTTTTAATAAAATAAAACATTTGAGCAGCAGCAGTTTTGAACACAAGCTATAAACAACATTTTGTTTTAATAAAATAAAACATTTGAGCAGCAGCAGTTTTGAACACAAGCTATAAACAACATTTTGTTTTAATAAAATGAAACATTTGAGCAGCAGCAGTTTTGAACACAAGCTATAAACAACATTTTGTTTTAATAAAATGAAACATTTCAGCAGCAGCAGTTTTGAACACAAGCTATAACCAACAATTTACTCCTCTTCAAAACAACATTTCATCACATCTTATAGTAATATTATCAAAATGTCTTGGAAGACCAAAAACATCAAACACAATTATACAGATTACATGCTGTGAATGAAAGTTTTCCATTTCTTAATGTTACAAGTAACAGGCAGTGATATCATATTATTTAAGTTATATTTTACACAGAGAAAGTTTACCATTTTCACATTCTGGCCCCGTCCAACCGTATTTACAGGTACACATGAAGGTGCCATCAAGATCTTGACAGGTTCCACCATTCCTGCACGGGTCGTACAGACACTCATTCTTATCTGAAAAGAATGTCAATAATGCATTTTCGTAGAAATCCCTCAGTTTCCAATGCTTTAGTATCTGTATATATCAAACGAACATCAATTACACTACAAACTTTATTTATCATATCGAAGCCAAAGAAATGTCTCATAAAAAACTAAGACTTTACACAGCTTTAAAGACTACATATCACAAGAAAGGTATGAATTCTTGAATATTTGTGGTTAAACTTGCCAGTAATGCACACTTAGGAATCATGTGACTTACCGTTTGTATCATGTTAATTTCAAATGATATCTCTGCCAAGTATATTGACTGTTGTCATGCAAGTGTACTGAATCTGAGGTCGGCCCTGTATATTTACCATTTCTGTTCAACCCATTCTATTTTGAGAAGGGAATTAACTCATTCGGAATGTATAATCATTTCAACTTAGCCAATTAACCTACCTATATAGCCCAGTGAAGTGTCGAAAGTTATGTCTGATTACTATTCTGGTCTCATAGTCATCGCCTGTCCAGCCTATTGTATTATCATCTTTGCAATCGTTGATTGCCGGCTCTTTAGTGCATTACACCCTCAAAATGTAAACATACTGTTCGTCTGTCCAGCCCATAGTACACTGACATACATACTTACTGCATGTACAGTCCTTGTCTGTCCAGTCCATAGTACACTGACATACATACTTACTGCATGTACAGTCCTCGTCTGTCAAGTCCATAGTACACTGACATGCGTACTTACTGTCTTTTCAGTACGTGCCTATCCAGCCCAGTGTACACTAATATGCATACTTACTGTCTTTACAATCTTTGCCTGTCCAACCCATGGTACACTGACATGCATACGAGCCATCAGTGTTGACACACTGGCCATTGTGCAGACAGGGTTGGTTTAGTGAACATTCGTCGAGATCTGTAAAAGTCGATTGAAAATCAAAAATAAGAAGAGCAATTATTTCAGACAAGAAATACACACAGTACGCATGTATTCATGTAACTATTTAAGTTATCTGTCTTTGCAGTAGATATTTATTAGGTATTATAAAGATAGATTATATTAGTCTAGATATGAATCACATATATACAAGAAAGTAGATGTTGTCATACCTTGGCTGCAGTCAGGACCTGTCCATCCAGTCACACACTGACAGTTGTAGGAGCCAACAGTGTTGATACATTGTCCACCGTTACGACACGGTAAGATCATCACGGAGCACTCATCCACATCTGGAGATAAAATATACATATCAAACTGCTCCACATTTATCATTATAATGTATTAACAGACGTTTAAAGTACAACCTTGTGACAAGTTTGCCTTATAACTTATTCCGTTGTTGTCCATTGTTGTTACCTTGTTCTCATTTGGGAACATGACTCTGCTTATATTGATTGACCAAGATGTACATAGCAGGTGACGTTGATGAAGCAGAAGACGCTTATCCTTCCAGAACAACTGGTCTTGCCATTGTATCTTTTCTGAAATCTCCATGTAAATCTTTCTTTTGTTTTTAATTTGCCCTAGTTTCATCACACTTGTATTTGAATTATGACTCTGTTAACATGTCTGTATTTTCTTGGTTACATGTTGATTAACCATCACAACATTAAGTAGAAGAGATTGTATTTATCTTGAATCACTCTGTTTTCTTGTCAAGGACAATCTCTTGTCAGGAGACAGAATAATGAAAATATTTCTGTAACTGTTTCAGGAAGAATGGATATTTTCTCTACACCCTTGATACATATTAATCAATCTATGCCAATTACAAGCAGTTTTATGGCATCAAAATAAGAGCTTAGAGAGTGCCTTCAAAAATACTGGATATATTAACAAATTCTTTTGAACATGACACTTGTCTCATTAAGAACCAAATGTTGAACCTTACCATTTTCACAGTTGACCCCTGTCCAGCCTAGTGGACACTGACAGGTATAGGAACCAAAGAGGTTGATACAGCTACCACCATGCTGACAGGGATTCATGGTCAAACATTCGTCAATATCTAAGTGACAGTTACTTCCGGTAAATCCCTGGGAACATTCACATCGATATGAGCCAGCCATATCAACACATGTTGCCGCATTTAAACAAGGGAACTGAAGACACTCATTGATATCTGAAACAAGAAATACATTGTACTTATCTTGTCATTTCAGAATTTATTTTCAATTTAATGATTTGACCGATTTCAGTTAGCTTTATAGGATTGAATAGTTAACGAGTACCTAGATTAATTAATAACATTGTGGTCTGAAGGATTGATACTTTTTTATTTAATAGAAGTAAATTTTGCTATCAGAGCATATATTGTGACTATATATAAATTAAGCATTAACTTACCTTCTTTGCAGAGCTTGCCGGTCCTGCCTGGGGGACAGACACAGTAGTAAGATCCAGGTGTATTTCGACACGTCCCTCCATTAGAGCATGGGGCGATCAACTCTCGACATTCGTTCATATCTTTAATAAGACAATATAATATTCAAATAACAAGGAACCAAAACCCATTAATTTCATTTTTAGCGCGAATATTTTTATTGATAGACTGAATTTCTTTTCAAAGATTATGGAGGACTTTGATATCAGGAAATAGAATGTATCTTACCCTCTCCGCAAACCTGTCCTGTCCAGCCGCCCATACAGTTACATACAAAGGACCCATTGATATTGTTGCAGGTAGCACCATTGAGGCATGGATTCTGGAATCCACATTCGTTGAAATCTGGAATATTACAAAATCATAACTAACATCTCATTTTAAATGTTTTGCTTGAATTAATGCTGCAAAGACGTCCTTTTAATACATTTTTGACATCCTCAGTAATCATGCATGCAAATTAAACGTAGGTTTTGGCTAGTCTTCTTTAATACATGTATAATAAGCACGTACATCTTCATAAAAACACAAAACATACAACCCAGCAAGAAAAAGATCCAGTAAGAGGTTAAAGAAACACCTGAAATGAAAATTTGATACTAAATCAAAGTTCCGCTCAAAAGCAGTGACTGACCCTCTCTAATACAAAACGGATCCGATTTGTAATCAATGTGTCACTTATCAACCATGCAGATCCGACATTTTTACATTCTTATATGTGTCTCACAAACCTTGTTCACACGTTGTTCCTGTCCAGCCCGCAGGACAACGGCACGTGTAGGATCCAGGATTGTTGATGCACGTGCCTCCATTCATACACACGATCGATGACTCGCACTCATTTAGATCTGTTAAATGATTATGTTTTTATATAGATATGAAAAATAATTAATTTAGCACTGTTTTCTTTAATGAAATTATAAATAATGAAATTATATAACACTTGACAAAATTACCTATGTTTGTAATACATTTACCCAAATTTAGATAAATTGTTTGCCGGTTTCCCTGTTCTGTCAAACGTACCTCTTTCACATAGGTTACCAGTCCATCCTACAGGACAGTCACAGCGATAAGAGCCAATCAGATTCATACACGTACCACCATGGCGACAGGGATTCATCTGACATTCGTCCTCATCTGGATAAACATATTTTTAAATTATTATACCTGATAACTTCAAGTGTCATTGCTGCTTTTATATGAAAATTATCCTGCATACAGTCAAATAACTGGATATTTAAAAAGTGGGTAGAAACTATTTGATTTATGTAAATAGAAGTGATATCGACATCACAAACATCTCCCTATCAGACAACACACAGGTCTTAATTGCTTCTTACTTACCTACGTCACAATTTTGACCAGCCCAACCCTTGGAACAAATACAGGTATAAGCACCCTCCGTGTTTACACAGGTAGCACCGTTCATGCATGGTGCAAAAAGTGCACACTCGTCAGTATCTGAAAAGTACGCACATAGTGACCTTTATATAAATAATGTATATATATTCAAATTAGCAACAATTATAAACATGGTCACTTTAAGGTATGTTTAGTGAAAGTTATTCATCGTTGATAGCTTGTCATCATTAATCCAGAATCAATAAACTAAACTCACCATCACCACATGTGGGGCCTCCTCGACCAGGTTGACAAAAACAGTCGTACGATCCATTGGTGTTGTCACAACTTCCTCCAAACAGACAGGGTTCTGCCAGAGCAACACACTCGTTCACGTCTAGGAAGAAAGTGAGTTATCAATTAGTAAAGTGACCAATTCAGCATAGTATATTCAATGCAAAACTACCTATTAAATTTGTTATCCAATAATTGACATGAAATTCATTGTTTCTGCTAATTAAATTTTACTTTTAATTTTATTAAACATAAATATCAAGAGATCAGTTCTCTGAGTTAACAACATCAGTGAAAACGGCATGTTTCAACAGTACAAACACTTACCCTTAGAACAGTTCTGGCCTGTCCACCCTGTTTTACAATTGCAGTAGTAGGACCCAGGAGTATTGATACAGACCGCGCCATTGGCGCATGGCTTACGTCCACACTCGTCAATCTCTGTTATAATAGTGACGTAACACATTATGAAAATACCAAACCAAGAAGAAAATGTAGTGACATGCATCATACATACATATGTAGAAATATAGAGAGAACATATTGTTTGTACAGGTGTTTTAAACATCCATATAGCAATACAACTAATACGGACATTGCATGAAGACTGAGAAAAGATATCGACAAAGAAGGCATGATGAAGTTTTAACATAGAGGAATACAACATTTTAACAATCTCATAAACTGTTTGCTGTTACTGTCATTTACAATGTGTAATATCACTTTTTTTAATTTCAGAAGGAACCTACCTTGGCTGCAGTGACGTCCAAAATAACCAAGAGGACATGCACACCGGTAAGAGCCTGCCGAGTTGATGCATGTTCCTCCGTTCTGACACATCTGCAAATTGCATTCGTTGATATCTGTAAATTGAAAAAAAAAATTTGTTATAAAACCATCTTTAACAAATTAGCAATACCATGAGATCTATTGCTTTGAGAAATGACTTTGCTGTATATAGATTGCTACTCTAAGTGTCTCGTGAGATTTATATGGAAATATAGCCTACAGTAACGTAATGGAGCTTACAATAAATGAGTCAGTATTGTCTTATTTATTTTCATTTTTACAATAAATGCATGAAATCGTAATATCAACAATTAATAGACAATGAGATACTCAAGTCGACACTGAACTGTAAGTGACTAATAATCTATATTGATTCAGTATGTTAGGTAAATGCGGGTTATTTCTTCATTCCTGTATGAACACACTGACCTATACGACAGCGTTGACCAGTCCATCCTGGATCACATTGACAAGTGAAGGATCCCGGTGAATTAACACAAGTACCATTGTTATCACATGGGTTTATCACGCACTCATCCACATCTAAAAAACAAATTATGAAACATTGATTGCATAGTCGACCAGGTCGGAAAATAAGATAGAGCGATATAACCATTACGACTTGCATTTCTTAGAAATCCTAGAAATTGATCGCGGCATTCGCAAAAAATTGGAAAAACACTTGGAGAAAACTTTATAATTCCATCAATATTGTTACAACAAAAACAAACATAGACTAGTATCTATGATACTTACCTCCTGCACATAATGGTCCACTCCAGCCTTCCGTGCACTGACAGACATAAGAACCAACAGTGTTGATACATAGGGCATCATTCAGACAGGGATTTCTAAGGGAGCACTCATCATCATCTACAAAGTTACAAAACCATTATCTCTTTGAACATTTTTAAAGAACATAATTTATTGGTTAAATATGTACCAGTATAAACAAGAAATAGTGATTGATATAATTAAATCCATTTCTTCATGAGCTTGTATCTACCAATTTGTGTCTTTTTTGTTCAAGGTATCTTTTTCTTTTTTAAAATTTGAAATACAGTATCACAAAAAAGTTTCTCTGTGGTAGAAGCTAACAATATAAATTCTCCGGTGTAACAGTATTTACATAGCAAGCAGTAAACAGTTATTTCATTACATCAGGATTGTATAACCTCAGGAGATGTACCTATCTCACAGTTGGACCCGTGGTAACCTGGCGGGCAATGGCAAATATAGGAACCTGGGCTGTCCTCACATGTAGCTCCGTTAGCACAAGGAAATTGTAGACATTCGTTTACACCTGTACCACAAAGTATAATGATCTATTCCATTACAATAAATCGAACAGTTATATGCTAATCACAAAAAAAATCATACAAGGTTTTAACTACATCAATCAACAAATGAGGGTCCATTCAAAAATATAATCAATATCATTTTTAAAATAACTTTCACATCACAGGGAGCATTTGTACATGTTCAGGGACCAGAATAGTGATATTCATCACCTGATAATATAATTGGCTTTATAAAATGACAAAGAAAATCTTAAACAATAAAGATTTTGGTGGATTATTAAGTTCTCTAATATTCACTGAATCCCGATTTTGTGAGTTGTGAACTTTGCTTTAATAGATGTTTTTATACATCATACTTTAATATGCATCAGATGCAGCAAAATAATCCTAAATCATTGTTGACAACGGGAATAAGCAGCATATTAATTGGATTTTTTCAAAATAATATAAAAATGCATGCGATGATGCTCCAAATAGAAGAGAAAGTATCAAGAACTTGTGTTAGCTTAATTGAAATTTCAGTCAGTCCCAGGTTAAATTTCATATGGAATACTAGTAAAGTAATTTATATCAGGTTAATATTAAGGATTGTCAGAAACCACATACCTGTCGAACAGTTAAGTCCTACCCATCCTAAAGGACATGTGCAGTAATAGGAGCCAAACGTATTCACACATGTACCTTCATTCTGACAAGGGGCAGTGTCACATTCCGGTATATCTGGTAATATTACATAAACAGGTAATAAAAAATATGAATGTAATGGAATTTTCATGAGGTTTTCTACACAAAGAAAAGAGGTTAATGTGCCATCAAGATTAAGCTGATAAACTACTTACACTTCATTGACCAGGTAGACAAAAATGCTTGCATAAAAGTAATAGATTGACTTATCTTTGTTTCTACAGCAATGTATTGCCTGGATATCAAAATTTGATAAATATACAAAAATGTTTATATTATTTCAAGTTTCCATATTAAAGTAAAGCCGCATTCAAAAGTAGATGGTAATGATGTTTACTTCATTGTTTTACACGTTCTAATTAACCACGGAAAATAAATTCCTTCCTTGTTACATCCCCAATGCTAGCCAATCATTCATTGCTTTTAACAATAACAATATCTATTATTTACAAATATAACAGTGATATCTCCAGATAATTCACTTTTACTCACCAACTCTACAATATTTCCCAGTGAACCCTGCCAGACATTCGCAGTAAAACGAGCCAAATGTATCGAAACATGTACCGCCATTGGCGCAGGGATTTGTAGCACATTCCTGGACATCTGTAAAAGGGAGTGACTTCAGTAGGAAGAAATACTAATGTTACAGAAGGCAAAATCGATGTTAGAATGACTAAATACATGACAGTATAGTCGGTATTATTTTATCTGTTATACTTTGCTATGTCACCCTACCTGTCTCACAGTTGGTGCCCATGAAACCCTGCAGACAGTCACAGCGGTAAGAACCTTCTAATTCTACACATGTGGCGTTGTTCTGACACGGGAAAGTAAGGCACTCAAGATCATCTGTTTTAAAAATAACCCGAAACACAGTTCAATTAAAATTCTAAATGACCATATGAATATTATTTCACTGCAATTTCATAAAAATTGAAACTGCGCTACAAGCGACAGATTTGTACGGAAAAGAATTAAGCTTAAATTAGATTATATAAATGATTACTACTTTGTTTGGAATAAACGTGGATAAATATGCGTGTTTATAGCATTACCATGTTCACAGATGGGCCCTGTCCAGCCAGGAATACATTTACAACTATAGCCCCCGTCTGTATTAATGCATTCTCCACGACTAGAACACACGCCCGTCAATGTGTGACACTCATTAATATCTGTAATGTATAGATAGTAGACTTTTTGATAATGGACATGTTCAAAGCAAAATTCCATTCCAATTGTTTACAAAGCAATTTTTACAAATTGTTTAAGCAATCTGCCAATTTATCCAATCTAAACGAGACATATTCCCATTATACAGATGATTAATTTAAAGTAGAGGTTGGGTTGTGATGTACAAAAATAAGTGTATTCAAATTGATTTCAATACATAGATACATTGTCATGATTTGTACGTTGTTTTATCAAACATTTAAATAGGCCAGCTCATTAGGAATAGTTTACAATCTATCGTTCATTACTATAACTGCACTTTGTTATATCAATGCAATATTGAAGGTTTGAAATCGTAACAGCCATAATATATATATGCATAGAATGATTAAACATATAGCAACTTTGACCTGTAACCAATCTTATTGTGGTAGTGTAACTCACTTACCAAGCTGACAATTTACACCCGTATAACCGGGAAGACACACACACTTGTAGCCACCTCCCACCTCCTCACAAGTAGCACCATTGTAACAGGGACTCGTGGCACATTCAAGTTCATCTACACAAAATACAATTAATAAATGATAACCTGTCAACATTTTTCAACATTACCAAATGCATTCTAAGTTCATTACTAAACTGAGTTGAAATCTCATCCTTTTAAACGAAAATGTTTTATCATTTGTGCGACACATGATTTCGACAGTTGTGACAATTAGCAATATCGATGCGGATCAGCTATTTGCTCATTTACTTCTAAAAGAAGGCAAACATCTCGACATAAAATAAGTTGTTTGCTAAGTTTTGTCAAAGAAAAATGATTCATAAATCAGCGTCATACGTATTTAATTTTATTATTATTTTATTTAAGATTATTTCCCTTACCGACGGTACAGTTGTCTCCCTTCCAGCCTTGAGGACATCGACACATATATCCTCCCTGGGTGTTGATACATGTCGCCCCATTAGCACAAATACCTGGATATTCTACACATTCAAACACGTCTGAAAATATACAAGTAGAGACTAATTAGCCTATGTTCCTTTATGGGTTACCATAATTTAGCATTTTTTTCATTATATTGCGGAATATACAAATATCAGAATATGACTGCAACAAGTTTTCAATTTCATCTATTAGCAAACAATATTCATTACAAACATACATACAACTATGGATACAATATAAACACAATCATATTGATATTGTGACATTACCATATTGTGACAAGCAGTGACAATATTGGATATGACACACTACATATACAATATTTCTTGTCATGTTTATTTCAAAATGACTGTCCAACTTTATTCTACTAGTAGAGTTTAAATGACAGATTTTTTATTTAACTATTACCTAATTCACAGTAGTTTCCTGTCCAGCCGTTAGGACAGACACACCGGAATGATCCCTGGGTATTGAGACAGCTAGCATTATGTTGACACACATTTAGTGTACATTCATTTATATCAACATCACAGAGATCACCAGTCCAGCCTCGGTCACAAGAGCAGAAAAATGAACCCGGAATGTTGACGCATGTTCCACCATTCTGACAGATGTCAGTCTGTCTGCACTCATTCACATCTGTGCAACCATAATAACAGTAGTTATTGAAGTTTTATGTTATTCAATATCGCCCAGATACGTCACAGAGGAATTCACATTTCTGAACGTATTTCCATGTAGCCGAGAAAAGATAGGTTCAATAGTCGAAATGCATGTAAAGACATTGATGTGTATATCAATTTTGTTTTTACAAAACAAACATGACTGTGCAACATATTCAATATCTGTGCTAAATTAGACATTAAATGAAAAGAAAGAACAAAAACTATTCATCAAAGAACAATACAACTAAACTTTATGGAAATTTTATTGCTGGGTTAGATCGATAAATAAACTTAAATCAGCTCATAATCAATGAAATAAAAAAGTAATGAAAAATGAAAAAAATAAACATAATAAACGATTGTAGTTAGTGTTGGTAGATACTCAGATGTGGTAAATTTCCTACCAAATTCACAATTAGTGCCCGTCCTGCCTGGTACACACATACAGATGTAGGAGCCGGGAGTATTGACACAAGTACCATCATACAGACAAGGACTCATACTGTTGCACTCATTCTGGTCTGAAACACACAATAAGAAAATGTTATATTAAAACTTATTTGGTAATTTTATTATGTGGTAATCTGTTAACACTGAATCAAGTCACTTAAAGGATATCTATACCATGTTTTACAGTCCATTTGAAACGTCACTATCAGGACCATGTCTCTTTGATAACATTGAAGATTTTACCTCAGATAAGTTTAATTCCAAAAATTAGATTGAAAAAAGCTTTATACTGAGACAAAAAGAAGATTGCAAGCTTCATTTTCTATTATTGCATTCATTGGTTTTTAACATTTTTAACGTAACATGGGGTAACTCATCCTAGTAGATGCTATATATGTAGGCTTAGAGAATCCTCTTACCATCTTGGCAGTGTTTGCCAGTCCAGCCCATAGGACATTTGCAATAGTAAGATCCAGGTGTGTTCTCACATTGACCTCCATTCTGGCACATGTTTACCTCACACTCATCCACATCTTCAACAAGTAACAAGTTGAGTTTTATGATATGCATTTTCATGTTTACAGCATTTACCGAAGTAGAAAATGTTGGGTAACATCAATTAGGGCAAATGATACAGCGAACTGTATTAGAATAAGGATATAAAAGGAACATTCTAGTGGAACACTTCAACTGAATTGGATCTAATTGTAAACTGTGCTGGTCGGATCGTTTAAGAACCTTATAAAGAAAATTGCAATGTGACAATGCCATGTCTTATGTAAAGTCTTTTTGTGTAGATATATTCCGGAGGTAACCTCTACCAACCATATTCAAAGGAACATTCTAGTGGAACACTTAAACTGATTTGGATCTAATTGTACAATGTGCTGGTTGGATCATTTAAGAACCTTATAAAGACAATTGCAGTGTGACAATGCCATGTCTTATGTAAAGTCTGTTTGTATAAATATTCCGGAGGTAAACTCTACCAACCATATTCACAGAAAGCTCCCTTCCATCCCGGAGGACATATACAGTTGCTCTTTCCTTGTTGTGTAGTCTGAATACAGGTGGAACCGTGCTGACATCTGTTCAGTAGGCATGGTATCATAGCTGTGGATAGAAGTAAGACACTGTTATAACGATGTGTGGACGGTGTGAGACAACAGTATGTTATACACATGTTTGTGGATGAGTAGGTGTGGATTAACATGCATTTCTGTACTATCTAGTATCGAAATTATGTGTTTTGATAGTATTATGAAACATTTTTTCCCACAAATTGAACAAATTATGAAAATGGACATCATGAATGTCTTACTCAATGAAGTTGTAGCAACAGGGAAAGTTGGTGTGGTAGAGATGTGTGGATGCTGCGAATGTTCCTCCATTGTCCAATTGGATGGCTTCATGTGAGTCTTACAGCTTCCTGTTTCAAGGAGTAAATCATCCAAACGGAAGTAATCCTTTCCTAAGATCTTTGTCTTAGGAGCGTTGACCTGAAGGATGTCTACAGACAGACCCGCCAAACTGGGCGTAAAGGCATGACTGAAGTAACTGCTGAACTTTATTGTCTTAGGAGTCGACTTTAGGCTGAAGTGAAATAAGGAAACTGATTACTACATCCACGATGGCACCCCTCATCATAGGTAAAATAATATTCAAATATTATGTCCAAGTACTTCTTATAAAATAGGTTATGATAAAGAATTAACTACATAAAGTGTTGTTATTTCAAAATAAGTAAGGGTTAGCTTACCCAAAATTCATAATGTAACATTCCAGGAACTCGGAGTTCAGAACACTATTGTTGTAATACTTCCGTACCTGTAAATACAAACACATAGGGTATCAAAAGACCATCACTAATTGCCATTTGTTGCAAGCTTGTTTATTAATACTATATTGTAATGTAAGTGAATGCATAATTACATGTATATCTTGTTATCAAATCAACAAATGGAACATCTTTAACTAACCTAAATCCAACTGAAATTCTTTTAACCTTTCTTGGTGTTAAGATGGATATTTAATGAGGGGTCAGATCATTAAACTTACATCACTACACAGACTTTTTTCCTGTTGTTTGAAGGGATATGTTGCGCGGTCGGAGTACTCTATAGGTAGACTTCTGTTGTATAAATTACATGTTAACTCCACCTTCGTCGCCGCTACAATAAAAAATCTGCCATCAATAAAGTAAGAAAATCTACAATGTATGTGAAACTGGTATAACAGTGAACAATATTTGAGGTTCCAATGCGATTGATTTTCTCATACATTTTCTCTTATAGAATTATCTACTTGTTAAAATGAGAGTTGGCTAATGTTCAGGTAATCTAAAGAAATATATACGTACAATAGACAATGGTGGTTGTAGCAGACATGGTGTTGGTTGCTGTAGGTGAGATATTGATGGTTTTTGTGTCCACTGTGTAATTTGTGACTTTGAGGTCAAGGTCAGACCTATCCCATATCAGTTTCAGTTCTCCAATATCCACCAGATCGAACCCATCCCTCATTTCATGAGGAGCAACATTCTTAAATACGTGTGTGATGTCATCTCGTATGTATTCTCCATTTGGTGCCGAAAATGTGAGATGGAAGTTGACATTGCTGGGAAAACGTCTGCAAAAGAAGTTCAGTAAGCAATTAAAATGTATTTTCTATTACATTATGTAATGTGATGACTATCACCAGACGTGTAATTATATACATCCATTTGTTATATAGATATATATATATATATATATATCAATGTTTACTCACTGAAAGTTGTCAATCTGACATTGTTGTAGATGTTTGGAGACGCTTGCAGACTTGAAATAACGACGTAGCTGTAGTAAAGAAACAAGAAAAGTTGATATATCAGCAATTTCGTAAAATATCTTCAGGACCAGAAGAAACTTATGGACAATAGAAACAATACGAACATTGCTAAAATTCTTAATTAATAAGTACCATTTATAATACTGTGAAAGACTTAGAGATTACCAAAGATAATTGTAAATTGTCCATTATGTCACAGTTAAAAGTTTTCCTCTCTGAAGGTACTTCATGGATAAAAATTGTATGCTTTTTGTCCTGGAGAAGCCTTTACAACAGCGGCGAAACTAGTCAACAATAAAGTCAACACCCAGTAACGTGTTAGTATGTTGTGATTAATAGCCTCTTCATATATATCTTCATGTTGATGTTTTGATGACTTCACAGTCATTTTCATCGGAAAAATGACCAGGGTGGAGCATACTAGCACTGTCAACGTAGTATACGGTAAGGAATTAACCAAATTTTTCAGCTGTAGGATGATAATGTTTACCATCTCGTCACACTATTTTACACCTTAGTGTACATAGTATTATATTACAGCCGAAACAGTAGGTTGATTTTTTTCCATCTCGTCACTGCTAGTATAATTGATTTTTATAAATTACGAGAATTCAAAAACCATGAAATTTACCAGGATTTACATTTACTTATTTTGCAATTAAACTTCTAATGTCTATTTGCTATTTCTAACACTTCGACATATTCATGAGTGTAGATTTTCATGCTGTTATTACTTCGAAATGAAAAGGTATATTTCAATAGTTGGTAGTATATATGAAATTTAAACTGACTAAAGTTAAATATTACCATAATATCACATTATCATATCAAATAATATAATGATATTCCATTATAATATCAACTAACATGATAATATTACATCATGTCAAATAATTTTAATAATATTACAGTAATATTAAACAATTTAATACTATTCCATTATCATAACAAATGATATAATAGTTATATATTATCTTATGAGTAGATTTTTAATTACCTGATCACAAAATGTAGACTGAAGCTCGTAGTAGCGCTGGGAGTTTGGATTGGCAAGATCATCGGTGTATTTAAAGTCGTAAAGTCCATATGTCATGTTGGCATAGGTGGCATCTAAAAATTGAATGGATGTGATATTATAACTTACTCTACATAGACGAGACCTTTTTGTTCTAATTAATGTTTACATATTACATAAAGGGAATTTATAAACAACAAACAAATAGGTTTAAGTGTAGAAAAAGCAAAACTAAACAAAAACAAAACACGAAAGTTTTACTTTCACATTTGAAAATCATGTTCAGGTCTCCTTTTGCGAACCTCATCTAAAAAATCATTATAATCATACAAATTGTAAGCAAAAATGATTAAATATCTTAAAATCAAAGAAATACAGAAAAGTGTGATCAATATATGCAAAGAAACTTTCTTGTGAAGCGATACCGTTTGTTCCAGAAAGGTAATTGCAAATCCTGCTAATTTGAAAACGTCTGACTTAATATAACTTGATCAAATGAGAACAAGGGCTGTTACAAAAAATTCCTTTAACACTTTTCTGCTGTAGTTACCTTAGCTATGCACTCGCCATTAGAAAGATTTTATCATTTGAGTCATAACAATAGTGTACAGCACCCAGTTGCTATTCTAACGAAATGGTCTATAACCATTGGAAACCTACAAAAATATATACAATGAAGACATACCGTACACAACGTAGACAGTCGATGTACCAGAGTTGCCAGGCATGGTCAGCATGGGGGTCTCGCTGACATAGACAGTCTTCGTCATCGTGTCAATCTTCATGGAGGTAGTCAATGTGGACTGGGCTCCTTTTGTTGGCATTATAGTCGCCTCTGTTCGCCATACTATTTTGACCTCTATACCTTCTAGAATGACTAGAAGGTCACCGACGAGGTAAGTCTTTAACTTGTCATTTTCTGTGTCTCTGTCATCTACTATAAACTCAGGAGCATTTGCCTTAATCAGTGATATAAACTGGTCGACACTGAATCCCCAAGGATGTTTAAATAGCAGTGAAAACTGACCCTTACTATAGCTTTTACCCTCATCTGGTGGTCTGAAAAAATCAATAAGATAGAATTAAAGCATTTTTCAGTGGTATACAACAAATACACAATACCACGAGTAGCTTTTCAAGTAAATCATACATACTATATGTAAAGACATTAGTTTCAATATAGACATGAGCCAAGTTGAAAGTTAAAAGAAATGTAAGAAAAACTCACAGGAATCCTGTCATGGTACACATTTGGAAGGAAGTTTTCAGGTCACTTTGTACATAAAATGTTTCCAGCTAAAACAAAAGGAAATTAAAACATTAAACTGATGTTGTTGTTTTTTAAATGAATCGTTCATTTTCCTTTAAAAATATCTCGATTTAAGGCTTCATTAAAAGTGATAGAAATGTGGTGTTAAAAATGTTTTATTTTTGTGTCGCCAGAACACTGACGTTTGTTGGTGACTGTTTAGGTACTTTGGATGGGTATGGTATATAGAATGATAAAACTACTTACGTTCTTACAAAATGCTCGGGCAAGGGATGATGCTCGTGCTGAATTCATATCTTTGAGATCATTGCCGTATGTGAGGTTGTACAGATATACGGTCAGTTCTGCTATCATGGTCTGGTCAGCTGTCAAGAAAACACAAAATATCAATGTCAGATTCAATAAGAATATCCATTACGACCAATAAATTGCTACAAAAGGTCTGTAGTTGGGCATTTGAACCTCTACATCCCTATACGGAGCTATGTTATTTGGTGCTATTCACGTGTGTGTCTGTTGTACAATCTTCGTGATTGCAAGTCGTAGACACTGCATGTGGACTTTTAGCCCCCTGGGCTTGCTGTGACCTTCATGCTACGTTTTAATTCACTCGAATAGAGGAAATTCAGAATACACATATATACCTGACATGCTGCTAAAATTATCAAAACATGCGAAATTGCGAAAATTATTAAATTATGGTGTTAGTACATCTCCACATCAACATTTTGACATTTCTTACGATCATTTTGCATTTCTTCGCAATTGCCTCCTATGCTTCAAAATTTTGGCCCTCAGCATCACTGAAGAGTCCTAGAAGGACAAAACAGCTGTATAATGCAGTTTTATTCGCTGTTTGTCTCTACTTTCTCTAACTCTTAATTTGTAGTAAAAGGTGATATTCAGTTGTGTCTTTTGAACATTCTTCTGGTACAATCGACAGTGGTAATGTGGCATTTCTCAACAGATACACAAATATGAACGTATTCAAGCACATAATGTGATGATATGGTGTTTCTAACTCTAGAACATCACTTGTTTGGACTGAAAGGCTGACATGACATATCAAACATTATGTAATGCTCCAGTTTGGAAAGTTAATGTGACAACAATAAAATCCATCAGTGTCTGTTACCAAGAACACAACTTCAGTCTTACATGTTACAGGCCTAGGATTCTACTAAATTTCACTGCATAAGTTTAATGATCTTGTTTATATAGATCGTTAAAAGTCTGTGATTTAGTTAGCTAAGTAAATTTAGTTCTGTGATTTGGTTAGCTAAGTAAATTTAGTTCTGTGATTTGGGTAGTGAAGTGAATTTAGTTCTGTGATTTAGTTAGCTAAGTAAATTTAGTTCTGTGATTTAGTTAGCTAAGTAAATTTAGTTCTGTGATTTAGTTAGCTAAGTAAATTTAGTTCTGTGATTTGGGTAGTGAAGTGAATTTAGTTCTGTGATTTAGTTAGCTAAGTAAACTTAGTTCTGTGATTTAGTTAGCTAAGTAAGTTTAGTTCTGTGATTTGGGTAGTGAAGTGAATTTAGTTCTGTGATTTGGGTAGTGAAGTGAATTTAGTTCTGTAATTTGGATAGCCAAGTAAATTTAGTTCTGTGATTTGGGTAGCTAAGTAAATTTAGTTCTGTGATTTGGGTAGTGAAGTGAATTTAGTTCTGTAATTTGGATAGCCAAGTAAATTTAGCTCTGTGATTTGGGTAGCTAAGTAAGTTTAGTTCTGTGATTTGGGTAGTGAAGTGAATTTAGTTCTGTAATTTGGATAGCCAAGTAAATTTAGTTCTGTGATTTGGGTAGCTAAGTAAATTTAGTTCTGTGATTTGGGTAGTGAAGTGAATTTAGTTCTGTAATTTGGATAGCCAAGTAAATTTAGCTCTGTGATTTGGGTAGCTAAGTAAGTTTAGTTCTGTGATTTGGGTAGTGAAGTGAATTTAGTTCTGTAATTTGGATAGCCAAGTAAATTTAGTTCTGTGATTTGGATAGTGAAGTGAATTTAGTTCTGTGATTTGGGTAGTGAAGTGAATTTAGTTCTGTAATTTGGATAGCCAAGTAAATTTAGTTCTGTGATTTGGGTAGCTAAGTAAGTTTAGTTCTGAAATGATTTTGTGATTAAATGTGGTTCTGTGATTTGGGTAGTGAAGTGGTTTATGATACTTATAATTAAAGTTAAATACCATATGAAACCAAGCTCTGAAGTAAAAACTAGATTTGTGTGACCATTATTACTTACGTGATGGAGTGCTTGGGGTAGGTTTTATTGTAGTAGTGGAGGCTGGGCCGAGATCGATCCCTACGTCTATCACATCAACACTGCCGCCATCGAAAGGCTCAATAAGAAGTGTTCCAATCATTCTCAATTCAATGTCGTTCACTCGGATCTTTTTGGCTTTATCTTTGATTACCTGTATCACGTGATTCTGCATTAATGGATACCGTTTACCTTTGAATGTCACATGGGTGTTCACAGTGACAGGATTATTTCTGAAATCATAAACAAAAACATTCATAAAACATTGTCTAGTTCTAATTGGTCTGTCCAACAACAACTGGGTCTAAAATAGATTCCTAATTCAACATGAATATTTTATAATTTCAAATAAATTCAACCATTACTTACCCAAAGCCTTGTACCTCACAATTATAATACCGGCTACTAAGGAGGCTGGTGTGGAACATTTTCTGGATCTAGAAAAAAGATATGAGAATTAAATATCTTATCTATTGTATTATCTCATTGTAACAGCAAGGAACATATGAGGATACATCAGAAATTAATAATTAATTCACTGTTATTTCTATATCATATGCTAACAAATAGAAATAAACTAAAACTACTAGTGAGATATTTTTGTCAGAAAAAAAAACAACATTTCTGTTTACAAATCTCTGAATTGACACTGAAGATGATCAGAACTTTAATGATCTTAGATAGACAGGAGGTGACAGAGATTCGTACGAGAAATTAAATGGAACTTACATCATCACAGAAAGGTACATCATGGCGGAGATATCTCAGATAAACTTACATGATCACAGAAGGGCAGAGAATGGCAGAGATATTAAATGGGACTTACATCATCACAGAAAGGTACATCATGGCAGATATACCTCAGATAAACTTACATGATCACAGAAGGGCAGAGAATGGCGGAGATATTAAATGGGACTTACATCATCACAGAAAGGTACATCATGGCAGATATACCTCAGATAAACTTACATGATCACAGAAGGGCAGAGAATGGCGGAGATATTAAATGTGAACTTACATCATCACAGATGGGCAGATAATGGCAGAGATAGTAAATATGAACTTACGTCATCACAGATGGGCAGATAATGGCGGAGATATTAAATGTGAACTTACATCATCACAGATGGGCAGATAATGGCGGAGATAGTAAATATGAACTTACATCATCACAGATGGGCAGAGAATGGCGGAGATATTAAATAGAACTTACATCATCACAGATGGGCAGAGAATGGCGGAGATATAAAATGTGAACTTACATCATCACAGAAGGGCAGAGAATGGCGGAGATAGTAAATATGAACTTACATCATCACAGATGGGCAGATAATGGCGGAGATAGTAAATATGAACTTACATCATCACAGATGGGCAGAGAATGGCGGAGATATTAAATAGAACTTACATCATCACAGATGGGCAGAGAATGGTGGAGATATAAAATGTGAACTTACATCATCACAGAAGGGCAGAGAATGGCGGAGATAGTAAATATGAACTTACATCATCACAGAAGGGCAGAGAATGGTGGAGATATTAAATGTGAACTTACATCAACACAGATGGGCAGATAATGGCGGAGATAGTAAATATGAACTTACATCATCACAGATGGGCAGATAATGGCGGAGATATTAAATGTGAACTTACATCATCACAGAGGGGCAGATAATGGCGGAGATAGTAAATATGAACTTACATCATCACAGATGGGCAGAGAATGGCGGAGATATTAAATAGAACTTACATCATCACAGATGGGCAGAGAATGGTGGAGATATAAAATGTGAACTTACATCATCACAGAAGGGCAGAGAATGGCGGAGATAGTAAATATGAACTTACATCATCACAGATGGGCAGATAATGGCGGAGATATTAAATGTGAACTTACATCATCACAGATGGGCAGAGAATGGTGGAGATATAAAATGTGAACTTACATCATCACAGAAGGGCAGAGAATGGCGGAGATAGTAAATATGAACTTACATCATCACAGATGGGCAGATAATGGCGGAGATATTAAATGTGAACTTACATCATCACAGAAGGGCAGAGAATGGCGGAGATACTCGTTAGAAAAGTTAAAGGCGAGATCATCTGTCCATGTCAAGTTGTACACGCGCACAGTCAGGTTTATTAACACCGCATCTAAACACAAACAACATTACATGTGTTTCATTATCTCTCATTTCCAAACTGTAACGTAAATATATATTTTTATGATTGATTCTGTATTGCTTAGATTGTCGATATGTCGATAAAATATACCTACTTATACTGAAATGAGCACGGAGAAGTATTGTATAAGGCAGGTCCACTGCTTTGTTAGTGTTGATTAAGACTGATATAATGAATATTTGTTTCTTTCTTGAGAAAAAAAGGAGTTTCTCAACGTTTCGTATAACTAATACAATAAGTAACCTGTGGTGTACATTTGACAGCTGATGTAAATCTTTATATACTGAATACTACACCACTCTCAACTTATTTAGACGTAATATTGTATAGCAATTGTCAAACGGACTTTGCTGTCAGGAAATTATAATCAATGTTGAGTAATTGTGTCAACCGCTAAGTCAGTATTCATCAACCTTGTGTTAAACTTTCATTATCATCTGGCAGTGATTGATCTTACAACCGCGAACATTTCAAAGCGAACTTAGATTTTTGAACAACACATCTTTGGGGACTTATTTCTTCAAGAGTTAACGATTTTTTTATCTCTTTTCTCGCCTGCTAAAATCAGTGAATAAAACTCTACGTCCGTTTTTTCTCGTTTTTCTACAACAGTATCGGCCATTGTTTAAATAGAGGTTCTACAACGAGTGGCAGTTGATTATCATCGTTATCTAACTCGAGTTAGTTAATTTTTTTAATTTTGAAAAGCCTCGTGTCTTTTAACGTAAAAATATTTGTATTGTGTACAACATTGTTTAGCCCCCATTGACAATTTCGCGTAAGAATACATCGTAGGTTGTCTGATTGTCTCATTAATATGCAAAAAGAGACAAAATCGCTATTTTTGAAGCAAAATACTTATTTATTCAGTAACCTTGTTTGGAAACATCCCGTTACATTAGTTAATTGAAATACGTTACAAAATTACACAAATTGTTAATCTTTTTAAAAAAATAATTTGGAACTAGATTTTAATGCGGATAAGAGTAGTGCTTCTTCGCGGGAAAATGTGAATGCAGACACGATAAAGATAGCGTGTAATTTCGAGAACTTGTAATCACTTACATCAGAACTGTACATCACCATGGACCGTTTTCGAGAGAAATATTTTTTATTGTGAATGTTGATGTTTATTGTGCCTCATAAACTGGACCATCGATGTTATAGTCGGAAATGGGGCGGGGTTCAGCGGTAGGCTTAGTTGAGACAGTGACGATAGGGTCAGGGGAAAAGTCAAACCTGTATCTTGTTTCCGAAACGACCTTGCCCGTCTCCAACCTAATATCAAAGGTTGGGAAACGAAAATTACTGCATTTATCAATTACTATCCCCTTTCCCCCTCCACACAATTTACCGCATCACCGATCTTGACCGCCGGCTAGAGTGACAGATCGTCACTGTCAGGCATGTTGATGATGGGCAGCAGACGATGAAAACAATCGCACGTGGCGAAAGTAGTTCGGGGTCCAATGTCAATTGGCCGATCGACAGCTTTTGATTGACAGCGCGGTTTAGCCAATCAGATCGCGGGTAGTATTCGCCTCTTTGTTTACATTTCGCTACTCCGACATTCTCCGACAATGGTGATACTTTGCTGCTGGGGAACTTGCAACACCGATTTCGCTACCCCAAGCGATTATGGGGAGGTGTTGTGTTCATACCGTTTCCCAAATCTCAGATGAAGCATGAGAAGTGCAAATCTTGGCTCCGATTGTGCGGACGGCCTAAGTATCAACTTAACGAGGAGATCCTGTGGTGTCCTTCTAAAGGAAAGCATTTTTTATTTATGTCTGCTCAAAAGTGCGTAAATATTCACAGACTCTTGTTTGGAAGGACGCTCGTTGAAAGTATGACCCAGACACAAAACCGTTTGCTTTTAGTTTTTTCTTCAACGACACGTTATTAGTATAATTAAGTCCGATATCATTGGGAATGACGTTCAATGCTGACGATACTTTGTTTGTCGGAGATGGTGAGAGTAGCCTCCCTTTATTTTTGGTAGGCGTGGTTATCTTTGCGTTGTCGATCGGCCAATTCCTCGTCCAATAATACACGTGTGTATTTTGCGTATGAATAAACAATGGATATGGTGTTTAATGAATACTCTGGGCGTGAGATAACATTCGCTGGTTATGGTAGAAAAAATAATAACTAACACCAGCGACGTATATAACGTGTTATATACGCCTCTGCTTAAACATTCCATGTTTACTTACCTATGACTCCGTAGTCTGGAATAGGTGTCGGTGGTACAGGCACTTTCATATTCGTGATGTCTACGATAAAGTCTTTTATCAACATCACGTGGAAACCATCCTTAAATATCTTTTTAGTTTTGTCTCGTAATGTCCTCATTATCTCCCCTTCCGTGACTAGGCCCGAAAACGACAGGTCGAAATCCACGACCACACTCTTCCCACTTTGTGTTCTACGGGTGCAAAAAAACACACATTGTTCTAATACTAACAGCGTCTTCTCTCTTATTCTCGTATGGTAGGATAAATGTTAATATTATGTATGAACTTGTATGATGAAATGACCTCCAATCAAATATCTCCTTAAGATATTAGATATTAGAACAAATTATAAATTATTCATTTTCCTTTCTTTTAGAATTTGAATTGAAACTCGTATTAACATTCACAGATAAATCTAATCATTTAAACATATAAAAAATATCAGAAATATATATATAACAAGGACTTACCCCAGTATACCCGAACATTTACAGGCGACAGGATTTGGATTTACTCTGAAAAGGGAAATGGTAATTGTTATTTCAACAATCATTGCTAGCGTAAACCGTAAAATTGAGAATATGTGTTACTAGTTACCTGAGAGTTTTGACACTACAGGCCCGATATTTATCAGAGAACAGATGTTACTAGTTACCTGAGAGTTTTGACACTATAGACCCGATGTTTATCAGAGAACAGATGTTACTGGTTACCTGAGAGGTTAGACACTATAGACCCGACGTTTATCAGAGAACAGCTGTTACTGGTTACCTTATAGCTTTGACACTCCAGGTCCGATATTTATCAGAGAACAGCTGTTACTGGTTACCTTATAGCTTTGACACTGCAGGCCCGATATTTATCAGAGAATAGATGTTACTGGTTACCTTATAGCTTTGACACTGCAGGTCCGATATTTATCAGAGAACAGCTGTTACTGGTTACCTTATAGCTTTGACACTGCAGGCCCGATATTTATCAGAGAATAGATGTTACTGGTTACCTTAGAGCTTTGACACTGCAGGTCCGATATTTATCGGAGATGTAGCCCGCATTCATAAAGTATTTATCCACCTGTAACACACGTAAATAAAAACAAATGTATTAACGTATGACAAAAGAAACCGCAAACATATTGTTTACCTAATCGTTAGACTTGATAAATAATGATATAAGTTTGTGATCTAGTATTCCTGACAGGTACACTTATTTAGGTAACAGATAATTTTCTGTCAGCTTTACGGTCACTTCGGCTTGGTCGGTTATTGTTCTCGTCTGTTGTTTTTTTTAATACATTTTCCTTTTCGCGGTCTTACCGGTTACCTGTACTGACCCTGATATCAACTTAACGTTGCAATGTTGTTTGTCACGCGCTATTGTCTAGGTTTGGATAATTTATAGTCGATTCAATCTAAAGTGGCGAGTATATAAGTAGTCCTGTCGTTTGTAGATTTAGTAGTCATAAGTTTGGTAAAACACGACAGCACGGGTCATGACGTCATGTAGCGACCCTGGCTAAGAGCATGACGCTACGACTGATCCATACCATGGCTAACCAGGTACAATATATATTTAGGGAGAAACCTCGAAGAAAATGGTATCTAGTATTGTTTTTGAATTCACAGCTCAGAAAAACCTGTGATTTAACTTACTTAATGATTACAAACAGCACGTGCTTCAACATCACGAAGTACTATGTACCTGAGTAGCTCTATGTTGCTATCCATTTAGTGCAAGGATTATAACCTTCACGGATTACCAATGGAAGTACAACACACGAGATTTTTCACGCTATATTCGAAGCAGTTGATATGTGTAATAAAAATTATAGCGATTATCAATACCTTTTGTGATTTAAAATTGTAAATCACATTTCTTTATTGCGATATGTTAATCTCTTGACTTTAAGTTAAGATTTAAAAACAGAACTGGGTTATCTACAAGAATGAGAGCACGTCAGCTACAGACCTGATCAAACATTGTAGTATACCGAGTTTTAAGAGATACGGGTTGACGTCTAATGGGAACGATTTAACGTTTAATTACACTTTCATGGTGTAGAGTTAGATGTGTTCTATGCTCACTAGTACATCTAGCAGTTTTGATTGGTCAAAATCAATAGCGAGAGCGTTGTCCATCATCCCTCTGGGGACACAAAATCTCATTCTTCCCGTAAACTCCAAATGTGTGTGTGTTTTTTTTATTTTCGTTTTTTTCCAGATATCACCATCATTCTCTCGATTTTTTAGTTATATTTGTGGTTTTGTTTATATGTCAGTATTCTTGATAATTTTATTACAACTGATATGAAATAAACATTGTATAAAAACGATGTATCTTTATTGGGGCACTGATCTAGTCATGCTTGTATTTGTAATCCTCTCGTGCACGAAAAACTGATAACAATGTCAGAATAAATTAAACAAACTGACCAATAAGAACGCTGAAAAGATCTTATCGTGTGATGGTTGCATGACAAATTAATTGTCGCCCCGGATATGCGTCATTTCGTCCACTGATCTATTTTCTTGTTGACATTAACTGTATTGTTATCGATGTGGTCATTGCTCGGCAATAATTCGGCCATTACTACACATGTATACGACCACTTCATCAAGTGTCCAATCAACCGTTGTGTGTCACAAGATTTTCAACTTCTCGCTCTGGCATGATGTCACTTCCGGATTTTTGGGAGAGGATTTGGAAGTAACATTTACAGTAACACATTTTCAGCAGGTAGTTTTAAATGTTCACATTTGTAGTTTGATGTCAATGGCCCACAAAATGCAAAAACTATTGTTACAAATGTTTCGTTTGAAAAAATAAAGAAAATTGTTTTTGTTTTTTTTAAAGTTTGACGTTTCTTCTCTATTGCGAAATCCATTCCTCAAAGCATGTTTATATGTGATATCAGGAATTCAAGGTAAGAATTTCAAATTGATAATTCGGTTAATATCTTCGTACAGAGTCAGTGGTAACTTTAAATGGTCTATCCTGGTCACCTGTCTTACCTCTGCACAGAATGGGTCTGCTATCTGTTTGAAGTGCGAAGAAGACACGTTGGACATTTCCGGGTGCCACGTCTGGTTCAGTAGAGGCACCGACGCACTGGCAGTGTGCGCGTCTGTAAGATATATTAACATAAACTTTTATTTACTTTAGATTTGAGATCTTGCTTGTAAAAACTAAGAACTTCAAGAGCCGTTTATAATAAAAAAATATATGTAAATTGTTATGTATACTCAAGATTGCGTTAGTTTAGATCACATTCGACGTATCAATTGTAGAATCTTGAATTCATTATGGCAAAATCGAAAACATTTCAGTCATTATTAAGTTAAGGTGAGATAAATATGTCGGAGGTCAGGTGTTTAGAACAAAATTAAAAACTCCGTGACTTACTTGTGCCGTAATACCCAGGAGCTAAAATGAAAAAAGAAGATGAAAAGATTTAAAATGCTAATCATTCTATAGTGAATATGTAAACGATTTCTTTAGAATTACGTATACCTATCATCTCTGTTACACTCGGCTCCAGGGGATAAAAAAGAGAGAAGTCTTTCCGGGACAAATATATAATAATCATTGTGTATAAAATCTACTGTTTCACTCTTCCTGTGAGTTTGGGAGAAAGTAAGTTATTACAGCTTTACAAGAAATACTCAACAATTCTGACGTCCTTGTACATAGTAATTGCCGATGTGGTACTTGAAGATTTTAACATGCTCAAATTATGGTGAATTAAAAATATTAATTTCAAAAATCTTATAAAACATTGGATTCAGGACTATGTAGAATTTGATTTACATATATTATTATTTGAAGTCATGGACAATGCCTTTTGGAGCTTCTCAGGTCAAATATTTATGTACGTTAAATCAGGCGATATAATTTAACCTAGATAAGTATTTAACTACGGGCGTATAACAAGATTCATATGTCCTTAAACTACATGTCTCCTCCTCTAGAAAAGAACCCGAATTTTATTATTCGGTGTACAGCTAGTGTCAATACCTTAAATGCGTTTTCATTTCATGTGAGTTTAGGAAACAAGTCTTACAAGTATTTATTTATCCGAGCCTTTATGAACAAAGCTTAAAACTTTGAGTCGAATTTCATTTGGTCTCAATTGAAACGAAAACAAATCTAGTATACTTTTTTTATCACAGAAAGTTAACAAACTTTTACGTTACAATGTGGAGGACAAAACGAAATGGAGGCAGTCATTCTAATATTTCAATCGATTTCTGATTGACACAGCCAATGAAAAGATTCTAGAGTACACGTATATGACACTAGTGACATATACGTAAAAATATTACATTGGCGAAGTCACTGGATAACAGGCGGTTATGTGATAAAAGGCGATATATATAGGAACATAATGACACTGAACTCAGGGACCTGAGAATTCAGTCTATGCCTACACTTCTCTGTTCATAGGTTATCAGGATGAAATACATTTTTCTTAGGTCCCTGTGACAGTAAACGCCTCCAACACAATTTGAACGATGAGCAGGGACTTGAGACCATTTCTTAACACTACATTATGTATCAAATGTTCTACATCCATATCTACATGATCTGGTGTGGTTAGAAAGTCCCTGTGACTGTGTAACGCCTAATCACTTCATCAACTAACTTGTCCCAGGTTCTCGACCCCGTGACCTTGATATATTCTTGAAACTCCCTATTGTATAACCGTAATGCCCAACCCTTCCCTTCGAGGAGGAAACATTGTCATCAAAGTAGGACCATTCATCAGTCCTTCTACCTGTAGCTAGAGCTGCCAGCGTCCTGTCAGGACTCGTGACCTCTAGACAAGGTCAAGCCCGAGGGTCATTCTACACTTCAGCTAATGGTTTGACTTTCAAGATGATCTATATTAAAAGCACCTTGTGAGGTCATCGTTTTCGGCATAGGCGTATATATCACGCGCTCACGAGCATGGCATTGTTATCAAACTGTTATAGACAATTTATGACTTAAAAAATAAGTCGATTTTAATTGAGCCTTTATCATCAGTTTGTGGTATGGTTATGTGGCGATATGTAAATATAGTGCATTACTTTTTTGCAGTATCTATTTTCATATTGCAGGGATTTAAAACTTAATTGTTGTTTTATAATGTTTGTTTATTTTTAAATATTTTCTGTGTGTAATGACTGTTCCCTGGACGACTGACCACAGATGGCTATCTATCTGTCCACAAGATAAGTGCGGTGATGAGGCTGTAACTGACAGCACGTGCGATACACCTCCGCCCTCGGCCAATAACGAATTTGAGCTATCATTTTTCATTGTATATCTTGGGTCGTTTATTTTTCACAACCAGACGTGGCTGCGGGCTTTGTTACACATATAGGTGACTTATATAGGATATTACACCATTAGAAGACACATGCATTAACTCCTTGTACGGGATTTTGAGCTACTCTTAATTGACATTAATTACATATATGTTGTTCCGCTTTATTCCGTAGTTAAAATCACTATCAGACTGCATGCTTTTGATCATTTCAAACTTGTGACGTTATGCTTAAAAGATGAACATTCTAAAGTATCTCCGATACACACGCATATCAGTGATAAGAGAAACAGTGTCTCTAATTCGTGGCGTCTGAATTTAGATTTTATTTCAGGAATTTATCCCCCAAATGATGTGCTCTATAAAGAAAAGTTGTTTAATAGTTTTCTGTATAGGACAAATCTAAATATACCTTGGTGAATACGTCATACTATAATAACCACAGTGAGAGGTCAAAGTTCAATTCCTGGATCAACATAATACATACCGTCCATCAACAGAAAGTAGACCAATAGTCCTACTCCAAACGCGACAAGTAAGGCTCCAACTAACAACAACAGCACTAAACCAAGTCTTTTCTGTTTATATCTTTCACCGGATTTCAATTTCTTTCTGCTGTTTATCGAAGAGTCACTGGCCGAGGTATTATACATCTCGTTTGCCACCGCGAGTCCCGGGCCAACACCCAGGGAATTATGGGTGTTATAATGATGGTGATGGCGGTGTTTCTCTGTTCTGTGATAATTCCCAAATTCATCTTCATATCCGTCGTTGTCATGGTAACGCCTTTGTAACTGAAACGATCAAAATAATGGTTAGTCTAGAGTTTATTAATATCTTTAGATTGTATTGTCACACATTCTTCTTTTCGGGCACGAGAATATTTCCTTCGTAAGTTAATATTATTATTTATATGTTCTATCTTGTTCCCCGTGTGGAATTTGGTCATGGAATCGCGGAGGAAAAGAGCTCAATGGTAGAAAGTGAGGCGAGAGAATGCGAGCGGAAAGGTGCTTGTTACTATCTTGATGGAGGTATTCGTGAGGGACCTTGGCGCAAACAGGTTTCTTAGCAAATCTAGGTAGAAAGAGGTGACTATTATGACCAGGAGAGGATACGCCTGGAGAATAGGATGACCAGGTGAGGATACGCCGGGAGAATAGGATGACCAGGAGAGGATACGCCGAGAGAATAGGATGACCAGGAGAGGATACGCCTGGGGAATAGGATGACCAGGAGAGGATACGCCTGGGGAATAGGATGACCAGGAGAGGATACGCCGGGAGAATAGGATGACCAGGAGAGGATACGCCTGGAGAATAGGATGACCAGGAGAGGATACGCCGGGAGAATAGGATGACCAGGTGAGGATTCGCCTGGAGAATAGGATGACCAGGTGAGGATACGCCTGGAGAATAGGATGACTAGGAGAGGATACGCCTGGAGAATAGGATGACCAGGAGAGGATACGCCGGGAGAATAGGATGACTAGGAGAGGATACGCCTGGAGAATAGGATGACCAGGAGAGGATACGCCGAGAGAATAGGATGGCCAGGTGAGGATACGCCTGGGGAATAGGATGACCAGGAGAGGATACGCCGAGAGAATAGGATGGCCAGGTGAGGATACGCCTGGAGAATAGGATGACCAGGAGAGGATACGCCGGGAGAATAGGATGACCAGGAGAGGATACGCCTGGAGAATAGGATGACCAGGAGAGGATACGCCTGGAGAATAGGATGACCAGGAGAGGATACGCCTGGAGAATAGGATGACCAGGTGAGGATACGCCGGGAGAATAGGATGACCAGGAGTGGATACGCCGAGAGAATAGGATGACCAGGTGAGGATACGCCGAGAGAATAGGATGACTAGGAGAGGATACGCCGGGAGAATAGGATGACCAGGAGAGGATACGCCTGGAGAATAGGATGACCAGGAGAGGATACGCCTGGAGAATAGGATGACCAGGAGAGGATACGCCTGGAGAATAGGATGACCAGGTGAGGATACGCCTGGAGAATAGGATGGCAAAGAGAAAATAATTCTTGTTAATAGGATGACCAGGAGAAGATAATCCTGATGAAAAGATGACCAGGAGGAGATAATTAAGGCAAATAGTGACCAGGGGAGATAATGCATAACCAACAGAGCTGCCTTGTTACATATCAACAATAAAGTATAGTTCTACTCTAACTTGTAAAAAAGATTTTACAGTTGTAACAAACACGACTCTGATGATTCTTCGATTTTTTGTTTTATCTTTTTTACATTTATGCCGCACTACAGTTCGGAGTCCGCTTTATGTGTACTTTTGACATGTTTACTATTTCTGGATAAAGCACTTCCCTAGCCGTGTTTTGACGAGAACATGGTGTTACAATGTAAAACACCCAACATGTATGTAATACACCGTTATAAAACGGTCGTATATTACTGGCGAACAAGTACACGCTGCTGTCGGTCACAACTTTCACAACGTCTATAAGGAATAGGAGTTTGTGAGATTCCCATACATAAGGACATAACAAGACACAGTCGTGAATAGTAAATGAGCAGGAATGTGCAATTCCAAGCGGTGTATAGTTTCCTAAGGACTATCTTAACCCATGAAAAACGCAACACCTGATCTCGATTTAAATGACGCCGCAACCGATGTATAGATATTTCAATAAAGCGAAATGGTGGGGACAGGTTCTTCTACAGCTGTTCTTATCCCTTCTCCTTACCCTTACCCCTCCCCTTGCCACCGCAACCTTTCCCTGTCCCTGCCACTGCCACTGCCCCTGTTCCTGCCACTGCCCCTGTACCTATCCCCCAGTCCCTGTCCCTGTCCCTATCCCTGTCCCTGTCCCTGTCCATGTCCCTGCCCCTGTCCCCTACCCCTATCCCTATCCCTGTCCCTGCCACTGTCCCTGTCCCTGTCCCTATCCCTGTCCCTGCCACTGCCCCTGTCCCTGCCCCTGCCACTGTCCCTCTCCCTATCCCTGTCCCCTATCCATATCCCTGTCCCTATCCCTATCTCTGTCCCTGTCCCTTCCACTGTCCCTGTCCCCGCCCTCTACACCTTCCCCTGTCCCTACCCATGTCCCCTACCCATTATCTCTTCCTTGTCCTGCCACACCCTGTGCCCACAGCAGACTCTTACGGCAATGGTTTTCTCTTCCCATCCTCGACCTATATGTACGAATGGATGGTGATAGAACAAACTCGGAAACAGAAAGAAATGTTTATTTATTTATTTATCTGTTTATTCATTTATTTTTATATTTATTTATTTTAACGGGTTTTACGTCCACTATTTCTTACTGAATAAGTCACGAAGCTAACGGAACGAAAACAATGACACGAAAACGAATCCCTATAGGGAACAAAGCAAAATTGTAGAAGATCTGGCCTGCTTACGATATATTAAATTTCCGAGTCTTTCAGCCAAAGTTTAGGTCTACTATTGTTATGCTGAATGAAATATTACCATAGAATACATGTTTCGAATCCTGACGTATACAGGGGCGTAGCTAGCCCACCAGAAATGTGTAAGCACAGGCGACGGGTCATGAATTTCATGAGTTCAAAGGTGTTTTGGATCGTTTTCTGAGACATTTTTATACTTTATTTAGCAACAAACTTCAACCCCTGATATTCATTTTCAACCATAGTTTTGTAATTTTGTCCGACATACTCTATGCACGGATTTTTTATGTGTAAGCCCGGGCTTTTTCTTTCTATGGAAGCTACGCCCCTGGTATGAGTGGTAGAAGTTTTTCATCTAGCCTGTGTGTACTGACCACTCCACAGGACTGTCTGACGTAGTAGTGGTCCCCATTAATCTCTCTGACAGAATATACCTGTAATGACGTTTCTGAGGACGGTTTGTGATGTACTACACCGTGTCCACACACGTTTAGAACACGACAGGAAATGTAGTAACCGCGGATACACAATATTCTTTGATATTCAGTCTCTAGATGGAGTTCTGTCCATATCACGTGTTCATAAGGTCTGTCCATACTTATATGTATGTAATTCGAACTACAACGATATGCCGGAACTGGTTGCATAAAAACACAATATTTACTCCAAGTGCCAGGGGTTTTTCTTTTTCTTCTTTTTTAATACCTTCACGTGTATCAAATAAGTTATATATATTAGTTTTATTCATATGACATGTCTTTTTCCGCGTCTGATGTGTACCGCCGACTGATTGTGTGTTATAGGATCATAATTGTTGATGAAAGTTAACAAAGGAGAAGAGGTTTGAGTACAAAATCTGCACAAACATATATATATAAATATATCGAAATACATGTAAATCGTCATGTACGATCGCCATTGGATCGGCAGTGCAACGACCTCGCACATGAATACTGACCAAACCAAAAAAGGAAATCTGTGCTGACGCAATAGAACCAGATTATGGACATTTTATGATAGTAACTTGTAAACGTGATGTTTCGCTGTATTGCACTTCCGCCTGTCAACATCGATTATTTACATCGGCTCTTAAAACGTCAATTTATCAGGAACGCGTGCCTTTAACGTCCTTGGTTTTTCTGTCCTGTTTGGAATGCCTTATTTTTGAGTTAGCAAACGACCTATCCAAGTTAAACACCGTAACTTCCATTTACCCATTATCGTAGGTCTAACGTGTAGAATACTTTATGAAATCATATATATGAACGTTACCGTACTAAAAATACACAAATTTTGAACATCCAAAAATGTGTGACCATGTTGTAAGTTACAAACACAACAAGCTAGCTGAGGCCATGATGGTGTAGTATTGATGTGGATATACAATGTCTCGAAAATTTCTTATTTAGCAAATTTCGGAAAATTTTTACGTATTTTTTCCAAAAATCTGAAGAAAATATTTCACAAACTTCCCAAAATCGTTACGGTCCTCTTTATTATGGGACCGCAATGTACTCTCGGAAAGATAGGAATTCACAGTGTAGCATACCTGTAGATAAAAAAGTACTTATGTTTACCTGTATATCTCTAGTATACCACGCGTTGATCTCGTCTTCATTCAGATAATCCATATTGTTATACAATTACCTGTTTTCAGATTATCTTTTCTTCTAAATAATTTTTGATAGATCTTACACTCTATATTTATACAATTATAGCAGATAAATTGTCATGTGACCTTATGCAGCACCCATTTTTTTGTAGATAAACATGACCATATTTAGAAAAGATGACCCTTCATTAATACTGAAGTTGACAACGGTGAACCAATCAGTGGTGTTGGTATGTCCGTTCTGACCATCCCCCGCCTTACTAAACTGACAGCTATGTTTTTATATGTTATTATTATTAATCATACTTTGATTCTTGTAGGCAACGCTTCGCTACATCTCTACTTTATGGTCAATCTTTTTTCTGAACATCAATGAGAAAGCTGACCTTGAATTGTATTTATGATCGTTATAAAAATAATAAGTAGACTTAGAGGTATAAAAGTACAGGTGTGCTGATTGAAGATTCCTTGGGGTATTTCTTTTTTGAAATAATACGAACTTACAGCCATAAGATTTGCGGCAAAATTAGGAGGGGGGGGGAGAAAGTTTTAATATAATAATTTGTTTTAAACGCGAATTTCCTTTTCCGTAATCATTGCTGACGTTTTGTAATTAATTTTCTCTTCAGAATAAACTCTGTCCATCTGATTTATATTAGGATCAGTCACTTGGTTATAATAATTACTTCCAGTCGACAAAATCACAGTACATCTGTGTAGCTAAGTTATATCGTATAATTTTTGCATTTCCAAAAGACTAAACATTTTCTCCATGAGATCGATAACTTTGTAATTTCGATTTTTCCGTTTTTTGTAACTAACTAGGCTTTGAACAATCTCGCCTCGATCTGTAAACAAAGCTAACGTCACACCCATTGACCACGGGAATGGTCACACAAATTAAGGAAGTGACGTCACGTGCGGAAAGTGTTTGAAGTCAATGAAGACATCTTGTACTAACAGAAATTTATCCCACTTGTTTTCGTGTTTTCTAAATTTATGATAGAAATATATTGACTGAAACAGCATATTACAGTTACCTCAGTACACTGATCTCCAAACCAAAAAAAAGACAAGAAATTTTATATTTTGATATCTAAATGAAATAAATCAATTAATTTCCGGACTGCAATATGTCTAATACCCAATATTATACACGAACCACATAAAGTGTCAATATCATCCGATCATCAATAGATAGACTCAGTACTTATGTGTACACTGGTAAATTCTAACCTTGATAAAGCTAGATCGGTTGCGCGATAGATTGTAAACCAGAGGTCACGGGTTCGATCTCTAGCGGAGGCGTTGTCCTCTGTTACAGAGTTGTAAGTCATTCAAAACTACCATTGAATTATAGAATGGAGTCATTTACGTTACTCCATGAAGCCAAGACCATGAAATTTTAATGATTATAGAATTAAGTCAAGATTTGAGTTTTTGAGTCACTGAGTCACCAAACGTCTTCGTATCATTACATATTTGAGTTAACTACCTATCCGTATTGTTACAGACTTGAGTCACCTGCCCTATTCGTATCATTCAATGTTTGGGTCACTGAGTCACCAAACTTATCCGTAAGATTACAGATTTGATCTACCAAAGTTTCCCGAACATTATGGATTTGAGTCACCAGTTTATCTGTAACATTATAGATTTGAGTTATCTCCCTTGTCCGTATCATTACAGACTTGAGTCACCTACCTTATCCGCAATGTAGATGTGGGTCACCCCACGAGTTGAAAGTAAACATGGTCGGGACAGTTACATACGCTAAAATATCTATAAGGACGTACACAATATACATGAGAATTTTTTCCGACATTTTGTTGGCCAGAACTAGACACTTTAACTATATTTCGTAGCTCAAAATCATTATAGTAATTGTCCAAACTGACCATACCTCTATTATAGGTACTATTGTAATGCAATACTGTCTTTCAGCCTTGCCTAAAACATCCAAAGTTAGTTAAGACTACGATAGTTTTGTTTAAAACAAGGTAGTAATTCAAAATCAACAACTAGTACCATGTAAAGTACCGGGATAAATCTGACCTCTGACCTTGTTTAACGCCATTGGCCTTACGCCTGCGTAATGTGATTTATATTCTAGCTGTGACGAATTTGTAATGTTCTCTGACGAATGTGAGATGTAAGGCGTGACCTTTGACCTTGGCCTATGACGTTGATTTCTACCTTTGTAATATAATATGTGTAATATCTTCTACAAATGTGTGAACTACAAGCAACTGTACACTTCGCTTGAAATGCGTGACCTTTCAACTTGACATATGACCCCCATCTTAATAGAATATTCGCATTCCAAATCTTATCAAAATAAGATTTCAACCGTTTGTCTAGAATCAGCTGCTAAGAACACGAATCTTAAGTTATACAGTTTTCTGTGACTTATATTCACCTACATATCAGAATTACACAAAATAAGACTTTATTTCATTATCGTCTTATTGGAGGTCAAATGCCAATCTTTGGTATAACAAAGTATCCTATGACTCTGTTTATTATATGCCAGATAGTAGATGTTAAGTGATCGATTACCTCACGTAAACCTCGCCATACCTAGGTTTTGTTTAACGTCCCGTCGATATCAGGGTCATTAGGGAAAACCCAAACTGAAATTCAGCATTAAACCTGTATATCGTTATCGTTTAATCTACCTGGTACGATGAAAAAAATATGTACAGGTACCCATTGTGTATGTCGGGAGAGTGTGACCTTTGCACTTTGGTGACCTGTGTTGACCTGTATTGACCTCTCCATTGACGTATAACTATGTAATAGGACATAGACATGTGTAACAGTTAGCTAAACTGCTTTGATGGCGGACGTGACTGCCTTGTTATTTAATCACATCAGAGCTTTATAGTCAGATATATACAGAATATGTCATTGTCTTCCGGCAGTGCTTCTGCATATTTGTCGAAGGAGAAGTATAAGGCCAATGTCGTCAATGTTTTCTACAACCACGTTAATGTATGTGGGCTCAGTAGTGTGATTCTATAGGAAGAAATTTATATAGAGAAAAAAAATGATAATAAGTAAACGATTTTTGAATTTTACACATTCTTTTAAAGAAAACCTTTCTTTCTTGCAGTAATGGTTATTACACAACTACTGGAACATTATTTTCAACTTATTTTCATTTTTGTTGTTCGTTTCACTTTTTACCAATATCAAGGATTAAAAGACAGATGATCAAGATCAATCTACATGAAAATAGCGTCCTTCCACATTTGATTTGTGTTGGAGGTTACTATAATATATATATATAATACGAGATATATCTATTTATTTCATCTGCAGCAAGAGCATTTTAAAACTATTTGATGGGGATCAGATTTCGGTAATTGTTAATATGAATGCAGACAGATAAATAGATTGACATCCTTATATTGACAATAAAATCTGATGAATGTTCAATAGTTATATTTCATTTCAGATATTTAAAGATCATACTGTTTTTATTCTAGATCAAGACATAAATGTCTTCTCCGTGTACATGTATGTTTATTCACTGCAAGAGCTTCGTGGAAATCATAATCATCTAAATGATTGATAAAAGCTAAAAATGTGTTATCTGACTTAAAGCGTTGACGTAACGTTGGTCAACAATGACGTCATAGCATTTTCTTATAATCTCTACATTCAGAAAATCGTTTTCTTCCTTTAAATACGTGATATTAATGAATCTCCACAAAGCAGTTAATCCCGTCACCACTTTAACATGTCAGAATGAACGAAGACGGGACAAGTTTATAAAGACAATATCAGTAAACCAGCTAAAGTCAGTTTATCATTGATGAGAAGTTAATAAGTGTTATGTATACTGAGTTGTATTACATGATTTCACAACAAACGAACGGACTAGAATTTGTGTATTTAACTTCCGCTAAAAACCTAACTGAGGTTGTGTTGGGCCCCGGTCAGCTGGTCAATAGATCACGTAAGGGTCATCAGACGCTGTAATGAGGAGCGACGACGACAGTGATAGCAATAAAGACGTGCAGAAGTATTGACAGATGCCAGTCATGTTTTGACGTATCGATCTGTCTGTGTAGGTAGTTAGTGTCCATTATCCGGACTGCCATTTCCCCCGACACTTACTTATCATTAATACCTAAACTTACATAACCACCAATGTCTTCATGTCTTTTGGCATTTTTTGTGAAACATTTTACAACAAATTATTTTAATAATTAATAAAGCGGTATTTATTCCTTTAACTATCTTGGGCGCTTTAAGGCCATATTGGCGGATTTTGTTTTCTTTTCGCAATTCGGGAAATCTATTGGGGTCTGAAAAGTGTCGTTCATGTCATGTTTATTTCCAAATTCCATTAGAATCCACACTTCGTGAAATTTAGAAAAGCAAGACATTTTGTAGAAGTTACATGTACATGCATCAGTGTACCAGTACCGACATATAAAGAATCAGTTTTTCGAAACAAGTTTCCATCGATTATATGACACACAAATCGAATTATGTAGCCAACAATTTTGTCTAAAATGAAATATTAAGTAAATTTTATGGATAGAACAAGAGTTATTCTACTGAGATAAAAAAAAATAGATAGGGATCATTAGTGCAAAAGTAACACTAGCATAACCTAACATATGAGACGGTAAGGAGGGGTATCAAAAATAATATATTGTATTTGATGTCGTCGTGTGTTCAATTGATATTAGAAACAGGAGGAAGATGCTAATCTAGATCTACACAAAAGCATAAAGTAACCGCCATGATAATTACATCTCAGACGTTCAGTGACTTTCCCGTTATCTGTGTTGACCAATATGATTTTATCACATCTCGCAAGATTATTTCAGGTCTTTATAAGTCTGGTTTATATTTTACTACGGACATATAGTCAAATTTTCAGTAACAGATTAAAACAATGTAGAACAAATTGAAGAGATGCGTCTGATGTTAAACTTTCCCACAACGATGAAATCTTAACCAATATAGAAATTTTAATTAAGTTGTCGGTAAGATCTCAATTTAATCACAAAATCGAATACACGAAACGATTTTTAACTTAAACGCGTCGATATTTGAAAAAAATAACCATATTTGGATCTAGATTTCCAAGAATTTTGAATATTGAAGACATAAGGAAAGTGACTTTTTTAAAGTATCGTCATTAACTATATTATCAAAGAACATTTTGATTGGAGATAAGCGATATCTCGCAATACTTACGGAGTTCCCTGATTTCCAGTACCCTTCGTCTGAAGGCTTCGCGACAGTGTCTTCTCTCATGTGATCGATCCAATGCGGGGTGCGATCCATTTTCAAGATGGAATTATTTTTTCTCTCAAAAGCACAGATTACTACACATTATTATTCCAATAAAGTTGTGAAATAATTCGAAAAATCACATATCAAAATTTGATCAGCAACGATTACTTTTCTCTTCCCGTGAGAATCTCAACATGCACTAGGTAATATGAGGACAGTATAATGACGTCCGGATGATGAGCCTACTTTCTTCCCGTCTTTCTCTACATCTGAGCATCAAATGAATAGCGTGGATTCTTTTCTGCTCGTCGTAACCACAAATGACGTTCGCCAAGAAAAATAAAAAACGCCAACGCTTTCGTGACTTAAGGATGAGCGGTGTTATCAAGGAGTTGTCCTCAGATTCCCCCTCTCAGGTATCAGCATTTGAGTAACCAGCCCGCGATGTAACACTACTGCACTATCTAGTCTTCATCGCCTTCAGGGGACGTAACTCTCTCCTTGCTGTAACGCGTGTTCGCTCGGCCGTGACGGAGTGCCATTCTTTCTTGGCCCCGGGGATGGGCATATCTACATGTAGCGACGTGAGAGATCTAAGGGCTGAGCTATTGCTGAGAGCGAAGGAGACATCTACACTAATCACTCTATGGTCGTGTGACTCTATGTCAGAAACAGGTGGACGGTTTGGAAGTATTTATCACGGTTTCATAATCTCTTTTTCGACGCAATTACTTAAACTCAAATACGTCAATAATAATAAAATGAAAGTAGAAAAATACCCCGATTCTTTAATTTAAGGATTTATATTGATTATTGAACACCTTTAACATAACAGTTTTACCTTTATTATTTTTTCTGCTGTTTACATGTAAACCTGTAAAGTGACGAATTATGAAAGAGTGCATGAGTACAAATTCTGCCAACTTTCTTCCGGTTATATAAAGTTTTCATTATGGTCAAACACTGTGTATATGTGATATCGTTGGTACAGTTATTTAGTTATATAGTAGTTCGTAAGCTGTAGAAGTATCATACGTTAAATACGCCGTGGCGATAGTTTCAGACAACTTTAACACGGATTTCATTGATGGATTAAGAATGACATGGAGGATATCGAATTCTCATATTGCTCCATGTTCGCCTATCTTTCGGAATTCCGATCCGCGAGTCCTTTCTTGTGTGGGTCTTTATAGCTGTAAAGTTGCTAGTTTTGTCGGAAAAATGAAAGACTTTCACAATGTTATTTCTTTAACTTTTCAAAACGGTATTTAAATTGTTTATGTTAAGAAGAGCGAAGGTATGACATTTCGTTGCAGCACTCCATAATCTGTGTTTGATCAAATCTGTCTTTAGGAGAACTGATGTCAAATTTCAGACCACTCCCTACTACGTTTGTTTCGTGATGATGAAAGACACGATACAAAAAATTGTAAGTTTGTTCAACATCTAGAAATACTGCACCCAGATTTTGCTCCTTGTGTTGTTTGATATTGAAAAAACTTTCGAGTTATAATATTACCTGCTTTATCTGTAATTATTTTCTCACAAAATGTCTTTTATTTCTCTGTTAGCAGTCTAAAATCCTTCTGTTATATTTTTGATAATTTAAGATGCCGTCTATTACCTATTGTCGTAATGCTAGCACCAGCACTTCAGATTACTCAGTCTTGAGAAAAAAGATATTGTTACAATATATAAAAAACCGACCAATTTAAAAACAAAACAGAAACACGAAACATACGTAAATAAAGTGTGTTAGTAGCTGAGTAGGCCAATCCCAATTTGACTATTAGAATAGTATCAAAAGAATTCCAAACTCAAGGGTGAAATAATTATGTGTCCATAATTCTATTTTGGATCCGATGATTGTCTTGATTGTGCATCAGAAATATTCATGACTGCTTCAGGAAAATTATTAGACACTAGAACTAAGCTTCTATTATAGAATTTTTTAACTTGTGGATTTCTAGATGGTTATTTGGAGTTGTCTCCCTTGTTCCACGGATGTTCAAGTTGGTGATATCAATGGAGTAGAAGATTTTAAGTGTGATGTTTGGATGACTACACGGTCACCTTCATCAGACAAATGACCAGTGTGGAGCGTACTAGCACTGACGTACGTAGTGAATATCAAAAGATAAAAAAATACCAAAAGATCATATTTTTTCAGTCTAATTCGAAAGTCGACTAATGTCTCCTCTCCTGATTAAGCTGTGCACGATTTTTCGAACAGTAGCGAGCGAAGGACAGATAACACGCCCGGAAAGCGCCAAGGATAGGACAGATCACATACTCGGACAGTCCCAAGGATAGGACAGATCACATACCCGGACAGCCCCAAGGATAAGACAGATCACATACTCGACAGCCCCAAGGATAGGAGGGCAAGGCAGAACACATGCACTAAGAGTGAATTAAGACCTGTAACTTTTATGGTGCGAGGTGGACGATTACAACTTTTTAAAAATTCCAGACACCGGAAGAACCAGACTACGACATCATAGAGGCGGGTGGAGGTACAAGGTTACTGTCTCATGACAATCGAACAGCGATGAAATGGCCAACGGTAGACCTTGATATTGACAGGGAACACAACATGATGGGACATTGCAGAAAGAAAAGGAGAAAATCTTACGCTACATTGAGTGCACAGTTGGGCATTCAAGAATCTCGCTGAGGGGCTGGGATGTTTTTGTGACCGAGATTTCCGAGATAGAGAAAATTTTAACAATGCTGTACCTAGTTTTTTCGCGAAATGTGTATATGTAGTTGTGAATTTGAGAGACTGCAAGGCTCTGGTCGCTTAGAATTTAGATCTGTTCACACTTGCTCTTTCCCCTTGTCACCTCTAAAGCGAAATTTTGTGATATGAAACGACATAGGCACTGGACGAAAAACTTTTTTTATACATATTTTCTACATACTATTCAGTAAAAGTGACATTAGAACGCTAAAACGATGCTAGTGATTGTTTGTATCTAGTGTCGATGAGGTTGGCAGGGTACACATATCGTAGCATTCACAATAGTACCTTAGACCTCGCGTAACTCCATCAGCCAATGACTGTGCCATGAAGATCTGCATGACAAAGGGAACAGGATCGACATACAACGATCAGAACAAAATAGATGGTATCTAAAACTTTATTAACAAGTAAAAGTACATGTTTATCTACTAATTAAATTGTATCACAGCGTTTTTGGTTTTTGTATATATAAATCATTCTAAACTTAAACAAAATGCGGGCTTTACATGGGAGAACCCCTAAGACACTGACATTTCATAGTCAAGGGAGACTACCTATAAACTATAATGGTGGTAAATAACACAACTGATATACACAGTCTAGGGGAATATAATTGATAATCTATCTACTATACTAGACAACGTAATTTCTTTAATTCACCAGGCAGAGAGAATAACTGTTTTCTTAAAACTCATAATGCGGTTCTTATAACACAAGAAAATTTCGCGGATAACTAAATTTCACTTACGTTTATGAGACGATAGTTAAGCATATACGAATACCAATTTTAGGTGAGATTACGCGAATTCGAATATTTATCAAATGTTTAATTCACGACAGCAGACCTCAGTGAATTCAGATTCACACAAATAGTGATGAGACGATATGAATTATGATAAGATCAAATTCATGAGTAGATGACCAAAAAAATCAAATTCACAGGAATAATGCCCCGTGAGATACGATAAAAAATCAATAATATCTTATTTGTGAGAGAAGATTGCTAATTGAAATATTTACTTAAAAAGACTTCATGCATAAAATACTATACTCTAGCTTCCGGTACAAATGTTAATTTTCGCGAAAGCAACCATCGATTTACATAATTATCGACATTAACAAGAACTGAGCATATCCATAGATCAATATGATTAGCACCATAGTCTGACAGCAGTATGGTACACGTAATGAGATCAGGAAAGATGCACAGTGGGTAATTTGACGATGTCACGTTCTTACATGTAAAACAAAAAATATTTGTTTTAGAAATTTCATGATGTATTTGACTTCGTCAAATTCGATACCAGTCATGTGCGCCAGAACTTGTTTAGAAGAACTAAATAGATTTAAATAGTAAATTCTCAAATTTTGGAGGCAATATACTTTTTTTAAACTTTCACTTGCATCCTCATAGTTAAGAATAAACATATGTCTGTATTTTTCTCATTCTCCCTTAACGAAATCGTGTATCATAAGAGAACTTCTCATATTTTAAAACCAAAACCACATGTTCTATGACTTGGATAACGATTTCTTTTTGTGAAATGTCTATGACACTAAACATTTAATTTGTCAACCTCACGAGAAACCAACTTAAATCCAACAAATATCCAAACATTGCAAACAGAAAAACAGAACAGATTGTACATAGAAAACTTACATAAATATCATTCCAAACATTAATATTATACACTGCCGTGAAATCTCGCCAATCCCGAGACATTACAAAAATAGGCGGCTTAAGTGGTTGTTATATTGCAATAATCTGAATATCTGTGGACGTTTTATTCTGAAATTCAAAGTGTCCGAACTGACGAGAAAACACAAACATTACAGAACAATGAATATTTTCGAAATCGAAACTAAAAAAATCATAACTGTAGATAGCACCACTAAGTTCGTAAAGACTTAAAGCGTTAAAAGGCGAGATATAACAGTATATATCGGAATTCCTAACACTCCTAGTATATAAAACGTAATACTCAGTAATATATATATAACAGTATCAACCATATATAATTGTTATAAGTTCATCCTATCAAATCCCACCTTATTTAGTTTAACAGCCTAATTTTAATCAATATGATTGATCATCTAAGTACGGTATATAAAGCCATATTTGTCCAAGCAAAATCAAAATTAAATTGACCGATCACTGACACAGTAACGTTCTTCATTAATACATGATCATTGACATGGCAATTGGTCATTGACATGGTAACCTGACCAATGAATTGGTAATAGGTCAATGACATGTTCACTTGGCCATTGATATGGTAACTTGACCAATGACAAGGTAACTTGACCATCGACATCGTTATTGACTGACCATACGAATCAGCCGAGTAGTACGTGTAGGGAATCTTTATTACATATGTAATATTCATGATGTTCCTTTTTTTCCAAATTATGAAGTCACCATAATGTATCTTTGTTGTTAGAACAACTCAGTACATTGGATAAGGTTCATAGGAATGATGACAAGCATTATCAGGTGACATTGTAGACCATGTCAGAAGATTCACTGACATTAGATAGAGAAGGATGAAATGGTTTGGTAATAATGTCTGGACAATCTTTCTACACACACTATTGCAGCTAAAGTACGGAGAACCTCCTGAGGTAGAAGTCGACTGTTTCCATGGTTTCCAGATGACTGCGGGATTGCTGTCCACACTGTCTTGAAAAGGAGATCCATCATTTTTGAAGCTGCTGAACTTTTCGTCCACGAATCGCAGTATTGCAGTAAAAGCTGATTCGTTTTGAGTACCAATGTATCACTGGAGTGTCGTTTGAGGGAGATCGAGAGAGGGGTAAATGATGAAAAAAATCATCTTTTTCCGGTTCCGAACTGTCTTAATGTACTCCAATTGCTTGCCAGGTGATGGGCGACGCGTGTAAAGTTCGTGAAAGCATGTGATCTCCACCATGGTAAAGGAATGATATTCGTTGTCAATTTTGATGAATAAGGTTATATGGGTATTTATGTAATGGGGAACAACCGGGGACTTTATTCATCAACCTCATTTGGTTGTTGTAAAATCCGGAACTTTGTAGTCCCTCTCAATAGCCGAAAGTCAACTGTGTCTAGTCCTTTCAGCACCGTGACACTTCCAAAAGGTTCAGTCAGATGTAGAATACCATGTAGACACGTACGAGAGAGATGACGATAGAACAGTAGGGCGTGTGTCTAGATGTTCTAAAGACTAATTCTACATATACTTCCTACATTTCTCCGGCATCGCGTCACGACGCTTTAGGAGGAGCAGATTTCATCGACCTGGGTTTTGTTGGCGGAGTGCCAATCGGTGCCACCGATTTCTTTCCCTTCATTCCCTTCTTCCCGGCTTTCGGACTCATTTGAGTCTCTGCAACCTTGTCTGTCGGCCGTTCTCGTGCCTCACGAGACTTGTACGCCGACTGTTCAGATGCTCTCACCACAATTTTTGACGTCAGATTTGCCCAGGCTTTAGGCCAGACTGTCATGATTTTGTTATCTGTGACATCTAGTTCCTTCAAGGCCGCAAGCTTACAAATCCTCTCCGGCAGACTTTCTATGATATTGTCTGATAAATCAAGAACCTCGAGAGATTTCATTTTGTCAACATCGTTCGGAATACCTTTGATGTCATTGCTGCTTGCTTGAAGAACTCTCAGTCGATAAAGATATGGAAAGTCCATCGGGATAACATTGATGTGATTTTTAGAGATGTTGAGTTCGAGTAAAGAGGCTAGCACATCAATCCGGTCAATAGGAAATGTCAAAAGCTCATTGTTTGACAAGTCCATTTGGGTGAGCTTGTTAAGATCTCCGAAATTATCCGGAAGGAGGCTCATTTTGTTGTATGACATATCCAGATGACAGAGAGAAATAAGTTTAACCAGACTTGGCGGGAACTTCTCGATCGCGTTATTGTTGACCTGAAGCTTCTCTAGTTTCTTCAAGACCCCGATATTTGCAGGCAGGGAGGCCAGTTCGTTGTTCGTGACTTCCAAACATTCCAAAGCCTTGAGTTTACAAATGTTATCACTCAGACCCTTGAGCGAATTGTTGGAAAGGTTTAAACTTTTTAAGCACCGAAGGTTGAAGACACTGGGAGGAATTTCATCCAATGCCAGTTTACACAACGCTAGAGACGTCAAGTTCCTAAGATGGTCTTTGTCTCCCATAACAACCATGGTGGATTTGTGGTCACTTGGATTGACCATCATTGGATTGTCCGAAAGGTCGAGACAGGTCAGCGTTTTGGGGAGGATGAGCTCAGTGAGTCCATTGCAAGCTGCGTCCAATGTCCGGAGCTGGTACAAGAAGTCGATTGACTTCGGCATGGCGGCGATTTCGTTATTGCTTATGATAAACGTCTCGAGGTTCCTGAGTTTGCGCAGATCTGTGGGTAAGGCGGCTATACGATTATGACTTATATCCAGCAACGTGAGAACCTGGTCTTGACCAATACTGTCCGGTAATACGGACAGTTTATTACCGCCAACATTAAGAGACTTGATGGTCTTGATGTAACCTACAGAGGGAGGGAGTTCTTTTATCTTGTTGTTGGACACGTCCAAGGTAACGAGGCACTTCATGTTGTCCAGTACCTCTGGTACAACCTCGATCTGATTATTGGACAGGTGCAAATGTTCCAGCGTCTTCAGGTATACTGCGAACTTCATGGAGTTGAGTCTGTTGTGTGAGATGTTGACAGTCTGCAGGGAATGAATCTCGCGGATCCCTTCTGGTACATATTCCACCTGGTTGTGTGACACGTCTAGCACTCGTAACTTCTGTAAACGATTTATGTCATCAGGTAGCACGGGAATCTCGTTATTAGAAATATTCAGTGTATCCAACGCGTATCCCAGGTTACATATTTCTTCCGGGAGAGCTTTCAGATTGTTGTGACTGAGATCTAAATAATGTAGGTACTTCACACCTCCGATCTGGGCGGGTAGTTCTGACAGGGAATTGTGGGATAGGTCTAGCCACACGAGACGTTGTAGCTTATCGATATTATCTGGCATGTATGTGATCCCATTACGCGCCAAATTTAGACGTTGGATATTTGGTTTCTTGACAGCAGCCGTTGGCATTTCTGTCAGACGATTGTCAGATAGATCTAACTCCCCCGTCATTTCGTAAACACCCTTTTTGAAAGATTTTATCAAGTTACCAGAGACATCTACAAAGGTCAGCGATGATGATTTTCCGATATTCTTTGGCAATCCCCTTATCCTGTTATTGCGGGCTAGCAGTGTGGTTAGTCCCGTAGCTTTGTGAATTGCTGGAGGTAGTTTTTTGATACTATTATTTTCAACATTTAAAGTTACAAGTTTTTTCATACGCGACACAGATCCTGGAAATGCCGACAATGAATTGTTTTGAACATTAATATATTCCAGATTTTCTAAAGCTGCGATAGTTTTAGGTAGACGCTTTAGGCGGTTGTTTTCAGCACTAAATTTAACGGAAAGTTCGAAGAGTTCTTCGTTACTATAAACTTCAATAGGGAGAGATTTCCAATTCCCAGTTCCGAATTTGAGATGAATTTTCTTTGTGTCTCCAATTTTCTTCAGGTGTTTTTTCACAGGATCCGGAAGTGATATGATTTTACTTCCTGGCCCAGTTGCAGGCGGGGGCTTTTCATCCTTCTTTCGACGCCGCGCACTCATCTTGCTGCGCTGTTGAGTACCCCTGGTGTAGCACTATGATTTTGGCTCTGTTACGCCGGATGGCTCATCTGAAATAAGAAAAAAAAATCAATTTCGTATAAAGATAAGCAGCTAATTTTGTCATATTGATCTGTTTTCAATTGATTTAGAATGGAACCAACAGAAGGCTTTGTCATTATAATGTACATTTCATGTCGATGTTAAAACAACAATACACACACCGTACTGATATAAATTATGTAAATTCGTAAATAATCCAAACTGGCAGAGTTGATAAGCTGTATTGACGAAGAATATACTTTCTTGTCCTAATGGGAAAACGCTGTTCAGTGTGCGTGTCAACTTCAAAGACACAAATAAAATAACATTACAAAAAAGTAACGCCTGCAAGACAGTGACAGTACTAAAACAAGTATAGACCATAACAGTCCCGTTGTCAAGGACTCGAAAGGAAACCAATTCTTAACGTGCATAATTATTAAATGATTACTAAAAAAATCGCTTTTATTCACAAACGACTTCCATCTCATCGGAAATAAACTCATTGACAAGTCTCTGTGAGGAGACGCTACACAGGCCGTCACTAAATTGATTTCCTTTCATGATGTTTAAACAACAGCCATATAGTTCAAATGACCGGAGGCCTTTATCGACATTAAATAAAAACCAGCATGTGTATATGTCTCTCCGATCCTACACCAATTATATTCCAATATAAATGTAAACACGAGGTGCGCCATGTTTTCTATTAATGTAATGACTAGACCGGTAATCTGGAAGCTGTACTTTCCTTAATGACAGTTCATATTCTGGAATTCCGGGAAACACATAAACTTATTGAATCTTTCGCTGACACACACTTATTTAACATTTTTCTTTTACCATCCCGTTTTCTAAATTACTTTGCAATAGTAATAAATTCCGGACAGGTAAGTTGAATAAGCACGATATATAGGATTTGTTACTAAATACTAATGTTACTGATAACTACTAGTATTTATTACGGTAAGCATTTCCTGAGTCAGTAATACATTATTGATCTAGTCAAATACCAAAACACGAAATCGTCCCAAATATTTACAAGTGACAAACTTCCTATGTACGTGAAACCATATTTGTGTTTGGTTATTATTTTGGGATATTGACACAATATTTGCGAATTAAACTTCTCTTTTGTGACGTCAATTTTTTGTAAAAGCGATGTGAAGAATGACATTACATTGTGTAGTTTTCCCCTTAAACAGAAGTATTTCTTAACACTTTGGTAATGATATCGGCCTCCGATCACATAAGTTTTTTTTTTAAAAAAAAAGCCACTGAATAGAATCTACGCATTCCATTGGATAATTGATGTCATGTGGCGACAGTAGATATATAGAGAATCGACGCACGTCGATTGGACTCTTCCCGGCGACTCTTCAAGCAAACGAAAAACTCATCATCATCGCCGCCATCATAATAGAACGCGCCGCTTTGAAATTTGGAACGTCCAAGGCAGACATATATCATAGTAATTATGTCATTATTGTTATCTGTTCACTGGATTATAACATCGAAGTGTGGATTTGAAAAAAAAATATTTTCATTATAACTAATAAAATTTCTTTGTATATTACATCTCACATATGTATGTTACATGTACCGACGTAGAAAATAAACAACCAATCACTTTAAGACGACTCAGCCCATTAAAATGACGTCGAAAAACAGCAGAACTCATTCGACGCAATGCAGTTAGGATTTCTGTAAATTTAATACAATGTAAGAGAGTGTGGCTCTTTACTGAATTTTACCAATACATGTATATGATATTTCATGTAGAGAGGAGAGACAAAACTGAATTGGTCAATGGTCAATTTTCTTTAATCGCATATAAAGTTCAAAATTCGCTTTTAACAAAGACAATTGAAATCGAAACATTTTGAATGATACTCTTTTATAGGAGTTATTTTGAACTTGTATACATAACAAACAATACGCATAGTCATCATTTCCAGTTCTCAGATATTTCTCACATTTTGCCGTGAGTTGTGTCATTGTCATGTTATGGAAGATACAAAATATTCCACTCGTGCCCATCGATAAGTTATCAGTATAGACAGAAGAATCAATACGACTTGATCAAAATGATAATCGATTATCCTCTTACTGTACTAATATATATATATACTCTAACCACCGTCAAATTCCTGTGGACCCTAGTTTACCTGCCAATACCACCTTTAAGCTTTTTGGCAGGAGCCTCCGTACTGGATTTCGTGACTCGCGGTGGCATTAAGGATAGTCTGGGGATAAACCTGCCAAATAGACCCATAGTGCTTTCTGTCAAGGCTTTTAAGTACAGACTTTAGTTTGTAAAATGTTGGCTTTGGTTTGTGTTTGATAGCTAGATGTTTACGGTCTTCGGGTGATAACAAACTATCTAGGGTGTACAAGTCATTCTCACGGTCGGGATCAAAACTTGAAAATATCAAGATAGATCGATAAAAATCGATAAAAATCGATAGGTTTATCGATTAAATCTACGATAATTCTGAGTACAGTCTTCTATAATACCAGTATACATACGTACTAAGGTAGGTAATATGGATCTAAGGTGGTTCTGATATATACACGTATGTGTGGATCATATTGCCTTAGTACACGTGTACATAAAACACAAGTCTAATGAATCAGACATTGTTTACAGTGCAAGACAAACACAAAAATCAGATTAAACTGGTGTAGTGGTGGGGGGATCATAGTAATCCACAATGGTGTCACTAATACTGACAGTCTGTAGAGATTTTTGTTAATATATGGTGCCTTGTAGACAAGTAATAAACCGTGGGTGATGGAGATCGGTGTTTTTTGTTATTTCATACAATTTTATGAAAGTGAATATGAGGTTAAAACGTCACAATCTCAATTCTCCGTCCGTTTCATGAAAACGCCAGATGATTATTGCGATGTGTAAGAATCATGACGTCATATGACAACTACATGAAACATTTCAGACGGTCGAAGATTGAGCGAAAGACACACAAAGGGACCTCTCGATACAAATTTAGCATCAGTAAAGTTAAAGATGAATTAAACTGCATCATACAGCTGTTTCATCCTTCGTCGGCTCGTCAGTTATGTGTATGACTTAGTTGTCGAGCAACTAAGAGAATACATATTGATTGAAACGAAAGATAGGTTTTGGTAGGGGGTCTCATGAACCAAACATCCAGCGAATTTCGTAAAGTTTGATATTTAATCAAGCATGAAGTAAACTGTAGCATGGTTACGGCGACGGAAGTCCACCAGCAGTGTCTACCACACGGAATCTCAAAGACTGCAAATGACGTACAAGTCAACAGCAACTTTCTGTCCAGATTTAGAATTAATTCGTGTCTTAACGTAATGTTACGTACCACACAACACACAACAGACGTTGCCGTGAGGCGAATAGTAGACTAAATCCGGATAAATAGTCCTGAATCTGTTCCGTAAGTTATTAAATCATGTCAGTCAAGAAAACGTTTGAATATTTGTCCTCATAACTTCAGATAGCAATCTAACTTGAGTGGGTTGGATTTAAATTCCTAGAGGAACGAGAACAGTGATCATATCCCACAGTGTTCTGTAGGACATTTAGATTCAACAGGTGTCGGGTGCAATTCAACTGTTGTAATTGGCTTCATTTTAAACCTTTTTTTTCTGATGTTTACTACAATATTTTATTGCAAAATGATCGCATTTTGTGTCCAATATCGAGTCTACGGAACACCCATGGCAAGCTTTAATTCTCCCGACTGGGTTAGTATTATCGGAGGCAATTTAGCGGGTGCACATTATTCGATATAAATATAGATAGTCTCTACTTAAAAATGACGTTTCTTAAACCCCATACAACCCACCCCCCAACCCCCCACTCCCACCGTCCAAAAGAAAAAGATTGTAGAATTGATGTCCAAAACATTGCAGAATTTACGTCAAAAAGATTTTAGAAATGATGTCAAAAAGTTTTATAAATGATGTACAAAAGATTTTAGAATTTATGTCCAAAAGATTGTAGAATGGATGTCCAAAATATTTTAGAAATTATGTCCAAAAGAATGCTACATGCGTTGCGTGTCGGTAATACAGAATCATAAAGAAACATGGCAAACAGGACTACATGAACGTAAATAGGGTTCTAGAGTGTAACACAGCAGAAATTAATTATCTTCAACATAAATACATCACGGTTTGTAGTATATATAAGGACAATATTTACACAATCATTTAACCTGCGGTTGACAGTACTGTATGACACCTCATCAATACCGAGGTTGCAGTCATTTGTTGAAAAAAACATTACAACGGCAAAATCTCATAAAATAACTACAAAATATCTAGATAAGGCACACTCACCTGCTACTGTTATTTCTTATATGATAAATAAACTCTTTGGCTTTGTAATAAGTAAACAGGAAGATTGAAGACCCGTGTTGACTGGAGCGACACAATAAACAGCTATACCAACACAGGTCTGTACTAATACTGAACAGCCAGTGTGTGTACCAGTCCCAGTTCTCCGGGTACGCTCTCTATGTATAAGTTAAACAAGGACACAGCCTATTTATCATAATGATGTGTCATTTTCGTAGCAGGAGTTTGAAATTTGATAACTCAATACCGCCGTATAGTATTACGTAATTACAGTAACCGCATTGATCAAGGAAACCAGTTCAGATGTCGTTTGATTATTATTTTTACAGGATTATGTGAAGAGATTCACGGCTTTAGTACAATGTGTGGTGTGTTATTTAACACAAAGCACAGCATGTGTTCAATAAAGCCATTCAGCGTGTTCGATATTTGTCATTTATAACATATTTTTTGTCAACTCAAGATACTCTCTCTAGACATTCTGAGTGTTATCACAAGACATTCTGTGTGTTATCACAGGATATGCTGTGTGTTATCATAAGACAGTCTGTGTGTTATCACAAGATATGCTGTGTGTTATCACAAGAAATGCTGTTTGTTAT